GGGGGGGAGGCTAATGATTTCCTTCCAAACAAATTCCCTACAAATTGCAATGTTTTAAATCGTATATTGTTGTAATTTTATCTTCCCAACTTTTAAATTTTGATGATTAGTGTTCCACTATTGTACCAATCGCCAATGTCAGTTATTTTTAATGTTGAATTTTAATGGAAAATAATATTTAAACAAAACCAATAAGTTTACAAATACTTACATTTATTTGCAAATAAAGCAAATTTTGGTACATTTGTGTATTGTCCACTAATCACTTTATTGTACCAAGAAGACACAGCAGAAAATGAGGCACTATCAGTAATATCATACGTAATTATGATTGCCTATATCACATGATGTAAATTAATTGTATTGTATAATCCGATTTTAATTTATGTAAATACTAAAGTGCCTATGCATGTATGTAAATAATACATATTTTGTATACAGTATAGGCATAGTAAATAGTACTCGTATTTACTCTATTATATTATTATTTTTACTTATTTTATATTGAAATATTTTATTATTCTAGTAGTTCTGTAGTATTAATAAATTTAGCTGTTTGATTTTGAAGGTATTATTTTATAAATTAATAAATATTATGTAAATATACAAATGCTTATGTTGATTATTATTAAACGTATCATTTGTATAATCAGTACAATAGTGTTAAAGGTATTATAATTTAATGTTATTTTGAATTTAAGAATTTTTTATTATTATATTATTAATATTTTTAATTTTAAGTTTTTAATAACTATTTATAAAATTTAAGGAAAATCAATAAAATTTGTTTACTTTCTAAAAAAATATATATATATTATGCAATCTTTAATGAAATAATTTTAATACACAATGCGGTGTGTATTAAAATGTACACTAACATTTTTGTATGATTTATATAAAATATTATTACTTATTACATTGGCATTGTATATGTATTTTGGAAAAAGTCCACTCGATAGTCCGCTCGTGTCCCAAATATTAATTCGAACATTACGTCCTTGGATTTGTGTTCTTTTCAAATAAAATTCGACACCACATGTTGGTATATACTGCCTTGTAAAATCATCATGGCAATATCTAGACACGATGCAACTCTAAATGAACATTATTATATATGTGTACCTTGATTTTAAAATTCGTTCAAATAAATTGTATTTCGTATAATAATCATTATAAAACAATTTATTATTATATTTTCTATATAATATTTTTAACTAGGTACCTATTTATCTAAATAAATATACTTATATAGATAGATAGCAGCTTACCTTTCCCGTAGACGGTTCACCTATCATAACAATTTTCAACTCTTCTTCAACAAATAGACTATCACCTGCAGTCAGAGACATTTGCTAACTAAGTTTATGATTTGTATGATTTGAATTTCGATTTATTAATTTATATTATATTAACAATCCAATAATGTGTATTACTTTGCGATGTTTTGCTAGTCATGTAGGTTATACACTGGTACATTGGTCTTTGAAGTTTCTATGGATACGTGTTTCACAACATAACTAACATAACATCATGCCCTTCTAGGGTTTTATAATTCATAAAGTATTGTTTCTTCAGTTTCTTGTTTCAAGTATTAAAACTATTGTTTTGTTCAGGTATCTAATATTTATCCAAGTTAAAATAACTCATAATTTAATCTTACTAGTATTTTAATAAATAAAAAAAAATATATATTGAACTTGTTTGTAATTATATACATATTTTCGTAAGTTGGCACTTGTTAATAATGCGGTAAAAGACGTAATAGTTACTCGGTTAAACGAGGATATTTAAGTATATATAATAGTAATGAAACAATTAAACCAAATCTAAATAAAAATAATTTAACATTTTTAAACTTAGCTAACTCAAGATTATTTTAAAATTAAACTTTTTTCTTTTTTTACTTAATGGAATCTGATGATCTTTCTAAAACTTTTATACTATTTTTGACTCATCAAGATAAAAGGGTTATTGACCCTTTCATTAATCTATAATATGCATAAAGAATATAAAATAAGAAATTAAAGAATAAGAATTTAAAATATGGAATGGATTTCAAATTAATACTAGTATGATTGAAAAAGTGTTTTACTAAACAAAAAGAGAAATTAAAAATTACAATTATAATGTTAAAAAAAAATTGTATAAGTGTAATTTACTTTTTCTCTCAGTAAGTTTAAAATATATTTTTACATATATATATATATATATATATATATATTATATAAATGTATAGAATTTTTTGACTTAGATAGGCATTTTAAATTACATAAATGTATGGATTTTGCTCTCGCGTTGAACATATTTACATAATATAATATTATAATATTATACAATTAATACTTATTGAAAATTACCATCTTATCAATAATATTATATTAAATCATTTAAGTTTTTAAACTAACCGTAGCAAATAGGTATTTTGTCAGTAGAAATCTGTTTTAAATGTAAATACCACTACAAAGTAAATCGTAAATTAAATTATATCTATATTATTTGTGTTTTTATAAAGTAGGTATATTTTTAGACTAAAATAAGCAGAGAGAAGTAATTTACGGGTATAAATGAAGTATATTTAACGAAGTAAACTATAGACATACATTATTCACTCACTATAATAGTATTCCTATAGCTTTTCGACGATATGACGAGGTAATTGAATTTTAGAAATTTAGAAATGTAATAAATTATTATTTATAATCAACCTAATTAACTATAAAGTTGTACACAATATATAATATTATGTTTTTGTGTAGGAACTTTACAACTTTTCAAGAACATACAGAAAAAAATTCACTAAGAATAAATATATTTATTGAATTTAATATGAATGAATTCTATAATGTATCCATAGGAAGGAATACTCGGTAAAATATATTATTATTATCATTTTCTCGATATATTAGGTTTGAGTGATTATTTCAGTTATATTTGATCGTAAATCATAAATATAATAAAAAATACGTTATAGGATAATGGGGACGGATGCAGCCACTGTTATAAGTAATTTAATGTATACCTGTAAGCAACGATAAACCATTGCTTATGAAAGAACGATTCTGAGCGGAGCTCAGTTGATAGTGGTGTTTTATCAACAATATGGCATATTATAGTAAAATAATTATGTAGGCTTTATAGATTTTCTTTGATAATATTTGTTAAATGTTTTACTGATTTCCCCGGTTTTCCTACGTTTTTTCAACGTTTTTTTTGGTTTTTCACATTTGTTGAGAAAATCGAAAAACGACCTCTCTAAAGTATCTTCCCAGTGTAATTTCCTTTTAGAAAAATTGCTATCATTATGAGTTAGAGCAAAATTGCTGGTAGGAAAATTATGCACAGAAAAAAAAATCGTAATATTACACAAATATATTTCGTACATTTTCCCGTTTTTTTTCGGTTTTTCACATTTGATGAGAAAAATCTTGAGAAAATCGAAAAATAATCTGCTTAAAGTACCTCCCTACATCGATTTCCTTTCAGAAAAGGTGCTACACATAAAAATCGGAGCAAATGCTCTAGTAGAAAAATTGTCCACAGAAAAAAAAAAATAAATAAATATCTTTGTAAACCATAAGATTCTTTACTCCACTTAGAATTTAAAATGGATATTATTCATTTATCAAATATTTAACATACGGCTTATGTTATGTTTGCAATTACTTATTAATTACCATTGTTTATTATTGGCACTCATGTTTTTATATTTTCCTACGTACCCTACCTATCTAATGTATTAAATTATATACTTATAGTTTTGTTTAGGTTTTGTTACTTATCAAGTTTACAAAATAATAAAAATGCAATACGTATTGACGTATTACGATTTTATAAACCTATACCAATATTAACCTATATAAAGTAATCCAGAATGAAAGATAACCAGAAAGTACTCAACAATGTAGGCTGTTACGTCGTAAATAATAAAATATGAAATCAATACACGTGTATTGTCTTAATACATTTTCATTTATCTTTATAATTTCTATCATATATTAAATATATATACTGTAATTCATTCTATGAAGATGTTACATTTTCATCACCAAACTATGACGTCTAACGTCATTGCAGTAGCCTTCAGTACGTCATGAACGCATACGCATTTCATATTTTTAGTTCAATGATGCACGGGTGAAATATCTTCATCCTACAACAATAATACACGCAGTTTCCTTGTCACGCTGAAATTTGAATCATTCGAATAGTTCGAATAATTAGATCAATGTCAGCGTGGAAAACCAAACGCTGTTATTCGGAATGTCATCATCATTATATCATATTGGAGTGTTTTGGCATTATTGAGAACAATATTTAAAAAAAGTTGGGAAGGCAGATACATTAAATTATTTAATTTATAACTGTATACGTAACAATAACCCATTGGTAACGAAAAACGATTTTAAGCGAAGTTAAACATGTTGTACTATATAACATATTATATATGTTTTGAAATGTCATAGTTTTTACGATTTTTGTATAGATAAATTACTCAACTACAAGTACAAATTGTTGTAAGTAGGTACTATAGAGCGTTGCACGGGCCGACAAAAGTGTATCCAATCCGACGGTATCGAAATTCGAAGCTGGTCTGGTAAAAAAATCTGAAAAACTGGCTCAACTTGACCCGAAAAACGTATGATTTTGTCCAACCCAATTCAATCCGATACAAAAATTCCGTCTGGCCAGACACGAACAATTTAAAATTCAGTCCGACTCAATTCAATTCGAAAATTTGGTTCGACCTGACCCGAAATATTTATAAGTAGGACCGATCCAATTCAATCAGACTTTGGGTCTTGCTGAAATTCGGGTAGAGTCGGGCCAGTCCGTCCGTGCAGGACTCTAGTATAAGTACTAAACAATTATGTACCTATTTTTCAAAATAATCTCAAGAAAAGGGCTTTAATATATTACAATATAATAGATGTAGATAGTAGATATATTTTTCTTGCATTATTATAAACAATTTTCATTTGTTATATTTAATTTATTATGTTGTATTGCCTTCCACTTCCATTTTCCATTGCAAAAGAACAAGTACCTATATGATACAAGGTAGGCATTTTTTATTTTCAGTTTAAAATATTCGTAGAATTAAAATGTTCATAGAAAACTTATATTTACTTTTTTTAGACATGGTAAAACTTTCAGAACATTTTAGCATATTCATGAGCTATTTTTGGACTTTTTAATTTTGCGAGATTTTTACGTGTAATTTTTGTTTGGTAGGTACTCTGTAGATAAACTGTTAGACTTGAACAGAAATACCTGAAAATTTGATAGGAGGTTGATTATAAGTTGTGCTTAGTGGTAAAAAAAATAGATAGTTTAAAGTATTATGTGTCATACACACAGTAGGAATTTTTTATTTTTTAATCGGCTGGTTTTTACCTGGAATTAAATTTAAAATAGCTCATTCAAATGTATATGCATGCAGAAACACTTGTTAAAAATAAAAATTACATTTTATTACTTGATGTGTTTTAATTTTATTATAGATGCATATTATAATATTTGCCAATAGTCTTATTATTATATTTTATAATAGTACAACGCTCGACGTGATGATTGAATGTACTGTAAACATCTGCAGCTTTTGTATAATAATAATAATTGAACAAATCTATCGACGGTGTTTTTGTAATAATATTTGTCCCGTTTCCATTTAGTATTTCCTATACATTTAAAGACATGTGGTTCATCTGCAGCTTGAAAAAAAAAATGTAATAAAACAAAATATTTTTAAATTACATTTTTATACGTACGCACTTATATAATAGTTGCGTATATAGTTAAAACATATTACGTACGCAGCTGCAGTTGAAACGGCGTGTTTGTGCGTGATGTTATAAAAATCAATGATCTAGCAATCAAATTATTGTTTATGTCAAATATTATTTACCATAAAATATATAGTCTGAAGTGTACATATGTTTTAGTCCAATCAATTTTACGTAAACGTACAAAAACCTTTTAATGGCTATAATCAATAAAAATATAATAATAATTCAAAACGGGCGCGTAGCCAGGATTTGTTTCCAGGGGTTTTTTTTAAATTTAATTTTTAATTATAACTCGTCAGGGCGTAGCCAGGATTTTGAATGGAGGGGGTGGGGTCTAAATATGTTTTTGTTTAAATTGAGAGCGGAGATAAGTAAAGTGTTTTTTATTATTGTAATTATATTTACTTAATACTTTCAAGAACAATTGATAAAAAAAACTAATGAAATACAAATGATAATGGAATACAAATATACCTAATAGTCGTATGTATAATAGATTACTAAATAATGTATATGACATCAACTCATTAGTCATCAAGGTCGTATCTGAAGGAGATTTTGGGGTTCAAATAGTGTCGAGTTATAAGCTACGTTGCCATCCCACGGCAAATTAAATTATGCCGCCCTTAAGAAAATTACAACTCAAATTTATGTTCACCAGACTGTTCCATGACAGTTCTAAGGGTACTGGCAGTGGCAGATTTACGGGGGGAGGGTCCACGGGATCTGAACCCCCCCAGATACCATCTTCCTCACTCTTCACCTACAACAGTGACCACATGCATCCTCTTGATGAGCTCTTTTTTTTTTTGCTTTGATGATCGTAAATTGGTTGATAATCTGATCAGTTTGTTTAAAAGATCTTTTATGTTTAATATTGAAAGTGATGATATTTTTTTGTTTATTAAAGTGAATTTTAGAAAATTTTTATTTATTTTAAAACGGAAAACGATCTTTTTCCACTTACATTTGATAAAGCCATACAACAAAATATCCGCATTGCTATTTTAACGATGGGGAATGTTGTCAATAGTGGAGAATCAGCGACACTCGTTTAAAGCTTAATGAAACATAATTTTTCCTCTGGTGCAAAAAAACTGAGAATTGATTTTAATTGCACTGCAAATAAAATAAAATAAAATAAAACATTTTCCGCTCCATCAAACACTATGAAATTTACCACCCCAGGGAAATTGCCTTCCCCTTGGCCCCGGATAAACGGGGCTATGGGTTTAACCCCTTCCCCGAAATTTTTCCAAAAGTATTAATTAATATTTTCATATGAATTAGGTTTATAACAAAAATAATATAAATAAAGTTTAGTTTAAAACCTCTCGAGAATTTGATCCTGCTACGGACGTGATTGACATCTATCTTATAAATATTCTAATTTCACCTCCCTCAGGGACCCTAATAGCTGTAGCTTCCAAATAGAATTTTGAACAAAGGTGGACATTTTATCATTTACATTAATATCTTCTTATTATATCTTCCCCTTAGTCCTGATGGGGTTAATTCCCCCCTCACCTGGGGGAATTCACTATCCATTATCGTATTGTAGTTTTATATCATATAACAATATGCGTTTAACTTTTTAAATAAAACAATCAAATATAAAATTATTACATACCTAAGTCAATCAGTTAAGTGATATGTAATTTTATAATCTTTGCGTACAGGATATCGCGCAGCTTCGGGATTTATTTCATATTTGTTTTACATTATAATAATTGTACCTACAACTTGTGTCTAGTCGAAATGTCGAAATACGTCTTTGGCCCAATTACGCGATGTAACTACATCTATATGCATGTAACCTTATCATATGCACAGCACATTAATAACTTTCATAACGCCCATGCGCGTAATTCGGACAAGTCGGCTATATGGGTGTTCGGGGCCGACATGGCGCGGGCGACGATGTTTTTTATTGCATTGAAAAAAAAAAACATTTTATAATATAAACATGGAAAGTATCTGGTCTGTATAGTTATATTTATTTACAATTTACACTGAACGAGGACAATAAGTGGCGAGCGTGACGCATATTATTCGTCATGTAACATTTTGTCGTGCGAATTTCATGAGTTTGAAAACCACGTGTTCACCCAAAGATTTACTATTGAAGTTCGCCTAGGTTCGTCCAAATATTATTAATCTATGGTATAAGTACGATTCACAACAACAACAAGAAAAAAATAAAGAATAAAGCCATATAGGATACAATAATATGATACCAGACAGCGTGAGAGAAAAAAGAGATCAAAATCTCGCCGACGTTTGAACTTGGTCGCGTGCGGATCAGGTGACCGTCACTCAGCGTTTACGACCGTCGTCTAACCGGTAACCACTACTACCACTATCAAAACGCCGGTGGAACGTGATACGGCCGCTGTAGAGGTATCAGGTACGTTGATAGTAATGTTGTTTATTATTATTGTTTTCACTGAGAAATAACGACCTGGCTATCGTACGTAAAACGAAGAAAGGAGGTAGTGAACGTCTTTACTGAATTACTGTTTAATTTTTCTTCTAAATTTCAATATCCCGTTGTTGCTCATTTCGGCTGCACACCATGGCAGATCACGTGAGACCGCCGCAGGGACGCCGTCGTCGTCGTCGCCGGCATCGTTGAATTCCAGGCCGATGTGTGTAGCGATTAACTAAGAAGAGGAAGAGGAAAATAAAATAATAATTTTACAAATATATATAGTCCGAGAGAAACGACGTCGTTGCCAATCCTAGTGGTCGCCGGCAGAGTGGGGTAAAGTGTGCGAGAATGTATCTTGAAATGCTAAAAATAACTGCCGTCCGCCCGCCTCAAACGCTTCTCTAAACTCTTTTTCCACACGCAGACTTTTATTTCGTTTTCCTGCGATATTTCGATTAAATCATATTATTACGGTTCAACCGCTGTAATATAGTTTTCATGTTTTTAAATTTATTTGTGTATTATTTATTTGATTTTCTGAGGTTTCTACCTTCTATTTTAGTTGTAACTGCATGGCGAATTTCCTATATGCATAACTATTACTATTGTACGGTACAAGTCGAATATAAACAAATCGAATATTATAGGATTAATTTCGTAATGAAACATGAACACGCGAATGGTTCCATGAATCTTTCTAAACAAAACAGTAAATAAATCTAAACTGAGTACAGAAAACAAAAAAAAAGATACTGTATATTGTGAATATATTTATTTCATCAAGTAAGTTAAACATATTATATTTTATCTAATATTAGAATGTTTTATTAATAATTAGTAACTACCTACAGTCAGATATTAATGCTGTAGAAATACAGGTGCCTGACTAACTGTTGAACTACCTATTTCAAAATTATTAATTACTTTTTTTGCCAAAATTAGATATCTACCTACACTATGGCACAGGTACCTGTTTATGTCAAGCTCATAGTTAAAATAGCCATTAGCTATTTATTTAACTAGTTATATAAAACACATTTAAAATTGCTAAGATAGTAGCTGAAAATGTATTATTAATCACTATTCTTTAATAAAATTAAACATATTTTTAATATAATTTAAAAATAATTATGTAGTACATATTTAAACTACGAATTATTTAGTATTTATTAGTAACCTACCTTATATTTTTTTAAATTTCATCATATTTCATTTAATTTGTTGAGCAGTGTTGAAAAGTTGTTGATTAGCTTTATGTATTTTCTTGAAAGTAGTTGAAACTGTATTTGGTGAAATAAAATATCAATATAATTTAACATGGAAAACTTATAATTATTGTCAAGACTATAATATGAATTTTATAGATTTAAACCTATTCAAACACAAACAAAACTATAAAATACATAATTATTTTTTTACTAAATATTATTAAAATTATAAATTTATTATTAGATAGGCACTATAAATAAACTGATGACCTAAATATTCTAAATTATTTATAAGAATCATTTTTAAAACCATAAATAAATAAATAAATTTATGTGTAAGACCTGATTAAGGGATTGGCCACTAGTAGGCTGGGGTTGATAAATAACATAAATAACATACAAAATAAATGTTAAGAGACCATGGTACTTACATGTGTTGTTTCATTCCAAATAAAAAGTAACATATAATGAACATGCTTACGTAGACTAAGTAGAACTTGATTAATTTTGGTTTCAAAGTAAAACAACATATTATAAAACTTAAAGAATACGATATTTGGGTTTAAATTATGCTAAATTTTAAAAAGAAAATTAATTTATTGAAAAGTTACAGTAATTTTAAAATATTAAAATTTTTGTTATTTCTGAATACATCAGAATGATATATTTGGAATGATGGACAAATTAACATGTTTATTTTCTGATATGGTTTTTTTTTTTTATTAAATTTTTGCTTATATTCCATATAAGATTAAATTATAAAATACTATGTTATAATAAAAGAGATTATTTTATCTATTCTTGATGTGTGCCTAGTGTGTGCCTATAGTACAAATTAGTTGAACGAAAAAAAAAAATAAACAAATTACTTGTGGGGCTTCCTATTAGCTTGGTGCCCTATGCTAAAACCTATTCAGCCTATTGATTAATTAATTAAGGCTTTGTTTATGTATTCATATAGTATGAACACATGAACACACCAGTACAAAATATATTTTTTTTTTTTTTTTTAACTGGGTGACCATATTTTGATTTTTATATATCTTAAGTATTACTACTTAGTATAATACATAATGTCACACAATTCAAAATTTCAAATACAAATAAATAGATCATAGATATATGTATTTTGTTGTAAAATATAAATAATATAAAATTATTTATTGTTTTTATTCTGGTCGTATGCACCTCTTAATTGAAATAAAATGTTTAATGCAAACTTTTACTTTATTTGAAACACTTGATAAAATTGTATGAATTATTGTTTGTATGTCTGTTATAGTATTTAGTCATAATATATAGAAAACTATTAATATTATTATTAGAACATAATAAATTGTGAGATAAAATGTTAGATAAAATTCAAGTGTACCGAAATTTCAAAACATACATATTAATAACACAAAACATATTAATATAAATAATCTTAAAGATTGTACAATATTTTATTTTGTTAATATATCTAAATAAAAAGTTAAACAACAGCGTAATTGAAAGGAAAGGAAGTGAAGTTTCTCCTAGTAACTTATTTTTATTTGATTATTAAATTTCATGAGCAGTTTTATGACTTTTCAATGACTGTAATTTTGGTTAAACTACATTAAATCATGTTAGAAGTAAAATTTAAACATAAATTAAATATTAAACTTAGTATTCGAGTTAAATTAAATAACCTTATGTATTCTACTTACAACAGTGTTGAATCCATCAGCAGTATCTATCATCTAATTTTTTTTAAGCAATCTATCTTTATTGGATCAATAAGATAAATTGATAACTTATTATTACATAGGAAGAACATATTTAAAATATCAAGAGTGAAGATACTTTGACTAGAAATAGCATTCAATAACAAAAAATTGCAGTTTTTTTATTTTTTAACATGTTTATATGAGCAGCTTACAATACCACTGTTTTTTTTTTGGCATTGTTTGAGTATTAGGTACTTGGAATAGTTACGGATGAAAGTGGAGTAATAATTGGTTTGGGATAATTTTTTTATTAACTGTTGAATTTGATAATGATTATTTATAAAAGTTAAGAATAATCATTGGTCATAGTTGTCTATATTGCAAGAAAATAAATACCTAGGTAATTCAATTTTTCAGTATCAAGTATACCATATTTTCTGATAAGGAATTTTCTTGGGGTGACTTTAGGAAAGTCATTTTTTTGAATTTCCAGAAGTTTTCCCAATAAACTGGAAAATGTACGAAATGTGATAAGAAATCTAGTTATTAGTAAAAAAAAAATATTACAGCTCTTTTTTTCATGTGAATGACTTTTCTGCTAGTAATTTTGCTCTGATTTGCTAATTTTCTCAGCATTCTGAGAGGAAATCTGTCTGGGGTGGTACTTTGAGGAGATCATTTTTTGATTTTCCTAGGAGTTTTCCCAACAAATGGGAAAAACTGAGAAGAACATTGGAAGAAATATAAGAAAAACGGGAAAATTGGTACAATAATAAACAAAATATATGTAATTATTGTACCACAATATTGCATATATATTGTCGACAAAGCAACACTAATAACTGAACTTCGCTCAGAATAGTTTTTCGTTAGCAATAGTTATTCGTTGTGTACAGATATACATTCAATTTCTCTTTTACTTTCCCAAGTTCTCATCTACAACATTAACCTCCATCCACGTGTGAAGTATGTCTGTCTTTTTAAATATTCATTTGGTTGCTGAATATTTAATTTTAATTTTATAATCTCTGACAATTAAAAAAAATAAATAGAAATTATAAATTTAAAATGGTGTATTGTTTCAGCTTCATAACAAAATGGTGGTGCCAGAAAACGGAATAATGTGTGATAATATTATGCGAGGCATAGAAAAGAATGGTGGTGGTATACATCTGCACAATCGGAAACAAAAATTAAAACAAAAGTAATAAAATAAATGCATAATATTATGTAATATGCAGATCACTAACATTATATTTTAATAAATGTATTTGTATATTTAGATTTGACATACTAAAAAAATTAGGGGAAGGTTCTTGTGGAAAAGTTCAATTAGGTATTTGTAAAGAAACTGATCAGTTGGTAAGTTAAAAATAATTAATTAATTATACAATTAATATCTGAAAAATAATGTTATTAATTTAAATTGAACTGTTTTTTTTTTTTTAATAATAATTAAAGTTACTTGGAACATTATGGAATAGTTTTTTTTAGTGGAAGTTTGTTAATTAAAAAAACACACTTTGTATATTAGGTAGACTACATTATTAACAATTCAATATTTGATTATTATAAACACACATTTTGAAAAATATTTCAAGAATCACTTCAATTTCCTTAAAAGAAAAAAGTGTCAATATTACACATTAATAAATTATTTGTTTCATGTTTGTTTTTTTCAAACTTAAGCTTAGATTATTTTATACTTTTTTTCATTAATTGTATTATTAGGTAACTATTTTAAGTGAATTTATCACTCTTTGGAGCATTTATGAAATCATTGCACATTCTTTATATTAGAAAAAAAATCAATATCAATAATCTTTGAGCGAAAATTTGATAGTAAATTATTACTTATTTCATAAAATTTAAAAGCTTTAATGAAATTAAGATTTTGGTTAGAAACTTTGATTGGTGCAAATTAATTAAATTGTGCTTTGATGTATGATATGATGTTTGATATACATACAAACATAATTTGTAATTTTTTTTGTTTTTCAATCACTGCTTTTAAATAAAAAATATATCTTATAATTTCTAAAATGTTCTTACATATTATTTTGAATTATGTTCTAATTATAAACTGTAATGTAAGAGCTGTGGTAGATACTTACTGTAATTATCATTGTTTTACATTTTTAAGAATTTTATGTGATTGAATTGTTAGCCTGTTTCTTGTAATGTTTCATAATGTGTTGGTTATCAATAATCATGAGTTAACCAACAGAATTGTACTGATTTGCGGCAAACTTAATTGCAGATTAACGCCAACGATTAATTGTAAGACCAGGCTCTAGATTAGTATAAGTAGTTTGTAAAAATATGATATTATTAAGGGAGGTAATATAGTAGATATTTATCTAAATTTTTTTCAATTAAAAAAAATTCATCATTAATTATCTTTTTTAATGCACAGTGTATCACCACACATTACTTGGATATTATCCAAGTCTATATTATAAATTATAATAATATTCTTTTGGTATTTACACTAAAAATAATGATTAGAATGAATACAAAATAATTTAATTATTTGTATTTTTATGTTTATAAAAAATAAATTTATGAAGAACGAACTATTTACTAAATGTCTAAATATTGTATTTTGTTACAATATATTATTACATTATTGTGTTCAAATTATTACTGGGACAACCTATGTTTTCAATATTAACCTATGGTCAGTGTCCCTGTTACGGTCGCTAATTTTTATTTTATTCTTAAATAATGTAATTTTGTAATTTGATCAGTCATATGGTTATTGTTGTACTTATTTGCAATAATTAATTTCCTGGGTGATATCAATTATAAAAAAAACGTAAATAGCATAGGATGATTATAGAACGAGAAAATACAATTTAATAATATTAATACTAAATAATTTTTCATTTCTTAATATTCTTAAGACATTTAAATTTAAACTTTGTATTATACATATTATTTCTTTATGGTTTAGTTTTAAATTTTTTTCAATAACCCTAGATAAATTAAACCAAATATTAATAGAAAATATTTCTTAAGATGGCCATAGGTGGTGTGACTAGACCATACCTTATACAATTGATATACAAATAATTATTAATTTACTACCTAGTTAAATTTATATGCAAAGTATATAAAGAGACAAATAAACCATTTGAAAAAAATTTTTTATAAAATATATATTTAATTTTGTATGAATTAGGATATCAAATAAACTTATTGAACATGGTAACTGTTTAAAGCATAAATAAAAACAACCAATACAAATACCCTGCTTGGTATTTAAAAAAAATTATGAAAATAAAAAAAATAATATTTAGTTTGTTTTAGTTTATTTACTGTTTCATAAGTACATCTAGTGTATCATGTAAAGTAATATTGTGCATAGGAAACATATAAATTGATTAATAATTATAATTTTATTAAACATTTTTAATAGCTAATTTATCCTAATAAATAGGTCGCTATCAAAACAATTAGAAAGCGTAAGATAGAAACTGAAGCTGATTTAATAAGAATAAGACGAGAAATACAAATAATGTCTTCTGTACGACATCCTAATATCATACACATTTATGAAGGTATTTTATTGAAACAAAGGTTACAATTAGCATGTTAATTTTAGTAAAAATAATATTAAAATGTACAGTGTGTGTTTAGTAGTTTATAACTATCATTAATTGGTATAGTTTTCCATTTGACAAAATAAATTTAAATTTTACAAACTAATTATTATGATTCCCATATTTAGTCATCTATTATTATTTTTCCCTAATATTTTACTAGATTTGGACCCACTTATTTTACTTCTTAAATAAATATTGCAAATTTTACATATTTTGCATATTATGTAGTCGTTTTTGAACAAGAAGAGATGTAATCCTTTTAAATTCTATGGTGTTTAAACTGATTATGATTGTATTCTAAAAAATATTACATATTTAAAAGTTCTTTCTGTTGATAGTTTTTGTATCAGAGAAAGAAATAATAGAAACTACTTCTTATAATTAAATTTTATACCATCTACTTAACTACACTCATATTTATTTTATTTTTAATCCAATACTAAATTTTAATCATATTTTCTCTTTAGTTTTTGAAAATCGAGAAAAAATAGTATTAGTAATGGAATATGCTGCTGGAGGCGAGTTATATGATTATCTTAGTGAAAAAAAAGTGCTGACAGAAGAAGAAGCCAGAAGAATATTTAGACAAGTTGCCATTGCTATTTTTTATTGTCACAAAGTAAACATATACATTTTCCATTGTGTTATAATTGTTTTATGATAAACTGTGTAACTTTTCATAATAGCATAATATTTGTCATCGTGATCTTAAATTGGAGAATATATTATTAGACGAACAAGGAAATGCGAAGGTATGTTGGTAAATAGATTATTTTATTAACATAAGTCTGTAAAATAGAAGTTTTTAAATTTACTATTTTATTTCTATTTGTCTTACATCCTACAGTGTGTATGTTTGATATTAAGTGTTTCTTTAATTTTTCTTTTTAGATTGCTGATTTTGGTTTGTCAAATGTTTTTAATCAAAAAGCTCTTTTGTCAACTTACTGTGGTAGTCCGTTGTATGCATCTCCAGAAATAGTTACTGGTACTCCTTACCACGGGCCTGAAGTTGATTGCTGGTATGCAGTTAAATATAATAATCCAGTTAAAATATCTTTATTGAAAGTTATAATAGAATTTTATTTAAGGTCTTTAGGTGTTTTATTATACACTTTAGTATATGGTACAATGCCATTTGATGGGTCAAATTTCAAACGACTCGTTAAACAAATTTCCCAGGGTGAATACTACGAACCAAAGAAACCTTCACGTAAGTATATTATATTTATATAATTGTAGTAGTTATGTACTAATGAATATTATAACCTGCATAATTTTCTAATTGTTATTTTTAAGGAGCTTCTCCATTGATTGGTAGTATGATGACAGTAAATCCTAATGCACGTGCTGATATTTATACAATATGTTCACATCAATGGTTAAATGAAGGTTACACTCCTGAACATCAATGTTTACACACTGCAGAAGAGATGGCATCTTCAGCTCCAGTTAGATTGGATTTGTTGATGTCATTAGCACCTGTATCTAGGGAAACCAATAATAATTTAACTGTATCACCTCAAAATAATGTTGAAAATGATACACGATCTGAAAGTGGACCTTTAAGGTCTCAAAGTTTAGGAAGTATATCTCCATCACGCGCTAAAGCTGTAATACCTGAATTACCCGGTCAGTATTATTGATACATCTAATGTGAATTTATTTGAAATTATTTACTCTAATTAAAATAATTATTTATTTAGTGGAAAAGAAACCTAAGAAATTAAAAAAAAGAGATCGTTCCATGAGTCGTTCTAAAAAATCTAGTCAATCAGATAGTGGTGAAAATGATCTTGAAACTCCAATTTCTAAAGAATCATCTAAATCTGTTATAAATGATTCAAAGTGTGATTTACCACAGTCTCTTTTGCAATCTGGTACTAATATTGGACCTGATACAGTAAAGCCTGCTGAACGAGCCCGCCGACGATCCAGTAGAGTTTTAGAAGCTGTTGAAAAATTAGATCAAATTGAATCTATGGCAAAAAATAGTTTTGACCAAAAGAGGAGAAGTTCTCTTGGTAGTGGATCATCCAATAGTTCGAAAAAGAGTATTGAATCTGATGGATCTACTACACACGCACCAATAAAAGAACTACAATACAGTCTTGAATCAACTGTTGGACTTAATAAATTAGCAGAATCTGCATTAAATAATGATCCAGTGGATCCATCTGGATCATTCACAAATAAAAATGAGTTTAAAAATCTTCCTGATGACTTGAGAAAAAGTCTAAATGCTATCAGGGTAAGTAGTTATGTTAAAAAAAAAAAATAGGACAGATTATTAATTAATAACAATTTGTTTCCTTAAATGTATATTATACATTGAAATCTGTTATTGCTTGGTTCTATCCTTAAATTTATTAAAAAAAGAAATTATGTTGGCAAATAATGACACACAAACATTTATCTTATTTATATACAATTCCTACTTCTTCATTTCACTATATTTTGGATTGTTATATATTTTTTTATGTAAACTTTAAATGTTCATAAATATAGTGAATAATATAAATTAATATTTTATCTCATATGAGTAATGTTTATGTTTAAAATAGTAAATAATTCAATTTTTGAAAAGTAGTAAGTATTAATAGTTAAATATTGAATAATTTATCTATTCAGATAATTGAAGATTCCATTTCTGACAGTAATACAAATAAAATTGCTGAACCCAAAAGAAAAACATCAAGAGCAGAAATCAAATTGGCTAAGCCTGAGTAAATATAATTAAATCATACAATGAATGAGAGCTTTAAGGTTATTTCATTCAAATTATAATTATTTGTTTTGTTATAGATTACCAATTAAAGAATCTAAACTTCATGAAAATGATCTAGTAGATGCAAACTATAAGACCGAAGTAAAACATTTTGTTCAAATACCCAAACCAACAAGACGTATTACAGAAGTATCGTTTCCAGTTGCAGGTGCTATGCCTACTACTGTAGCACCTTTACCGCCAAGGTATAATCTATATTCGTGTATTCAAAATAATAATTATTTTAATCTTATACATTTAAAGTTTAAAATTAATACATTTATCTAACATTCTTTTTTAAATTTGTTCTAGACCTATTTTGAGGCAAAACAGTCAACCTCGTGAACACATTATACCTATTCGGTTTGAAGCAGAAGATAAATCTAAATCTAAACCTTTACAAAGAATACCATCTGTCAGTAGCCCCAAGACTAGTTGCAGTAATCTTTCACGACAAAGTACTGTAGACACAGATAGTAATAGTAGTATAACAAGCTTAGGAGAACCGATAAGAAAATCTCCTCGTGAAGTCATTATACCCATAGCTGTTGAAGGTGGAGGTTTTGTTACACCTAGTAATAGTGCACTTTCCAGAACAAAGTAAGGTTTATTAATATTTGAATAATTTGTTGATTTTAAATTTAATATAATAAAATATTTTAGTTCAAATAGTGATAAAGGTGATGATGATAATGGTACTGTTGGTAGTCAACCTAGATGTTTCACACTGCGCAGCACACGAAGACAAAGGCCACCTGTAAGGAATTTACAATCTACTGAGAGCATAAGTTCAGATGAAGAAGATGACAGTTTTGAAATTTTAACTGCTGAGAATTTGTTTTCTACATTATTATCTAGAGTAATTATCTATTTATTATAAAATATTTTTTAATTTTCTTGTATAAATGAAAAAGTAATTTTAATACTTTCATCAAATAAAAAAATTTTGATTAAAAGACTTATTAATAAAAAAGTTTTACTAATAGTACTTCAATTTTATAATTATTTTATATTTATTATATTGTGTATCATGATTTTATAAATAATTATTTTTTAGGTGCGAGATTTAACTAATAGATTGAGTAATGATAAAGGGAGAACTTCTGACTTTCCAAGATCTTTTTTCAACCATCATCGTTCTATTTTTGACCATCAAACACCAATGTATGTATTTTTAAAGATAGGTAGTGACAAATATTTTTTTTATTTATTCGTATGTATTTAATGTATTACTTAGACGCCGTTTAACTGAAACTAGATCATTTAATCGGTCTGATAGTGCTCCCTGGAGAAGAAGTTTTGTTTCTACAACTCAAGAGCAACCATCCAATGCTTCCGCTAAAGGTAATTTAAAACTATGGGCTTAAACCATTTTGTTTTATTTCGTACTTATAATAAATATAAAATATAATCTGTTGGCAATACTATTAGTTACAATATTAATTTGTGTTTTGGTAACAGTAGTATAGAATATTAGTGGTTTGTAGGCCTTCTTACATAACATATTTTATTTGATCAAGAAACATGGTAATAAGCTTTGTTACATATAATCTAAAACAAGAAAAAAATACACTACACAAATAAAACACCTTCCAGTCTCACTACTTTAAAAATGTAGACTTGAGAAACCATAAAAAAATAGTTATTATAAAAGATACTTATACATTATATACATTGCCTATTATAAATTACTGTAAGGTAAATAATTTGAGTATAACAATAATTATGATCACAATTTATTAAAAGTGAGGGATAACTTGGGTAATATTACAAAATATAGATCATTATTAAGTTTAATAATACTACATAAATTATAAATTTGTTGATTGTCTATTATAATATATTGAATAACAAATATATATCAAGTAACATTATTTTATATCATAAATTATGGTGTATTACGCAAATCTATATTTATATAGACTTTACATTTATAAATTATTTTGTTAATTAAATTTTAGACAAAACACAATCATAATTTTTCGTTCACTTTTATGATTATTGTTATAACTACCTAAAAACATTTTATATATGAATAATATACTTTAATTGTAATTTATATATCTATGATTAAATAATATTTAATAGCTGTTAAAAATTATAATATAATATAATATAATATAAAAACTTTATAGGTTTTTTATGATTTCAAATAGTTTAAAACAATTCACATAAATTCTTGTTTCATTAAAATTTATAGAATCTAGTATCTTCATACTGTATTGTTTTGCCAATGGTATTACATTAATATTTTTTTTAACAAATTTGAATTTTTCCAATTACCATTGTTTAAGGGATAATACACTGATTTTTATTTTTTGAAGATCTATTGTTTTCTTAACAATGTAAATAAATAGATATACATATATCTTTGGTCCCAAGGAAGAAGGGGTTTAATACATTTTGTATAGTTTTCATTAAATGCAAATTAAATTTTGTAAATACATACACTTGCACACAAACTAATACACTAATATACTACATTCACTAATTTTAAAAATACATACACTTATACAATTTAGATAGTAATATTTAAAGCAAACAAATTACATCAGACAAAATTATAAAAAAAAAATGCCAAAAATTTACTTAAGCCCTTCTCTGGGATCAAAGATATTGTAAGTAAACTTATATGTACATTAACTTATACAAAATTATGGTATTTTTTGGATATCCTTTTACTTAATTATTTTTTCCAACAATTTATTTATTCATTTATCGATTGGACAGATATATAAAAATGAAAAGTACATTTTGTAATTCAATTAATGAATATAATTACTACTAATGTGTAGTTATTTTTCAATTTTTTTTTATGTTTATGACTACATGAAACTATTAAATTTTTAAACTATATGCTGTATTCAAGTTTATTAGAATAAAACTTGTTTAAAAAATATGCTTCAAAAGTGTTTCCAAAATACATTATAATATTAGTAGTATTCTCAATTTGATAAGCAAATAATGTTTAAATCAAATTTAGTACTCTGTAGTTTATTATAATAATCATATTAGTATGGAAAAAGATACCCAATGATTATTTTTCAGAGTTATCTATAGGCATGGGAGTTTGTTTCATTTATAAAGTACCATATTATTTACACTATACACAACATACAAATAAAACTTTATTATACGATTGTGCTGGAGTATTGCATGTGTGTGTTTTATTTTGTTGCAGCCAATGTGACGGTGCATGTGCCACGTGTACAAGACGAGTAATAACGATACTTCCTTCTGCCTGTCCATAATTTAAACAAAAAAAAAAACAAATCTATTCATATAACCTATGCCACAAATTTATAGGTACGCAACTGTCTCTCTCTCTCTTTTTATTTTTCTAGTGACTAACATGATTTATTTATAAACATAATTGTAATTAATTTAAAATTGTTACTGTATATATGTTAACATATGACTTAAATGGTTTAAAATGTTTAATGTATTTCTTAGTTTTTTAATTAGTAACTTATTCGTTTTTCAGAATTGCTTAAAAATGCTGACAAAATGACTAATATTCAGAAACCCCCAGTCTACAAGCACATTCTACCACGTGTCCTGGAATTCACAACTAACAATGAATACTATAATAACCATGACAAAAACATTGCTGCATCAAAGCTACCAATATCACCACCACCATTGCCAAAACAAACCACTCGGTTACCCATTAGATACGACACGCCATCTGATACCATTAGAGAACGTCAGTCTCGAGTAGACAGAATTTTAGAGAAGTACCGTCGGCAACCATCCAGTTCTGTCTCCAGACAGTTTTCTAGATCGATAAGCTGCAATGTACCCACTGAATCTCCTACACCTATTAATGATCTTAACTTATTACACACTACAAGGATGAAGGCAATTGATAGTGATGAAAAAAAACTGAATTCGGGGCCTCGAAGCATCAGCCCATATGCACTTTTTGATCGTTCAGATCAAAATTACAATACTGTAGGTACCAGCCAGGAAAATAAAAACCATGCTACAGTGAATAATTATTTGTCAAAATCGTATTCATTGAAAACTTTGGGTGAGTACCGTGCTCATAATTCAAACAGTTTATCGTCTGTTGATCATAGATCATTATCAAAATCAAATAGCACATTTGTCAATAATGATGAAGATCCACCCTCATCATCATCATCATCATCATCCACTACTACTTCTAAGAGTATAAAAGAAGACACTAATCATTATGGTTCTTCAGCCCTATTGGACTGGACAGTTGGCAATTATAGTGAAGAGACAGTCAGTGATCGAATTAGACGACGCAGTTTCTATGTGAAATTAAAATAATTTTACTGAAAATCAAATTCTTATCCTATCAAATAATTATTGTATTGGTTACCAGTATGAGTATATTTAGAGTTTTCTTGATTAGTTTTTGCCAAACATAAAAATATTGTGTGGTAAAATCAACTCCACAGAAAGCACAGAATAACATTTAATATTATTTTCTAGAACTTAGGTAATATAATTATTTTATTATTATTATTATTATGTATAGTACTATTGTGTTGATGTTTAATTGTTGACAATTCAACAAAATAAATATATTGTATCTAAATGACTTATTGTTTTATGTAATATATTAACAGTATTTCTAAGATTTTAGAGTGCAAATAACAAAAGTACATGTTTTGTTCTGGAAAGTTTAGCTTAAAATGCTTGAATATTGAACTATACTATATTGGTTCAGAAACAATTCATAGCAATATTAATTAAGAAGTTCTAACTTTTAAAAAAATATAATTTTTAAAAGTAGAAACTAGGCATATATTGAAGATTTAGCGAAGAATCTTGGCACTCGTTTTTATCTATAAAGCAGTTCAATTTGTACAGTGAAATATTAGGAGAAACAAATAATTTATAACTAAATATATATTTTTTTTTTTATAGAGTGAAAAATTATGGGACAAAATATTTTTGTTGTTTTATGAATTGAGTAAATGAATATATGATATACAGACATAAAGTAAATAAACAAAATTGTTTTTTATTTACCTCAAACAGCCACCGTCAGCCAGCAGGTGGTAGCAACACGTACAACATATATATTGTTGAAAAAAATATTGTTTCAACTAAAAACTACTAATTCTTTTGCATATTACTCAGGCTGTAATCATCCAATCAACTTGAAGTTTACTAAAGTATCACCTACTTAACATACTGATCTACTCATGTAAATTTCAAAACATTCGGTCCATTAGTTTTGGCTACAGAGAGGTCGGACCATTTGTTGTAAAATTACACTGGTTAAATAGCAATTGGTTGTCTCGTGTAACTTACTAAGGCTGACATACAAACTCTTTTTATTGTACTTAGCTCTGCCCTGCTGGATGTAAATTAAATCAAGTTTTGTCGTAAGACGGTAATATTGGGAACTGCATGGGAAGAGTCACATTTTAACAGTGATAAAGAGAACTTTTTTAAAGAAACAATGTTTAAAAATGTCACTTCAATTGACCTGACCCATTTTATATTTGCTTTTATTTGGCCTTGATGCAAACACATAACATAGACTATAGGGTATATCATATTATTTATCCTTGGAAATTGTGTTAACAGCAAGTGTACAATGGTTAAAAGTTTCAAGAACTTTTATCTTTTCTAGACCACAATTTCAATTAGTAAACAGACAACAGGTTTTCATACTACTTATTTTGTTATCAGACTAGCATAATATTTCTACTAATACTGATGGGTAAATATATTAAAAATTGAGGGCTTCATTTTCATTATTTTTTGTTTCATTTAATATGTTGGTAGGTATAAGTATATTTTATAAATTATTATATTCTAATTTTGTAGCGCAGATGTTCTGAAAATAAAACAATAAATTTCGTTGCTGAGTTGATTCGTTCGTTCATTTGCATAGTACGTATAATTTATGAAATGAAACCTGTATTATTTTAAAAAAACAAACTGATAAATTTTGCGCGATGGCTGACTCGATTTAATCTAATTTTTCAACAGCTTCTAAAACTCTACTGGATCGTCGGCGGGCTCGTTCAGCAGGCTTTACTGTATCAGGTCAAATATTAGTACCAGATTGCAAAAGAGACTGTGGTAAATCACACTTTGAATCATTTATAACAGATTTAGATGATTCTTTAGAAATTGGAGTTTCAAGATCATTTTCACCACTATCTGATTGACTAGATTTTTTAGAACGACTCATGGAACGATCTCTTTTTTTTAATTTCTTAGGTTTCTTTTCCACTAAATAAATAATTATTTTAATTAGAGTAAATAATTTCAAATAAATTCACATTAGATGTATCAATAATACTGGTAATTCAGGTATTATTACGGCTTTAGCTTAATCGTGGTGAAAATTGACATACAAGTAATTATAATTGCATACCCCGAGCGCCGTAATACCATTATATGACATTAAATTGCAAAAAAAAATTACTTACTTTGCACGTTGGGTACACTACTCAATGGCGGATCTAGGGGGAGGACACAAGGGCACGTGCTCCCTACCGATGGCCTACAGTTTTCATTTATATAATTTATAGTTAATTTACTGAAAATATAAATAATGTGCAACTCCATTAAAAATCTCTAGATCCGCCGCTGGTGTCACTGTTATAGTGTCGTAGGTGTATAATTGGGAAGGTAGGATATAAAGAAGAATTTAATATCTGTACGTAACGATTAATTAATGTTAACGAAAAACGATTCAGAACGAAGTTTGTTAATACATATTTTGGAAAGGCTTATAATATTTACGATTTTCGTAAAAATTTGATATTAAAATGCTTATGAAAATAAATTCTACATTACACTCATTTTTTTTTTTTTATACTACAAAGCCCAATTTATAATGAACTTCCCGTTAAATTTTAGAGTATTTCAGTTTGGTCCAACAATTTTATTAATTTAGTAACTATCGTATACAAATTGCGTAAACAAAAATCAAAAGCGGCTGATATATTTTAAAAATTGTATTTCGTCTAGAAAAATCAAATAAAAGTTTTTTTTTCAAAATTTCAAGTCAACAAATATTTTTAACTGAATCACAATAAAAATACAAAATCTAAAATTATACATTTCGTAGATTGTCCCATTTTCCCTATATGTTTTTTCAAATTATTATGAAAATCCTTTGGAAAATCAAAAAATGATATCCTAAGAGTATTATCCAGACCAAATTTCCTTTCAGAGAAAGTACTACACTTGAAAATCGGAGGAAGATTTCTGGAAGACAAGTTGTTGACGGATAAAAAAAAAATAAACATCAATGTAAAACCAATGCGTTCCTCGCTTTGCTCAATATGTGAAATGTGCTCATTACGGTTCATTCAAAATGTATAAAAGGAAACAAAATAGTAAACACAAACATTGAACGTCCATAAAATTTGACGATTTTAAAATTGATTGGGATACACTGCGTTGGGTACCTACGTGTTCTACGTATACTAAGTATTCTACGTGTTCTAAGTTAGAAGCAGGTAGGTAGGTATTGTCAAATCACATTTTATATCTCGGTACTTACCTATTAATAAAACCGTGTGAAAAATTCGACGATTTGTCTTGTGCCGTATGGCACATCGTTACTACGCGGCGACGGCACTTTTTAAAGACTCAATGATAATTTTGACGTATCCGAATAAATTGCGACGTATTCCTCGACTGTCTCGGATAATCATAATTATTATTGCGGTTCCGCTACTGAATCATTTTAATATTATGCAAAAGAAACGGTATAGACGTGCATATTAAAAACCTACGCCGAAAAACTTTACTATATATATGTATATATATGTATACATACCTAGCCATTAACTATAAGCGGACAGGTAATAATAATAAACACATTAATTATTACCTATTTTAGTATTATTACAATCAATAATATTGAGAAATCTAATAAATCGTGAATTATGTAATTTATGCGTAAAACAATTTGTGTGCGTACATCGGACAACAACGACCGTATCGTTATTAGATAATTGTTATATTACGGCTACGCGGAAACCCATATTACCTATCGGACCGGCGTGCACATTTTCAACAGATAAGGGGCGATTATAAATAGGGCCAGTTGTTTTTGATAACGTCTACCGGAATTTTCAAGTCGATTTATTTTCTTTAACCAACGAAAACTGCATTATCGTATTGTACGTCGCTCTGCGTTCATTATGTCGCGGTCTTTCATATTTTCGTTGCGACACCCTACCTACCGTGTCTACCGCGGTGGGCCGGACGGCCAAATTTTCCGAGAAATTTTCAAAAGTACTCACGGACAACGCCTTCGGCCGACCGCCGCCGTAATTGACGACGGCGCATTCACCGCAATGAATAATAATATTATTAACACGAAGAGGAAAAAAAAAAAAAACATCAAATAACATTACTACCCGCACGCACGCACGCGCAACGACACTCGCGACCCGTGAAAACTGAACAGCCCAACGCTGTCCACCGATGACCGAAGACACACAGGACTGGTATTAACCATCACGATGAAATAATATTACGCGGTATAATTAAAAGCTAACATCCTTGGAAAACTGACGGCCCGGTTCTGGGGTTCCCGTCGAGCGGCGTTAGTAAGTACGTAATACTGTAATAATTGTGCAGTGTCGTTTTCAATTCGTATAGTACACGCAGCGATCTTTTCACCGTAGCGTCGGATGCGGCATCGATCACATTTACAATTTATAAAAGTGCCGTGGTCGCGGTATTCGCCTGTCGAAAATGATGACGCGTTTGTCGGCGATGCGGTCCCGGAATAAAGCGCCCGGTGAGTTATTGATACCTACCTGCCCACTCAACGGTACCTGCATAATATTCAATACCTTGTCCTCAAACGTTATTCATTTTTGTTCTATGTCAGAGGCCATTATCACATATATTTTAGGTCGAACGCGTCTTGTCACTGCGGCGTGAAGTTTTACTTTGCTTCTGAAATGACTTCACCTACCTAGTAAGTTTTTTTCGATTTCCATATTCTATTTTAATAATTTCAATGCTCGAATCTGCTTTTTAGTTTAAATTCATACCGCGCAGACCCGCGGATTAGGATATACGGTGCCCGTAGACTGTGAACAAATAAGTGTCCGATTTTTTTTTTTGAAAATCAGCCAGTGCTAAACTTGTATTCAGTGGTAAACCTGAGCATGTTAATTATAAACGTATTTTAGTTCAAATTTGGATGGAAATCGTAAAATTTACCGCATTTAACGTAAGTTCTATTTTCCGATTTGTTACAATGTGTACCTACAATATAAATAATCAGGGCCGGATTTAGATTTTCGGATGTCTGAGGCAAATCTTTTTTGAGGCCTTAAGCGGTAAAAAAATTTAAAATACCCAACATCTAAGTATTTAAGGATAAAATTAAAAATTTGAAAACTTGCACGTTATTACTATGTACCTACAATGTGTTTATTTTCAGTTTGAAATACTGCTGTTCATGTATCATAAATTTCAATATCCGTTTAAATATTGCAATATTATAATCATTTCATTAAACATTCATAATTTTAAGAGTAAAAATAAGTATATTAATCTCATAACATTTTATTTATTACAATTTTAAAATCAAATCTTCACACTGTTACATTAATTATTTCAAAACAAAAATGATGGACATGTTTCGCACATGGCTGCATCCACTGTTGTTGGTGAGAAGTTGGGAAGGTAAGATATAGAGGGGAAATTAATTTGTATCTGTAATCACTAAGTAACAACTTGCTTACTAAAAACGATTCTGAGCGGAGTTCAGTTGATAGTAATGCTTTGTCAACAACATATACATCATATGATGGTAAAATAATTAAATAGGCAATATATATTTTCCTTAATAATATTTGTTTAATATTGTACCGATTTTCCCGTTTTTCCTACGTTTTTCTCGGTTTTTCATATTTGCTAATCACTAGAACGTTTACACCTATGTACTAAAATATTTTATGTTCACTGGGTGCTTCATTGTCATTATGTTGTCATGTGAAATCTTAATGTATTAATTTGCAGCCCAAATCATATAAATACAAATTAATCTTTATTTTTAGAAGTTGATATATTTTTTTTTTCATAAATTTCCTAAGCCAAGGGTCAAAAATTTTTAAATTTTCATACAGTATTCCGGCATCCGGATGCCCCACAAACATCTGCTGCTCGGGACAAGTGCCTTTAAAACCCTCCGTCAAATACGGCCCTGTAAATAATTACACATTACGAAAAATTCCGATAGATAAATTTATCAAAAAATGTTTAACCGGGACTCGGTTCTGCAGAATTGTGATTTTCGTTTGCGATCATTTATCGTACGCCATACGGGTGTAAATTATAATTATACTGTGCGTGGAAAATTAAATTTTTTATATTGATTTCTGATGTTTTTTCTTTTCTGCTATAGACAACATCGGGTTTTGACTTATAATACGACAGGTGCAGACAGCAGCAATAAGATATCGTACGCGAATTTTGTAAACGGAAACGTACACGTATTGTTGTAATTTTTTTTCTCCACCGGCGGCGAATATTGTAGTGTCACCGTTTTCCACGGCGGGCGAGCGGTGAGGCGGGGCCGGATCGACGCGATTGGCCGCGACCGGCGGAAACGCCGTGACTCGCGATTACGACGACGGGCACGAGACACGAGTCGCCCGACTCCACCGCTGTCACTATCAGTCGCAACGTGTTCGGCGTTCTGTACGGTCGTCTTGTGTGCGCAATTGATAGTCGTTTTCGTGTTTTTCGCCGCTAAACCAAAAGCACCGACAGCAGACGAATATCTATTTACGCGCGTTTTGTTATAATCGCGATCAGTGTCGCACGCGTCGTTTACTCCGACAACGGTTTTTCGCGCCCCGTTTGAGTCCGTGTTCCCGGGGTCACCGTGCATAAACGTATGGCAAATTTTCGCCGGTCACCGGCGCCGAATCACCTTGTCACGGCCGTCCAGAAATCGTCGCCGACAAAAGTTGATCTCTTGCAAGGTTGATCAACACCGGTCACAATCGAACCGTGCGGAAATCCGCACAGAATATTATAGTTTACCGAGGTAATCACGAAATTCATCCTTATAAAACTAACCGCTTTCTAAACTGTTTATATTGAATTTATCGACAAAAGCGCGGACTTTTGCCGTACACCATACCACTATGATAATAATAAATAACAATATTAGATATATACCGGCAACCAGCGACTCGACTAGGATTTTTTGAAGAGGAGTATCACGTGTCGGCATTTAAAATTAAAACCACGGTTTTTAATGTATTTTAATGTATTTTAATAAATTTATATTTATACAAAACACCTCCCTCCCTTAATTGCGCCACTGACGGTAATCCTACACATTTTCCGGTCCGACCATCAGTAATAATAACAGCCACTTACCCAAATTTCTGGTGGATACGTTGACAATTTTTATTATTTTTTTTTTGTCAGTTTGTTGACCGCGTGTGTCACACTTCCATTTTAAATATTACTCAATATACCCACATACCTAGTGTATATTTTAATATTTGCATTAAGTATGTTACTTCGCACATTTTCACGTAGGTAATTATATTATGTTTATATTTCTACTGTGTATATTTTGTAGCTGCTAAAACAGAAGGTAGGCCCACTGGCCACTACGCACAACACGCATTAGCTATAGAGACATAGAGTTTAAACTTTTAAACGTTACCCGTTTAAATTTCAAATATAGGTGTGCGCAGACATCGATGACAGAGTACCTAGTCCACAGCGGATGAGTGGGTTATATAGGAGCATTCAATTTACATTTTGTGTATTTTTAACGTATTTGATTAACAATTGAACCTGAAATGCTAATAAAAAAAAAAAAAAAAAAGTGATACGATAAACCGATTGTATTTTAGCAATAAGAATAATGAGTTATTATGATAAATTTCGTTTTGAATATTCAAACTTTTTTTACTAAATATTCTAAAAACTCGAAAGTTCCAAATGGCTAAAAATAACTCAAAAAAGCCAAAATATCATAAAAATTATATCCAAAAAATAATAATTTAATAATAATACGTATGTTTTACATATTTCAGGTTTCTATATAATTATTCCTTACTCAATAATTGACAATAAATATAAGTATATTAAGTTATTGAAAAAAGCACATAATATAGTTATCTAAAACTCTCTGTTGGCAGATGACTATTCTGCAGATTAGGTACTCTGCGCACACCTGTATGGTTTTATATTTGAGTTACCTATCTCTTTAATGAAATAGTATTTTCAAATCTAATGTTGAATCTTGTTCAAACCTAATAATTATTACATACAGGTTGGTGTATTTTATGTTTCTGCCTATTAGTCATCCAATAAAATTTATAAATGTAAGTTAACAATTCCTTCATATAATTCTGCTATATAAAATTGTCTGATAAAAATGAATATCTATTATTATTTATATACATAATATGGGTAGTATTATAACACCTAATAATAACACAACATATATTACTAATATTACCTATGTTTTGTAATATTATTTATTAGATTATTGATCTTTAATTAGTGTGAATATTAGGCATTGTTACCAGGGAAACCCTCGAATATTTATTTACCATCATCCTGCAGGTCTTTTTAAATTTTAAATCAGTATTATATTATGAACATAGTTACTATAGAACCAAAGTGACATCGTAATCGCTAATTACTAATCTATTACCTGAATTATGAAATTATTGATAATATTGACATTATTGATATGTTTATTATGTATCATTATTAATTGGATGGTTTAAAAAAAATTATCTTCTTTAAGAAGATTAAACTATTTTAAATTTATCTGGGGTAACTACCTAATAACCCTATGATTAATTATTTATCCTCTGGTTTATCCCATGGCATGTGTTAAGTATTTACTTATACAACTATAATGATACATAGATTATCAACAATCGATTTGACCTTGTCCTCTCTTTGATAGTTATAAGGTACCTAGTAGTTACTTAAGTAAAAATTTTTTTATCCGAATATACATAGTTTCCAATACTGACCAATATTATTTTAATGTATCTACCTCTTTATCTACCTATTCAAAAATTATAACGTTCTCCTTGATGTGTTCACTGTAAGTACCTAAATATAGTTTATTATCAATGTGTTTGTTTTATTGAAATCACTTTAATTATTAATTCTCAATTAATAGTAAGATATGCTATTAATTGTTTTGTTTATTGGAAACACATTTTTTCTTTACCTTATGCGATTAAGTACATTAAGTGAAACTTCTTTTTAATACTTATTACATTATATCATTCATATTTTGTTTATCCCGTAAAAATACAAATTAATAATTATTTTCTGATTATTCGTGTGGTGGATTATAATATTATTAACTATTACTGAGTTTTTACACTTAATTTATTGTTAAGAAAATGTTTAGCGCCAAGTAAAAGTTTTAGTTAGTGTTAGGTGTTTATCAATAATTATTTCCGTCTTTACTTAATATTATAATTATTTTATTTCATAATTTTAAGAGGACATTATATCCGCATCTACTGTCTCAGTCAAACTACCGGGTAACATGCAAAATTAATGCTTACGTAGAATAAGTAAAATTAGTTTAATTTTGATTTTAGCGTAAAAGTACCAATTATGAAATTTAAAGAGAACAATATTTTGTAGGGAGTATCTAGAGCTTTTGTATTATTCAAAATATACACCTCTATATAAAAGATACAAAAACCTTTATTTTAATTTTTTATTTTAACTGTAAATTTTTAAATAGTTCATATTTCAAAAAAAAAATACGACTTCCCTCCAAAAAATTGTGCTCTATAAATTTTATAATAGGTAATTTTCCTCTAAAATCAAAATTAAGCTAGTTTTACTTATTTGGCTTAGCATTGTTTTAGTATGTTACTCAATAGTTGGACTGAGATAGTAGATGTGGGTATAACGTCCTCTTAATGTACGAATTGAGTTTAAAAAAATTAATTATTTTTTATTTAATATTTTAGTTGAAAGACACATTCTATTGAAGTAAATATGACGAATATTGGACGTATACGGACTGTAGTTTTAGGAAGTTCTCGCGTTGGAAAATCAGGTAATAATATTATTATATTTTTATTTAGTTTATTAAGGGTAAAATATTTCTAAATATATGGTACCTAATGCCTATTTAATATTTAATCATAAACCCTCATACCTCATTCAATATTCAAAATTTTAACAGAAAATGTACTTGTACTTTAAATCAAAATTAGATCTGAATTAGATCTATTTATATGTTCAATGTACATTATATAATAAAAAAAAAATTATATTTATTATCATATTCTATCAATTAAACATTTGATGATAACAATGTAATATTATTCTAGTATTTTTAATAAGTAGATAATGGTAATAAAGTAGTAATGATTGGTAGTGTAGATGCTTATGTTTTGATAACCTTAAATTTAAAATCGTATTAATTTTAAATTATAAAATTCCAATTGACCGCGTTTTTTTGTCTTAAATTGTACAGAGTTAAAAAAGTGTTATAATTCAGGACATTTTATCAGAAAACACCCCCTAAGTTGATTTCTGGAGAAAAAAAAATAAAAAGATATCATACAAAAAAAATTTAACAATAAAGTTAAAACCAATAGATCAATGTTTACAGAATAATTATTGACTTCAACTAGAATTAATAAAGGAAGAATTAAATTTTAGTATACATTTTTTCTATTTATAAGATATAAATAGGCAGGTATTAATAATAATTATACTTTTACTAAATTATAGTTAATTATTATGTATAAAAGTAACATTATCACTATGTATTAGTAGTGAATACTAAATTTTATTGAAAAATTTGGTTAGGTTAGGTAATTAGAATTGCTAGATCTTAATTATAATTGCTCAAATTATTTCATAATAAAATATTTTAATGCTTTACATTAAGTACAACTATTTATAAATTATCCTATAGAGTAAAATTAGGTCATAAATAATATTAAAACAGTTTTATTAAGCATATTTTTAATTTGTACTATAAAAAAAAATGAAAAATTGTGTAATTAAATCTCTTGGAATTTCTTAGAAAAAAAAAATGTTTTTAAATGTATATGGATACATAATATTGTAATATCTATTTGACCAATGAAAAGTAAATATAGTAAATATTGTTTCACCTAAGGAATTTCACATTTAATGTTTTGTTTTAATTTTCAATTTAGTTATAAACAAATTATTTTTGCTAAAAGAGAATTCAAATTTTTAGATATTGAACACAAACTATTTATTTGCTATTTACTAATTTTATATAAAATCATTAATTTTTTTTTTGTTTGAACCAATTTTACAATTTGTTATTTTAACATAGTAGTAAAACAAATAGAAAAATGTATCATACAGCTGTTACAAAAAAAAAAAAAAATATTTATTTTTGAGCTGTAAATCTTGTTCCACTAAGAATCTTTTATGTATTCATACCTACTTGACTTTATATAATGTAATTTAATAAAATTATATATATTTGACAATGTGCCTTTTTTAATTTTGGACAAAGTTTTATATTGCCTGCGTGTTATTTTTTTTTCAAAATAAAAACTACAATAATAGTAAAGTTTTTTCTACTTATGAGAATTAAAAATTGAAAATTTCCAATCATAATTATTGATTAATAATATCTCTAAGAAATTAAAATAAAAACAAGTAAAATATTTGTTGATATTATAACAATATTTCGGTATTTGTAAGTTTTTAAATTAGGTTTATATAATTTTTATTATTTCAAATTGCGAGTAAAAAGTTTAAAGTGGATTTTTCCTTAACTTAATAACACCTGTAGCACTCTATACTATATAGTATAGTCTCACTGCTAATAATAATAATTATTGAAATATTCAAGAGTGTGAAATGTATTTCATTATAAATAATGGTCATAATATTATTACGGTAGGTACCTATCTAACTGTATAACCTGAATAACGAATATTATGTTAGTGCGTACCTACTTGTATATTATTATATACCTATATACCTAATATTTTGTAGTCCAGACGTTTGGTTAGAATTCTCGGTGCGCACATATGTTTATACGTGCCGAAACCTAATATGGAAACAATGACTATACGTAATATATAATAATTTCAATATTTCGTCTATATTAATAAAGCCGCAACTGTAGTTTTCTAAATTGGTTAGAGAAGACCTGAATCTAAAAAAAAAAAAAATAATCTTTATTATTTTATAGCGTAAATTATCGGCATTTTTTTTCAACTTATATAGGTTTGTCTAATTCTCCTATTCTCAATATTATAATTGATTACTCGCCTTTTCTCTTAGTTCTTTGAAGTTTTCGGACTCTTGCATTGTTTTTATTTTGTTCTACAATATATAATAAGAATCACGAGGATGGTCTAAACCTTCCCCTTACAACCACTTTAATTTATTACAAGTTAAATAGTCATAAGTTTCAATATTTTTTCCTAGCAAAAAATTAAATGATAAAAGCATGCGATTCATAAAAATTATAAACAAATTTTGCTTGAAATAGTGAAAAAAAAAAATTTAAAACATATGCCGTTCAATTAGAATTATTGCCTTATACTTATTATTGTACAAAAAAAATTGCCTTTAAATGTATCGATTTTCCTTGGAGATACTAAGGGTGATACGGAATTTTTGGGATATGCTGTATTGTATTGTATTAAATAGTAATAAGTAATAACTATTACTTATTACCGTCCTGACCAACTGCTCTTTAATAGAGGAGGTTACCGTCATCTACCCCTCCTCTGAGGACCATCGGGGCATTTTAATCACTTTCCAACGGCTTGCATTAATCGCATCCATAATGTATTTACCTTTTTTTTCAATAATATTCCCATAGTACTTTTTTATTTGTTTTCCTTTCTATTCAACTTGTTTTTTCCATGTACGACTGGGACAACATTATCATGAAAATTTTATTTTGTTATTTTTTGGGATTATTTACGACTCATGTTTTACTTTTATATTTATGTGCAAACCCTCTAAACGTATAGGTTCCTTTGTTTAAATAAATCTCTGGGCATTTTAAGTAGGATTTTAGCTTTAGTAGGTTTTCTGGGGTCCAAATCTGTATATAGTAAATTTCATAGGACACCCAGTAGAGTAAAATTTTGCTTAACTTGCTAGTAGTGTTTTCCCTACAAATTAAATTATAAGAAATACTTTCACTGGTAAGAGGGGATGACTGGGGAAAGTCCAAATATCAGGAGGAAGGTTTGATCTATCTGCTATAATGAAGCTTTTCTAAAGAAAGCGGGATCTGGCACACAGTTGATATTCACTGAAAAATATCCCGTGTAGTCTGTTCTGTATATTATAGCAGAAGAATAAAATAATAATATTGGAGCGCGTTGATTTAATTATATAAAAATTGAAAATGCGCCGTAATGGCGAACGAATACAGATAATAATTTTGTTTATTCCATATTATTATTATTTTATTTTTACGTTGTTGTATTTTATTCCCGCGTGTATGGTTCCGATCGAAACGCGTGTTTATGTATAAGATATGAATACTGTGAATAATGATATGAAGTACGATTATTTTTATTCTATACAATATTCAAATTGCGTTGTGCGAGTTCCGCACGACGATATAAAGACGATTTATTTTATTATTTTATTAAAACTATCGATCTAAGTTTGGGCATCCTTGTCAAACGAGGTGCGTATTTCTTCTCCTGTTAAGAGAAGTACCTACAGCTACTGTACACACGATACAGCTTAATAATCACGAATCTCTTTGTATTTATAAATTGTGTCTTTTTATTTTCTTTGAAATGTCTAAAGCTTATAATAATGAAATACGCAATTATTTTCATAAATTACGTAGAATATTCAAACCACCGCGCGTCGTTGTCGTGTCATTCTTTATGTAGTACAATTATTATAGTATTATACTTTTGATCTGCGGATTTACAACTGACGACTGCTGCAACAGTAATAGGGAATTTTTTTTTTGTTTTGTACCTTTTGTAGGTACTATCCTAACTATACTTATCATATTATTTATTATCATTTATAACGTAACAAAAACACTAAAAACTTATGTTTATATGATAACTATCGTCGCACGAACATTGAGGTTGGGTACCACCGCCTGTCTTAAATCGTTGATTTTTGCAGGTTAATCGGTGTTTAGGTTGAGTTGTTTTTTTTTTTTATGTTAGTTGTATACAATTTAACTGTTACCTACAACAATATTATATACTATAATATACGTCAGACGCGTAGGTACCTACTTATTTGGCATGTGACGCTGTGCCAATTTCATTTTTGACAACGGGCAGATTGCAAACCATAAAAAAAAAACCCCGAAAAAAACGAGAGCGAGGTCAAAGTTTTTGCAACAGATTAGTATTTTCGTTAGTTACAGCGTACCTACCTATATATAATGCAAATAAAGTATGTTTATATTAAATAGGTAGATACTAATTTTTCTTGAGTAAAGAAAATATTAATATTATTAATGAGTTATAATTTCTTTCTGAAAACGCGTGTGTACCTATACCATAATATATAATATTATAATTTAATTATATGAGATTGTTTTGAATTAATTAAGTCGATTATAATATAATATAAGTATTAAGTATCTTTACCTATATAATTTATTATAACAGTGATCCAAGGCCTTAGATAGGAAAACCATAATATCTGTATAGGTAACTTGGTTACTATTTTAAATCTATTTTGATTTTACCATTAGATAACATTTGTAAATTATTATTCGTGTAACGACTGTCGTACGATTACCGCGAGAGAAATGAGAAAATGAAGTTGCAAATAATATTATGACAAACACTGTTTGCAGGCTTAATTGAACTGGCTTTAATAATAGTCGTGATTATAAATATTGTTGTTTTTTTTTTAGATACATTTAAAACGCTTAAAGCTGACGTGAAAAATAATAAGTACCAACAATATTTTTATTATGGATCGTACTAAGTAAATTTTATACTATTAAACGCGCTACCAAGGGCATCCATCTTCAAAAATCCAAGGGGACACATTGTATTATTAATTTAGTTTCTGAGTGTATACTAAGGGTGTACTATGATGTCTTATTTTAGTTATGTTTTTAGAAAATACTTAAACAGTAAAACTGTTCTAATTTTCTCATGCCAAACCAAGATAGATGCGGATTTTTCGCCTGTTGGTATTTAATTTAAAAAAAAAATGTGGATTTGACACAGTTTTTCTATAATATTGAAATGCTAATAACAAACTTCCATACAAGTTTTATATTTTTGTTGATTACTGCAGGGTAAGGCAACCCAGAAATCAAAAAAAATATACGGCTATACGGTAAAAAACTTCTATTAATACTACTCAGATTAGTTTTTGTTTCCAATGATTTATCGTTGCCTACAGTACATAAAAACATTAAAAAATAAATCACTTCGTATACCTTATATTTTTTTAATTGTATCTTCAATGATATTTTGATAATAATTTACTTTTTCTGTTAAACTGTTAGTATGTCATATGTCATTCCAGGGGGCACATGTTTCCCCCATCCCTAATCACAATTAACGCCAATGCTCGTTATACAATGTTAATGGCTGTTATCCGATTAAGCACGTCTATAATGGTTTATTGGCTCGAGTACGCGTATAAACAATCCGTTTTTTTTTTCTTAAACTATTAGATACATTACGGTATAGACGCATCATCGTTTCAGATATGATAATGTACGTAAATAACAATTCGCTCAAGCAAAAAACTCGACAAATGCGGTAAACACAGCTGCGCCGATGTACCTATAATACTTAACGATATTATACGATTTGACTTACTATTTTTATGTATATACGCACGCGGTTGACCTCTGTGTGGCGTAAGTATATAATATTTTTTATGTATCTATTATATGATAATACTCCATAAAAGTCGCTCTAAGACAATGCACCAATGCACAGTCGATTTTATTATACACTCGAATTTTTCCCGTACCTATATATATGTATACATCTAAGGCCATCGTCTAAATAGGACCGCGCGCGGTGTTGTATAAGCGGAAAAGTCTGCGCAGTCGGTATGGTTTAGCTTCCGATCGGATGATGATTTATCGTGGCTTCGAAAGCAATTTTGAATCGTCGGCGAAAAAAACCCCGTAATTATATTTGCCGGCTGCAAGTATAGTGACGGCGGCGGAAACCCATCGGGCCGCGGTGCGCAGTTATTAAACATTGAAAAGTTCCGACGGCCTTTCGAATTACGACGCGGTGAACCTAATAATACCAGCTCTATATATAGAGGCGTCTAGTCGTGAAACGTGAAACGTGATTACTGATTAGTGATTACACACGTTTGGCGAGTATATGGGATTCGCGGACTCGACTGTAATGTAGGTATACTGTGCGGTAGTATACTTTTTTTATTTTGTTTTGTTTTTTTTTGCGGTATAGATAACGAGATATGATTGCGGTTTATCGACTCTGCGCGCATATTATAATATTATTGCCGTACTACAGTCGATCGCTGTATACAATAATATATAATATGTATAGATTTCCTGAAAATCCGCACGTTTTACGACTATCTTCGCGCGTCTCCGCGGGCAGTCCGAATCCGATGCGGCGACCTCGCGGTAGCCCCGCGGGTTTTCTGAAATCCGCCACCGTCACGCACTCTGTGTTTCTGTGTCGGGTGTATCGCGTGTGCTACGGACGACGACAACGGCCGTCCGTCAAAACGCTTTGGACGACGGAGCCGTAACCGTACCCGTTCACGCGCACGCCGCTCGTTTTATTAATTACGATCATTGTCCGACCACCTACGTGTATAACATTAGTGTCGTTATGACGATAATAATAATAATAATAATAATAATAATAATAATGATGATAATTCGATATCATCACATGACCGACGGCTGACACCGAACAACACTCGCGCGCTAGCCTGTCCGCCCTGGACGTTTTAACGTAATGCCCGAGCCGTGCCGACGACGACACGACGAGGCTGAACCCTTCAGTAATTATAATCGGTATACGTAATAATATAATGCGGTCGAGCATCATCATAACAATAATATTATTATCGTTAGTATTGTACAGCTCTCGTTCAGATGCCTACGCGGATTGACGGTTGTCGCACCACATAATATTGTGTATCGACGTCCGACGTCGTCACAATAAGTTGTTTTTTTTCCTATATAGTCGGTTTTTATCGGTTTTTTGCGCTCGTATCCGTGTATTATACTCGCATATCGCGCCACCAGTGACGCGTTTTATTTAGGATTTTTTCATGTTAAATACAAATCGTATATGGTTTCCTGCTTTTCTTTCCGCGTTTGTCGATTCTATTATTATTATTATTAACTGCATGCAATACGTATTTTATACAATGCCGGTACAAATCGGCTTTTTCCCCGTATACCTATCGTCCTACCCGGTAAGGAGGGAAAAGGAGAAAATTTTACAGAACAAAACATCAAATATTCCGATATTAATTCGGCCGACTCGCGGACGGTGTATATTTAAATTGTGATATTTCACACTATCTTATCTCGTTTTAAAACTAAAATAAATAAAACTAACGCGTACAGTGTTCTATCTAATGTACTATCCTGTTTGATAACGGGTCGATTCACCATAATATTGAAATTATCCATTGGGGTATATAAATGGGGCTGGGGGCTTAATCTCCTAGAATCGCTATAGCTCTCCCACAAAAAAAAATAATGATTTCATTATATAATACATTGGAATATATCATAAAGTGAAGCATAACAAAGCAATAAAAAAAGAAAACAGTCATCAGTCCCCCTGAAATTCAAACACAATTTGCACCTACGTTTGTAAGATGGAGCCAACAATTGCACGTGTAGACTCTTTCTTCCTCGTAATCAAAAAATAATCCTATATTTATTACGTAAAATCACACTCGGGTCTGTCAGAGGGACAATTGGGACAATATGTTTTCATTTCTTCCATGAACGCCACCACACTTATACTCTATTCTATACTAATCGTACTCTGAAATTTTAAACGCAGTCCCGCAGAATTGCGGCCGGGGAGCTTATTTACAGATTCCTGTGTGAGTTCGACCCAGGCGTAGTATTTTATCCATTAGGATATTATAAGTATTATAGGCTTACACTTCTAGAAAACTGATTTCTCAGGAACGGTATTAAGTTTGGAACGACGAGTAGGTTATATCTTGTTAAACCGCCTAAAACTAGCTTGGTTACGTTTCGACTCGGGCCGAACTCGGATAAGGTCCGTATAGATTCGTGATAGGGGCGACGTATATCGTGGAAAAAACCATCGTCATATTATGATGGCTTCATAGGCGCTCAAATTTCGTTTTGTATAATCACATTTAATTATACAATTTTTTAAAAGCTAATGGGGGGGGGGGGCAATGCGCCTGTGTATGGCTTTATAATTATCAACTATAAAAAGAAAAGCAATACTAATTAAATTGAGTTTTTAAATAACAATAAAATAAGTTATTTAAAAACTAACAACAAAATAAGTTAGGTTAATTGATAATACAGAGATATAATTGTTTCGTCCCGCGGTACCTCGGAAGTCTATGTCAAGATTGTGTATCCATTCAACTGCGACCTTCCTATGTAGCAGCAAGAACTCGACGTTTTCTCCGTATCCTCGGTGGGGGATGAACGTGTCGCCCATAGAACAGACAGCCATTCCTGCGATGTCGATCTCCAGTGTTGTTCCTATTCCTCATTGCTGAGTTATTAAGCCGCGTATCAATTTTTTAACCTGACCCAACCGAGATATTTGCGCGTATTAGCGGGGAAAAAATAAATACTAACATCGCGTACATTATAATACAGTCTTCGTCGTGTGTATAGCCGCCACGCAGCTGATATATGGGTCAAATCATTATTACGATACACGCGCACCTGTGTATTATAATTACAAGGCGCCCGGGCCGAGGAACGCGCCGCCGCCGCGCGACCGGTCGTCGTGCGTCGAGTTCCGCGATACCGCGCGTTAGATAACCCAATAATTACCGCGTTGATAGGAGGTTGTGGGAACCCGCCCCGCCGCGGCCCGGTCGCCGATTTATGAATACGCATAAATATTAAATATCGTACGCGATTTAATTTATATTTATTATTATTATTATTATTATTATTATTATATTGTATACGTATAATAATATTATACGCGCATACGCGTATGTGTGTAGTGCCGCGCGATAAACCGCTACGAGCCACGTCTGACATTGCAGGCGGCGGCAATGCTGTGGCGACGGGTGTCCAGGTAGGCGGCGGGGTTATCCGTCACGTTGTTTGCGAAATTTTTTTCGCGCTAGGAGGAAATTATGAATATGATAGTAGTAAAAAAAAAAAAAAACCAGTATCGCTCGGCCGCGTTCGTTTTACCACACTAAAACCTATGCACGATCCTCTCGCGCTCTCGACTGCAGGCCTCTCGAGAAAAACACCTATAATTGGTAGGTGGGTATCGCGATGTAATAATTATCGATTTTTTCAAACTTTCGCCTCAGTGATACACGCGACTGGTCGGGACAGCCTTTGTGCGGTCGTTACAACACTGCTCCGCGTGGTAACGCCGAACCCCACCCCCTAGTATGCGTGGCTGGTATATGATGGTGTAGTAAAAAAAATATATATATATATGGTTTACCAGGTTCTTAAATATTATTTAAGTGCGAAATGACAAATTATTGAAGTTCCTAACAGTAAATTTCAAGCGTAACGACGCGATAAAATTTGATTCAAAAAAGGGTATACGAGTATGTAGTTATTTATAAGTACTTGAAATAAATTTTATATTATAGATCTTTTCGTAGTTCAGTGCCACTGCGTCGTTCCGCAATATAATATTCTCTGTTCTGTGATTTCTGATGAAATATATATCTTTATCATCTATAATTCCCTTTATTAAACTTTTGACTTTGACTTTCACGTTTCTTTATCGGGTTTAACTTTTTAATATACGATTTCCTTCTACTATATCTACCATCACTTTTCTTACGGTCTGCCTCGTGGTATTTTCCCTTTCGACTTCCATTCCAGAACAACCTTTATGCTATCATATATTTTCCGCTTTTTATCATTATAGAATATGCCTCAACCGTTGTATTATTTGATTTGTTACAAAGCTTTATTATAATATATCCTCTTATTAAAACACCTTCTCCATTTATTTGACTTTTGCTGCCTCAACTACACTCCTCCATTATATATCTTTGTATACGCTATCGTTTATTGTTACTACTCAGGGATATACATTAATTGATTAAGTCGTTAACGACTTTGCTTGTCCTATGGGGTGTCATGGTCTTTTCGCATTTAACTTTCGGACCAAGGCTTTCTTCAAAAGGCTATTTGATTTTTTGACATGGTTTACTTACTCGAATCGTTTGCTCATGCAGTAATCGCTTTTAATATTAGGATTTCAGTAGATTAGTTGAACTTCTCTATTTGTTTTTCTTCTGTGCACGTTATTTTCTAATATTGGTCCATACATCCGTTTAAGTATTCCCCTTTCAAAACTAGACATTTTTCTTTATCTACTATACTTTAAATAACTAACCATGCATTTATACGGGCGCATATGATGGTAAATCTGGTCGTATAGGAACCATGAGTACAGGCGTTCCTTCGATTGTATAAACTCTAAAGAGTAATTTTGGCTTAAACAATTTTCATAAAACATAATCATTTAAACCTTATGAAATGTATGCGAGATATATTATACAGATTATAGGTGTTATTGTTATTATTATTATTAGGGACGAATGATTGCGTACTAATCCTTTACGCCGTCCACCGTCGTAACAAAATATATATTTGTATACAGAAATAAATAATATATATGTATAAATATTAGTATGGATTACGGAATTCAATAGGTGTTTAATATAATAATTTTATACGTATACTTACGTTTCTGTGCGCGTGAATAATTTATTATGCATATTATTTATATTTAGAATAAAACATACGAACAATAATATTATATTACTTTATTCGATTACTACGTATAATACTATATACGTCTTTAAAACTAAGATATGTGTGCGTATGAGTGCGCAACTCGAACCGATTGTATTTCGATACTATAGGGAAATGTGTGTGTATGTGTGTGTGTGTGTGTGTGACGCCCATGCGTAAAACCGTGAAAGGAAATACGAATCTATACGATTCTTTTTTACGATATCGCGGTTAGAATAATATTCCCATCAGTCGAGAGTACCTTATATACTTGCACGGGGACGAAGATACGTTTACAGATTAAAATTCGATACAGGTGAAATAATTAATACAAATATTACGGAATCCGTTCTATGTGTAAGGTACCTATTTTAGATTTCGAGCGAAGCGAGAAATGTATTGGTTTTACTATGATGTGTTTTTTTTTGTGTTTGTAAACAACTTTTCAACCAGATATCTTGCTCCAATCAACAACTTTATAGGAACTTTTATGTGTAGCATTTTTGATTTAGTTGGTGTATTAGCGAAGTCATTTTATTGATTTTCATTGTAGTTTCTTTAATAAATGGGAAAAATTGACGACGTTTGTAAAATTTGTATAGATTTTTGGAAATTACTTTGATAATAATAGGAAAAGTACGTCTAATTAAACTCCGCTCAGATCGTTATTTGTTAAAAATGGTTTTCAAAACTGTTCAATATATTCTCCATTTCAACATCTCTCCTAAGGCTGCAATGTGTCTCTGTAGTACAACCTTTTTTTTTAATAATGATACTGCCATGTCAGTTTAATTTTGTATAGTTGTAATAATACTAGTACTTACCTATATTCAGAGCCTGATCAACCAATAGGCTGAAAAGGCTGCAACCTAGGACGCTGTTAAATGGTAGGGGGTGCAACAAAATAATTTTCTTTTAAATTGTTTTTTTTCAAACTTGTATCTCCTATTTTGACCTATTTTTTTTTTTGGAGGGAGGGTATTGAAGAATTTATAGGCAAGACCAAGATTTTTTAGGTGGTGATGAATACATAAAAAAAGGTTATCGCCAAATCAATTCCAGCTTACTGGTGGTAAAACCATTAATCAGGTTCTATATTAGCATGTATTAGCATGTATTTACATGTATAGATTATACTTGGAATATAATATTATTGTTACGTTTTTAAACGAATCGAAGTAATATGCGTAGTGTATTATTAATACACTTTACGTATATTATATTATATTCGATAAATTTTAGAAGTTTTAAAAAATCGTTGGTAAATGTATGCTCGATTTGCATCACATATAATTGCGGAATAACGCATTTCGAACACTGTTATTAGTAACAAAAGTTCGAGTATTATTAGGGAGGCGTAATTTGACGTGTTATAACGAAAAAAATGTTCGCCTGTCGAATGATAATATAATTACGGCGATTTAGGCGTTTTTTAAACATATTTTACTGTACGAATATAATATATAATTAAGCGTGTGTTCGTTGGCGCCTGAAAAAAAAAGGAACCTATTAAAATATATATCTGCTCAATTTTTATATACCTAACGTATATGTATTCGATAACAACTTTTCATATTGCTAATAAATTAATATTCATAAAATTGTGTACCTATATTCAATCTATATAGGTGATATCATTTTTTTTTTTCAAATTGCGTACATCGTCCACATACGCATTCCGATATCAGTAACATGTGCAGAAACCCGTGAAGTAAATAATATCGTTTGCTTGGTAATTGCGTTATATAAAACGAGCTGAGAAAAGTGTCGACATTAACAGGTGTCATACACACACATATACAAACATACACACATTATAATATTTAACTTTAGTAAATTTAATAAGATCTTAAAACTTGAGGGGGGTAGTGACGTATGTAGAAATTAATTTGGGAGGGGGGTTATAAAAAACTTTGAGTTTCAATTAATATATAGATTAAAAAAACACATAAATATGCTATACCAACCATAAATTTTGGGGAGGGGTGAACCTTCAAAACCATCCCCTGTATATGCCATTGAGGGGGGCTTATTTTAAGGTATTTTCAACTTTTTCTTTTGAAGAAGGAGAGCACAATTTTTGAAAGTTTCATAGATTGCATAATATGTATAGGAATTTTTTGTATTTTGATGTTTAAAATTCTCTGTTTACCTTTTATTACTATAATTTTGTTTATATTTTTATATATTTTACAATTATTTGTTAAAGTTTCATTCAAAATCAAATTAATTTATTAACTGATTAATATTCATCAGTTGTATAGTTTATACAGATAAGATATTTTGTAGAACATTTTTACTAGTGTTATTAAAAGGGCGATAATGTATATTTGTTTGAGGAAGCTTTACGTCAAATGTGATAAGTGTTTGCTGCAATCTCGTTTTATTTTCCGATTGGACCATTTGAATGAAAACGAGTAGTATTTACCTATACACTCCTCATATAAAGTGATATACGATGATATTCAAATGGTGGAAAAATGGTAGTTTAGACTGCAGAATATTTGGGTCTCGCGCTTATGAAAGACTTCGCACGCAAGAGAGAAGGCGTAAATTGGTGACGGGTCGTGGCGTCGTCGCGGTGGTCGGCAGCACGATCCACACTCTGCAGGCTCTAAACGTCACCTCGAGCGCATGATTTGCATACCACACAAATTATAATAATAATAATAACGATCCGGTCTTTAGTTTCATAGACGGTTTAAATATAATAAATATAATATATTATAACTGCACGATAAATGATAGTTAGTAACGATTATAATAATATAGGAGGTCATATTATACGCTACCGATATATTTTAAGGGATGGCGTATAGACAATTTTAACGATTCTGAGCGGAGTTCTGTTATACATGTTTTAAAAGTCTGCAATATGTATGATTTTCGTCAGTATTTTATGCTAAAATTCATTAAAAAAAAAAACATAAAACTTACATTTTTTTTTGACTATATATAGTGCAACTTACAATGAAATTACTGTCAAATTTTTAAAAATTTCTGTTTGGTCTAACAATTTTTTCCACAGATTATTACTACCTACTGACCTACTGACTAAAAATGATGTTTTCTCAATTATTATGAAAACCACTTGAAAAATCAAAAAATGACCTCCCTTAAGAACCACTCCAGGAAAAGGTACTAAACTTGAAAATTGGAGTAAGATTTCTGGTAGAATTTTTTTTGTACACAGTATAAAATATATTATATACTTATAAAAAATAAACATAATTTTAAAACTAATACATTCTTCGCTTCGCTCAGAATTTAAAACACATGAGCAGAAAAGTGTAGTACAGTAGTCGAATTTTCTTCAGCTGACTTTTCATATTTTTTTTTATATATACCGATATAAGGAGTTGAATAAAAAAAAGTTTCATTAAAAAATATAAAATAGTTCTGGACATTTTTCTTGCATACAAACAAATGATTGGGTTAGGGATTGGAAGTTATTAAGCCTTATATATACACACCCTTGACCATAATTCTATTTATGTATGCACATTATTTAACGAAGTTATACTTACTTTCATGAGCCTTTGAGGAGGTTTATAGCGTTTAAAAGTAGCGGAAAATTATATATATATAATATATTATACATTTTCATATATTATATAAAAGTAACATTAATAATGTGTTTAATGTGTTAATAGTTTCTAATATCGGGGAAAATTCGACAAAAGAAACTAACATTTACCAATTCAAATTCACTTTCTTATAAATATTTATACTAAATGACGATCCCAAATACTTATAATATTATTATCATATAATACAAGTATATTTATCGTGTAATTGTGAAATTTTTTCGAAAACATGTTCATGTAAAACAGAAAGTGTAAAAAATACTTTCAAAGTAATTTTAGAATTTTTTTTACTCCAACCAGTAATAAGTTTTAAGGTTATTAGAGGGCTAATTTTAAGAATTTTAAATTCAGAAAACTTAAACAATTTGTTTTACTATTACGTTAATATTTCTCTGTATACGAAGTTAATAAAGTTGGTTGCTGTGAAGTCTTGTATGATTATATTTTTTTGGAAGTTTTCTTTGATGATCAATTACTACACCAGTTCTTCTTAGGTATTATGAACTATCGAGCATCAATGTTCTCGAATACCACTAATTGGTACTTATAGATATTTGAAAATGAAAAATAAGCTTTTTACTTAAATAAGGGTTTTTCATTAAAAAAAAAGCAGAGTTTTTTTTATAAATGTATAATTCACCAAATAAATATATCGGATTCTAGATAAAGTTTTGAATAATAATTTTCATCGTAGATTGCTTTACGTTAAAAACCGTGAAGTCTGATATCTTCTTGTAAATTATTTATATTATAAAAAAATTGTATAATAATAATATTGTTGGATTGTCATGAAATCACCGGAGAGAGAGAATAGTATGATAATCGTTTCGGGTTTTGTTTTTCTTTGATATAATTACCGTCGCAGCTTCCCTCTTGAAGTACTGCGGAAGATAAAAATCGGCAGATTTCCTATTTCGTATAGATACACGTGTTCGTTGGAGGGAGTTTTTTGTACGTGTCCGTCGGCCTGTTCCGTTTTTCACCGTTGACTATCGGCGGCGGCGACCGGTTTGCTAATTTTTTTTTCGTTCGTACGGTGTACATATTTTATAACACGTTGATTTCTTATATTATTGTGTTTCTGTATATAATATACTCGCACAGTTTCGCGATTTCTTCAATAGTTGTCATTATTATATAAATATAATATCAAAAAAAAAAAAAAAACCCGCCGAAACGCATGTATCACTATTATAATACTCGTATTCACTTGTTTTTTTTCCACGAAAATTGTTTTTTACGTAAATAAGTATAATTTGTTTTTCACGCATACCTATCGCTATCTGTGTAACCCGCAGACAACTGTTGATATTCGCGCGATAATCGACAAAGAGGCGATGATGTATTATTCACAAGTATAATATAATTAAGTTATTATGTATATTGTTTTTATTATTTTCGAAAAAGTATATATTATTTGCTAACAATTTACATTATTTAAAATATTCTTTATTGTAATATATATAATTCACCCTATATAACGTGTGGTTTTAAAAAAAAAATATATATATATATATATATTTAGAGTTGTTTGTAAATATATATCTATCTCATGTGATTTGTTGACCTTAATATAGTATTGCTGTAGTAAATCAATTTATTTTTTAAAATTTAAATTCAAATCTAGGGGTAATTGATATTTCAGAGGGGATTTGAATCCTAACTTCCTCTGCGTTCGCCACTAAATTTTATAATATACATATTAATGATGTTTCGGTCCTGATATTTTAGGCCTAACCAAATTTGTAATCAAATTAAGGAATTCGCACTAAACCAAACTATTTAAATATTTTATAGAACTTAAACTTAACTTTAAAAAAAGCTGATACTAGGGACGGGCGCGGCCGCTGCTGTAGGTAGATAGTTGGGAAGGTGGGATACATAAGCCATAAGAATGTAAAATATTGAAATCGTTGTGTCGTAATTTAAAGGAAATCGTAATTTTCGGGTTTTTTCAATTATTATGAAAAATATTTTAGATATAAAAAAACTACTTTCTTTTTCAATGGCTATATGTTAAAAGAAACAAAATTGATTTTTCGTAATTTTTCGATTGGAGCAATATTTCTGATAAAAAACATAAGTTGCAAAAATTAAAACCAATGAAATCAGTATGTATTGTACATACAAATATAAATTATTTATAATATTTAAATGTTATCATTTAAGATTACTAGTTTTTTTGTGGAATGTGACGACAGTCCTTGTTTACTGTAAAAATAAACCAAATTAAATGTCATTCCAATTTTTGTGTCACTTCATCAAAATGAATTTCTTCGATTCGTGTGTTGAGAATTTATATAGGTTCTATTATTGATAATTTTTAGTTCGAAAATTGTACACTTTGTAATATTACTAATATATAGATGAAGAAGAAAATTTTAGATATCAGTCGACTTTAGATAATTCTACAAATACTATTGCTGAATGATTTCCTTTAAGTTTAATTTAACGCATATGTTATATTATCACTGATTGAGTAGGTATTAAACATCTAAACGTTCGGGCCATTAATGTAAAAATATAAATTGATTAAAACAAATATCGCGTATAATATAATATTATTATGTATTATTTCGAGTATTGGTACATTTTTTTTTATACGTTTTTTTGTTCTAGTGCATACCTATATATAATTCATATTAATATCTATAATATACGATTTTTCTTCAGTTTATTTGATGTACTTATCTTATACTGTGGTTGTATAATGTTTAGCACACATAATAATTTCATGAGCCATATCATGTTGAATAATTATATTATTCTGTAACATATTACAAGTACCTACCTACCTATATCTAGATTCTAATAAGTTACCTACATGTACCTATATATATCTATTTCTAAACTAATTCGCTGTGTACGTATAAATTATTCATATATACAAGACTTTTTATGATTTTATCGGTAAATATTGACTATATACTCGTATAAAACCTTATAAAACATACAAGAAGGTCGAGGTTTATAATCATTGATCACTATACGCAATAATAATGATAATAATATTATGTTAAGTGCATGCATATTTTACAATATGTAAAAAAAAAGTATAATATTGCATTTTAGCAATGCATTATAATATGTATCTGAGATCTTTGAGTTGCAATATATTTCATATTATGTATTAGACTACAAGAATATACTGAAATAAAACGTTTTGTTCCATATTGACATATTATTATTGATAATAAATACAGAATAGATTATTGTTGAATTCGATTTTCGAACATTTTTTAAGAAATATTATTCCTGGGTTGCTATTTTGTTACTGGGTACAATGTAGAGACGAGGAAATGTAATTCGGGTATTTATTTCAATAATATTATTGAAGTTAACATTTTTAACCATTTTCCCAGTATAATATAATATCATTATGGGCATTTGATAGTAAAATAATTTTTCGTATAGTAAAAAGTTATTCTATATAATTTTTCGAATTTTCATTAATATTTTCGATAAAAACTTTTCTCGACTTTACACTCATGGAAATAAACTCCATATAGCCATAGAAATAGCATTGAATTTAATTTTTTGAACATTTAAACACAAAAGACAACAGCCTTAGCTTAATAATGATGCAGCGGTTCTGCTATGAAAAATTATTGTTTACTCAAAAAATATTCTCTTGTGTTTCAAATCAAATGCGGGCGTATGAGTACTATGTTGTTATAATGGTTTCAAAAATAATAAATATTCATCTATAATAACTATTGTGCACGTGTAGTATAATATTTAACTAACGAATGGTGACTATTGTTGGTTAATACTCAATACTAAATAAATGTGATACATAACCCATCATAATAAAGAACTATTAGAACTCAAAATAAGATAGTAGAATAATTACTTTTTACTTAGGTTAGGTTTTTCGATCACTAAGGTAAATTTTAATGTATCAATTTTTAATGAAAATAGTGATATTTGTTTCGATATGAAATCATTAAATTCATATAATACCATGTACATATACCTATTACATATTATTATTATAGATAAAAGGTCAAATAATGAATAGGTATGTATATACTATATATTATGTATATATTTTAAAAGGTCAGAAATATTTGTTAATACGATCATAATATTATCATGAAGTTTTCGCTTACGCATGAGAAAGTACATTTTTTGACAGCCCGTTTTTATTTAATACCACTCTATTAATAACGGAGAAGTTGACGAGATGAGAATAATATGGCGAAATCGAAAGTGCCGCTTGAGGATGACAAAAGATAATAAATTAAACTAACATGTTTTTTTTCTTCTAATAGACAGTATTAATCCATGTCGTATAGAACTATAGATGACTCTAAAAGATACAGCGTTATATTTTATCTTAACAAACATTGGAGGTTTTATAGATTTACAGATTTTGCAATCCGTTCAAACATTTTAATCACCATTACTTACGTATATCATATATTATAGGTTTATTCAAATATTCTACTCTTTAAATGTTCTTATTCTTTTTTTTTAAACTCAAATTTTAACTTAAACACCACAATCAATGTTATAAAAGTATAACGTATAACTTTGTTATTAAAGGAACGGACCGTTGCCAGTGCGGTTTTTGGCTCAAAAACATGTTTTACAGAGAACACTCTCATGTCTCGTAGAGTGGTCTGATTATTTTTTTGTTGGAACGAAAAAACTTCCTATAGACTGTTCTTATAGTTTAATTTCAAACTTTATTATAACTCTTTAAAAAAGTCAATTTTTAAATTTTTTTATACCGTTATTTGAAATCAAATGGAAAATTGGAGTTCAGTACGGTCTGTAGAATGTCGTTTATCAATTCTCAATTAGAAAAATAATATTATGTTGACAATAAGATCACTATATTCCCGCGAATTAATTTACTGAACCTTATCTCCCTAAATGGGTATTAGGCAATAGATTAACGAGAAGTTTTATCTTTAAGGCGGCCATTCAAATTTAAAAAATATATTTCAAATTTCACAAAATTAAAGAAAATTAAAGAAAATTTAGAAAACTGGACTGGACCTTCTAATGTCAGGTTGAGCCATTATAGATAGATCGTGTGTCATCTCTAGGGTAAGTTATAGGTACGTGTTATGTATGAATAAGTAAATGATATATCTACTTTTTATATTATTACGTATAGATTCAACTTATTTAAAATAATATGGGTAACTTGTAAATAATTGTCCGGAAAACCGTTCATAAGTGCAGCAGAATTTTCGGTATTATAAAGTGCTATGTGTAGCAAAAACCCTATATAAAGTATATATATTATTATTATTATTATTATATGGTATTATTGTGTCTGCGAAATTGTAATAGCGAACACGATCCGAAACAGTAAACAATAAATATTTTATTATCTTTCGATAAAACAATGGACGGGGTACTGCGAAAATTTTTTTAAAGAACGAGAAGGAGTAAACAATCACGCAACTGTATAATATACTCGTGTGTATTAAGAACGAACCTATAGTACAAAATATTAAGAGTATACACGAGCAATAAAATGGTTCATTGTGTTATGTTGAAAAAAAAAATGAATCTACGTACAAATTATTATGCTGACCTGACCTCTTACGCGTTATTATTAAAATATAATATTATAAAACCATTATTCATGATTGTTTACGCTGTATTATATTTTATATTAGTGTGGTGTATATTCGACACGAAAATTAGATCTTAATCGAAGACTTTTTTTTTTTTTTTATTCTATGTATCGTTTAAACAATAAATTGTAAATTACTGTAGGTTATATATTATTATATTGTTATAATAATATATAATATATTACCATAATAATATATATAAAATATAATGTATAGTTATATATAGTTATCTACACTACTCTCAATGGTACAATTTAAACGTTGTCTATCAAAATGTGTTCGATACCTACGACGTCGTGTTCCCTAATTTCATGCGCCAGGAAACAGTTTAACATAATAATATTATAATTATCAGCTATTTAGAAATTCTATCACGTTCTTCTCACTAATATTATTTTGTTTAACATAATATACTATAGATATTTATAAGATAGATTCGTTCGACAGAGAGACGAAATCACTGTTGTGTACAGTTTTCATGACGTACATGTACTTATATTTCACTGTAAATAATATTTCAAGTAGCAGTAATTATTAATACCTGTCAAAGTTTTCGTTTATACAATAATAATTTGTTACTTAAATTTCCGCGTGAAATTAATTTTTAAACGTAATTGTAATAATAATTTGCTGGTACCTATTACTTATGAATATTATATTATATATTTGAAATAGAAATATTTCGCGAGGAAAAAAATTATTAAAAAAAAAAAAAAATGTTTACGAAATTATTTTAAACACAAAAGAAACGTGTTTTTTCTTTACGTATAAAAAAATTATCCACAACATTTTATTATCTTTATTTTCTCGGTATTTGTAATTTGGATAATTTATTATTATTATTTCGTCTTTGCCTATCAAGTAATATATTGCAGTCCAGCATATTTCACTCGAACAATACACTTACGCAAAAAATAACAACATTGTAAAATCATTTTTTCCCCCGCATATTTGAAAATACAATTCTAAAGATATAATAATGCATAATATACTATTATTTTTTTTTTCAAACAAATACTAAGAATCACATATGATTACGCTCATTACTGACTTTTACTTTTACAATAAAAATAAAAATTGTAATATAACCAATGTTGGAACGTTGTGGATAATATTTTTTTACAGTGGCACCTAACCTATTGAGTATAGAATATAGATGAACTAAAACGATCACTTCAATTCATTTAATTATTATTTAGGTTAACAGCGGATGGGTTAAATTAGTAAGTATAGATATAAGTTTTAATGGCGTATGAAGTATTTCTTATTGACATACCTACTCATGATAGATGCTATAAATGTAGCATAAAAGCTTTTCAGTTATTCAGTTATTTAATAGTTAAAAATAATTATATCAATATAAATTATATTAGTTAGGTAGGTATATCATATTTCTTATATTTATTGGAATTTTCAACCCTACTTAAATGAACGGAGGTAATATAGAAAATAGAAAATAATAGAAAATACATTTTTAGGGAGATCCAATTTGATGAATATTTTTGCTAATAAAATTTGATAGCATTTTCTACGTATGATAAAATTTAGGGAGTCCGGTTACCTGCCATGGGTGGATGGGTTCTATAAGTGGGTAAAAATATTTTGGCATCTACAATAGTTTTAAGAATTTAGCGCCATTTTATTTTAGTAAGTTCCTATAGTTAATTTAGTATCTATATATATGTAGATAATATTATGTTAGTATCTTCTTCTAGGAACAGTAGCTATTAGTATTTAAATAAAATCGCGCATGGAAAAAAAATTATTTTTACAAACGAATTTTCATTATTTGTCTAGATTTTACGGTTATTTATCTGTTGAAGCTATATATAATAGCTTAGTATATTCCTATCGTTTCTGGGATTTAGCACTTGCCGCCGTTGGTTTAAAATAATCAGTTGCAGGATTTATAGTAACACTATTGAAATATTGAATAATAATCCGAGACGGGAATTAATAATTACCGTTTAAATATAGCTTATGCATATTATTACTGGTAATTTTTTTTATCATTATAAAACTCATTAAACAAATAACCATTACGTGATGTTTGCAGAAAAATAAAAAATACTGATTTTCATTTGAATTTTAAAAGTAAGCTCCAAAAGGGCGTCTAAACATATTATGCCCATGTGTAATTTTATATTATACATTTTAATATATTCGTTCGTTATAAATTTATTTTTGTTTTGCATAGTGTTATATTATGAAAAAATTGCTTTAACATAAAATTTTGATCACCCCCTGTATAGTAATAGATATACGCGTATTACGTATCGTCGTGATATTTATTTTTGTATTTTGTGAAATTTTAAAAGTTTGAATATATCACTAGAAAAAAGAAGTATCGCGCGATGAAGAAAATGATTTTACTTTTACTATATAATATATAACTATTATTAGGTACATTATTATGTATATAATATATTATTATATAGTTGATATTCGATTATCCGCGTCAAATATCGTACTCTTCTTCCAGTAAACAACTCAATATGGCGTGACAGTAAAATATATAATATTATGTAGAAAGTGATATCTTTTTTTTCTTCTCGAGAATTCTTACTGCTGCTGCTGTCGCCGCTGCTATAGCTAGCCGATCGTCTTTTTCGGCCCAGACCTTTCAGATCCTTGACCCGTTTTCTTATAATAATATACTCTACGGTATATTATGCGGGTGAGATATTGCTGCGGCCATGGCGTTGGCGATGCGAGAGAATACGGAATAAATATCGCGCGTCGCGTATACTTACACATTTCCCTTGGGCGAAAGGTGATATTCGATGTAATAATAAAGGATACCCGAGTTTAAGAAAAAAAAAAAAATAAAATAAAAAAATAAACAAACAAACATTTAAGTAGGTACCTATACCGAATATATAGGGTAAATAATAATAATATAGTACAAGGTCATCACTGTGAAATTATACGGAATGACCTGATTTTCGTTTTGCGTAAAAAGCTGCAAAACTTTAGGATTAGTATATCTACCTATTATAATATGCACATTATGTTTAGTTAGTTTAATACACTTAATACCATTTTATATTGTATAATAATTAAGTAATAATTTATGTAGGTATATAATATATAGGAATAGGTATTATGCCAAGTTCACACGACCGACTTAGTCTCAACAATAACGTCGATCGACGAATTTCATTATAAAATCGGTTATTATTATTTTATTTTTTTTATTTTACGACTAATTATTTCGTTCATAGTTGTTTTTTTTTTTTAAAAAACTCCGAGGGAAACAAATAATTTATTTTTACCAGTGATGTTTTTTTTGTATCTGTAAACAATTTTTCTTGAACAGAAATTTTGCTCTAATTAAAAATTTTAAAGACATTTTCTTGTAGTACTTTTGATTCTTGATTGGTGCGTTGAAGTGGTCATTTTATATTCTGATTGGAGCGAAGAAGCTTATGGTTTACAAAGACGTGTATTATTACTTTTGTTTTTCTGTGGATGGACAAATTTTCTACCAGAGATTTTGCTCCGATTTGTAAATGTAGCACTTTTTCTGAAAGAAAATCGATAGGGGAGGTACTTTAGGGAGGTCATTTTTTGATTTTCTCAGGAGTTTTCTTATCAAATGTGAAAGACCGAAAAAACGGTACAACATTAAACAAATATTATTTAAGAACATATATAATTATTTTACTATAAAATGACATACATTGTTGACAAAGCATCATTATCAACTGAACTCCGCTCAAAATCGTTTTTTGGTAAACAATGGTTTATCGTTGTTTACACATATACATTAAATTACTTATAACAGTGACTGCACTCGATTCCATTATCCTAGGACGTCTATTTTATTTTTATATTAATACATGGGAAAAACTAGATAGTTTTTGGATAATTTTTGTTGATTTCTGACTTACTTTGGCAACAAAGGAAAACACAATTAATTATTGACAGAATCGTTTCTCGTTAGTAACGACTTATCATTGCATAAATTAAATTACTAGCCTCCCTTTTAACTTCCTTCTTAAAACAGTGTCACACTCATCAAAATTATCAGCCTTTCTTCCATTACAGCGGTAATTTTTATTTATAAACTTACCTATTTAAAAATTAGTATATAATATATATTTATGCGCAGATATGTTTATATATTATTATACACGATGAAAATAATTCATGGGTATACATTATTGGTGACATACTACGTTATAACGGCGTATATATAATATGCTTCAGTAGACTCGAGTGGTAATATAAATTTCGCCTTATAATATTCAGTGTCATAACATCATAAGTTGAAGTCGAATTTGTATACAATATATTTATTATGTATATATACCTATTTACAAAAAGTTCATATTCATTTTTAGGCAATAAAATATTCATTTACACGATAGATGGAAACATAATTTACAATTCGTTCCTTTGTAAATTTTTTCAAAGGTTTTTTTTTTCTATATAATATACAATACAATTATTTTGTTGATTTTATATTTTTACCATTCGGTCGGGCATTAAGTTAATTAGGTATATATTTTTTTCTGACTATTATAATATTATATCGTACACAAATTCTAAGTAATAATTACTGATTACTGTAATTTGTAAAGTCGTCATTTTTTTTTTGAACGGGAATTTTACTAGGCGGTCGTTTGCTCGTTTCATTCGATTTTTTTTCTGCGTGCAAATATTTGACAACGTTTATAGGTAACTTAAAATATAATATATCCTACTAAAAAAAAAAAGATACACGTTTGGATTTTTTTGTTTATAATAACGTGATGTGTTTTATAAACACACTACGTTATTAAACTCTGTTTATTATATAAGTGTGCTAAAAAAAAAAAAAAAAAACGATTCTGACTGAAATTAACATCTTTTAAAACGAACGATTTTTACGATTTTCGTCAAAATTTGAACTTAAAACGCTTATAAAAATAAACTACGACTACATAATGCTCAATTATTTTTACCACAGCTTATACATTTTTGAGTATTTCTATTTAGTCAAAATAATTTCATCCGCATAAATCAAAAAATCTCAACACCAGATTGTATAGGTTTAACATGTTTAAAAAATGCATTATTTCTGGTAAAAAAGTTGTACACAGAAAAAATACACAGCATATATTATAGTAATATATACCAATGCATTCCTCGCTACCGGTCAAAATCTAAAAGTATCCAACACGAAAACCGATCGATTACAGCGGGCGTAATTACCTATATAATATATTATGTAACTGAATTAAAATTTCCAACCGTGTTTTTAATATTAAGTATAATATGTATATGTTATGGATATAATATCGTAAAATAATATAAAAATCAGTTAAACAGTAATAATCATTTATTTATTATATAGATAGTCGTTTTATTTTATTATAGTTCTATAGGTAATAGTATAGAAGGTTGCGGTGAGCGATGTGATCCAGCCAACCGCAAACACAGGAGACCTGTATTATACATATAGTGTTCAATGTCAGATGCAACTGTGCAGATACGTCCGCAATGTGACAATGTGTCTATAGATACTTAGAATTATTTTTTATCACACGTTATTAAAATTGCGCACGCCTCTTTTGTGTGTAGTGTTTGTACAACTCCTCAAGTTTTCACCTACGACCTACCTTACTACCGGCGTTCGTTTCGTCGGTATGTTGCGATAATTAGTTTATTCCATGTATAGTATATACTGTATAGATGTACACCATGTTCGTATACTTGTCATCGGGTGTCATGACTAATTGTTATTTAAAATAAATAATTTGTTCAAAACGCTTGTGATTATAATGTATAGGTTACTATGTATTATTATATTACTTACACCTATACTATATTATTTACCGTTTAAATATTTTGTATTATTATTTATCCCTATATTTATTTACAATCATGATTTTTCACGCGAAACGTACTATTATTATTAGGTGTATATCGATAATGTCTTAGTATCCCGAGTAGCAATAGTTGATGGTTAAGAACACGGTGCTAATATCCTACATTACTCTATGTTTTTGATAAAATTGAATACTGAAATTTTATATGAGTTTAACCGTGCATTTTGGTTTCAAATGTCAGTGTAATAATCGTGCTATATCTTATACCGCATGCTAAAAAAAACATAAAAACGAGAAAAAGAAATTCAGAAAGTGTTTAAGCATTTGTGTTATTTGAACAAGGATCTGCCTATTTCCTATTTACTCGATACCCTATATATCCTAGCTATGCGCCACTATTTCAGATGTTATCCATGAATGAATATTTAAACATTTTATTTTATTCGCATACTTTGTAGTGATGGTTTTGAGTACCACAAAATGACACCGCCTCATTGGGTATATCATAATCGTCCCATTTTTTACCCTTCTTCCCCACTTGGATAAAATTATGGTTACGACAGTTTTGACACTTAGAAACAAATTTTAATTTAAAATTAGTATTATTACTGACTCTTTTAGGATGCACCAAAATGACTTAAATATCTAGGAAATAAAACGATTTCAGAGGAGGAACATGTGCCCTCGAGTCCCCACTTGGTTACGGCATTGATATGAGAACGTTATTATTTATGTCCCTTAATAATAACCGTATAGATTAGTATATATATATTAGTAGTTCAGTGTATGTTATATACAATCTCTCTGAACTTGGCTACGGTGTTGAGTAATTTTTCGTGAACCGTTTAATTTCTGTTGGTGCATTTATATTTTTTGAGTAGGTACCGTTTAATATCAGAAACACTGACTTTGAATTAAAATAGAATATTTAGTTTGGGGCACTTTTATTGAACTGCGATTGTTTTTCCTACATGGTTCTTATATTGTGTATAAATCGTCTAAAAATCGCAGTGTTCATAAAACAACATTGAATGTAAAAATTGCTATTCGGACATCTAGTTGCAATTAAAATTAAATTATCAAGATTTGACCTTATAACAAACAAACAAATGAACAAAAAAACATCCATATCAATTAGTAATAATATAATTTTTTGTTCAAAAAAACAATTATTCTGTGTTGTTATTTTTTAATTGATGATGTGTAGTGTATACGATATAAAGTGAAATAATACGCTAATCATAAATAAATTTGTATACTTATTATTAATACCTTTAAAACTTGACGCAAATTTTGTTTTTGTTATAGCTGTTACTGTTCGATACCTGACGAAAAGATATATCGGTGAATACAGTTCGAATACAGGTAATTTCATTTTTATCATTAACACATCATGTTTATTTTATGTCATTATGATAGTGTCTGTGATGTTTATGATGCATGTTTTTAGATTCTGAGCATAGCGAGAAATTTATTTTATGATAAATGTTGTCAAGTTGGTTTATTTAGATGTCCATTTTTTATTTTTTTCCTTGTATTTTTATGATGGGGAAAACATTTTGGAAAAAAAAAATATTTACGCGATAACAATTTTTGTTATTTTCGATTTTATTTTTTTGTTGTAATTCAATTAAAAATAATCGTAGAAACATAATTTCACTGTATAGTTTATACTTATATTATTAGACCTTTCTAAATGTCGTCTAGTTTTCTACATTTTCTATACATTTTCGAGCTATTTATAGTTATTTGTCATTTTTTAATTATTTTAATTTTATTTGGCATTATACAAATATCGAAAATCTGTAGCCTGCGTGTAAAATTTTTTTTTAATAAAGATTTATAAAATCCAAATTTTTATGAAAATCATAGAAACACAGCATTTCGTGTATTATTTTCCGGTTAATATTTGGATAAAACATTTATGATGTTTATGTACAAAATGCTCAACGATTCGAGACCTTAAAACATGGAAAATAGTATTTTATTTTATAGTTAAGTACAAATACCTCAGAATCGTTTTTTGTTAACAATGATGTTTTATCGTTGTGTATAGATATAAATTATAATTATATCCTACATACTATATTATCTTCCCTACGTTTCATCTACAATAGTGCAGCCTTATACATGAGCAGTAGATTCTGTACGATGAACGTATATTGACGATGAGCAAAATAATCGCAACGTCCTGGTGAGATTTTTGACCCCTCTCCCCTGATAGATAAATTATGGCTTCGCCACTGTTATATCTAATATTAAGTAGAAAAAAAATTAAATCGTTATGATAACGTATTTTTGGTCCTAGGGAAGAAGAGCTTGATTAAATTTTGTATAATTTAAATATGCACAAATTGAATATTGAAAATATACATTTACTATAAACATTAAACATATACAAAATTATAAAATAAAATAAAATATCAAAAATTGACTTAAATTCTTCGTCCCTGCAGCCAAAGATGTACATTGATGAGCGATTTATTATTAGGTTAATATTATAACAATTTGTAACTACATAGATACGAGGTTAATTATAAATATGGACAACATTTTAAGGCAAACTCGACTTATAGATATGCTTTATTCATGAGATTTTTTGTCCATTGTTAATATCATTTCGAAATATCGAAAATAACGATTTCTGTCCGTGAGTATTTTATATTTTAATATTTTTTTCTTCATTGATAACCAAATAATTTGGATGGTTTTCGTTACTTTTATATTCGAGGTTTTTGTTTTTATTTATTTATTTTATTGTTGTTGTTTGTACCTACTCACAAATTTAGAATAATATATAACTATTTTGTTCGGTTATTTTTCTATACACAACTATTATGTAGAAGAGGGTCGTAAAATGTCGGTATTGTAAATCTGTCTGAACCCTTTCAGTCCTATATACCTACTGTATTGACTATATAAACAGATAATATACATATTATTATTATACACGTTAGAAAGTTTTTCCCTTTTATGATGACTGCGTACACGAGGACATATTCGAAATAATATTATAACTTATAGTATTTATGGCATTTTTCATCATCATCTCGCGCGATCTCGAATCCTTTTATATTCATATATATATATATATATGCGTATTATTATAATTATTACCCCCTCATAATATTATTATATATACGTATACGGTATACCTAATACCTATGTGTATCTAGTCGTAATATTATTATATTCTTTTGAATGCGCGCGTACCCTACGGACAAAAATTATTATCCTATCGTATATAATATTATACTACACGATACAGAGCGTTTCAAACGTCCGCCGCCGCCGCTGCCGCGATATCACTTTTCAAAAAAAAAAACATCAAAACAATGAGCGGTAAGGATTTCTCGGTGAGCAAAAAGCCGGCGGCAATCACGCCCATTGCGCCCGCGATTCCTCATAATAATAATAATAATAATGATAATATTATTATGATATATTATATACTGTTGGCAACGTAATATTTTACGGCACTTTTGTTTTGTCAAACTGTACATATTCATACACGGACAGCATATCGAGATATGGCAGATCTAGTTTTTTTTTCGCAATCGAGATGTTGATTTATTGTTTTCCATATAATATACGTAGGTACCTACATACATTATTATTATCTTATTTCAATTTGACGAGCGCTACGGAATTTTCACTCATGCATCGGCTCCGCACGTCGTTCGAAAAATAAATTTACGGATACTGGATAAAAAAAAAATGATTCCCGTACCGGTTATACGTATTCGCATGATAATATAATGTATTGGTATATTCATCGCATCATTGGTCTGCATCGCTCACGAAAAAGGCCGTTATCTATACTTGCCCCAATAGATTCGATACCTATTATTTATTTTGTTAATGTATACTGAACTCTTTATTTCCGACGAATAACAGTTGTTTGTGTATACACAACGTAAAACTAAAAAAAAACTTTGAATATATGATTTTCTTTAAAAAAAAAATGAAACCTAATATTTTTTTATGGAGTAGTAAATTTAACAAATACCCAAATTAATTTTTAGATATCTACGTTAACAAATATAAATTACATTTCAATGTTTATTCAATTAACCCTAGTTGAAAAGTTGTTAAAAGTGAAATACGTGACCTTCTTCGTTACGATCACATTGGTAGGTTTTGTTATCCGATCTAGCGCACCACGCCAACACACTGCGTAGTTTTCCTGATATCATTGGTCGGTATTTTACCACCAAAAAATGGCATTTAAGTTTTCGTGGTTATGCTTTTTATGAAAAATAAAATTTGGTAGCGTATCACATATACTACTTATATAATTTACCATGTATAATCGTATAATAGTATAATATTTCAATCGTTATCTTTAAGTATATAGTATACCTACATATATGGTATGCATCGTACTATGCTAGTTGCGCTATGTAATAGCGGATAAAATCGGTACTGAAAATGTCTCTTTAAGCAGCCGCTTTTGATAGCATAGTGTTTTGGTTTTATCTTCTAAGACCGAGGTATAGAACTACGGGCGCCTAGGCTTAAACTGGGTCGATTATTACTGTATAGCATGTATAATGAAAATAAAAAATTGTTCGAGTAGGTACAATACTCGTATTTTAGTTTTTCTGGACTCGCGCGATGGACCTCGAAATAATATAATATTATTATTGTTATAATACCTATACAATATTATTATTACGTACTCTCTCGCGGGGTGACGGTCGAAATTGACGAGTAAACACAATAAACCTGTATTTAGTCGGACTTTGATGAAACGATATCTCTGTGTCGAGTATAAAATATACACCTAGATACTCCGTGATGCGGTGTAGTTCAACGCACTAGTGCGCGGCAATATGAACGCAAGTGTATAGGTATATAGTCGACAATACGTTTTTTGATGATAAGAGGCCAATTATTGGCGCGTTTTTCAGTTCAGAAACATGCCTCACGGGAAAACTTCACGTGCCTCTTAGAGTATTCCGATTTCGATAGTTGTTTTTTTTTTTTGGAAAAAGGAAGATTTTCTACAAATCTTATTGAACTCTGTTTTTCAATTTTTTCATCTCAAACTTCATAATATGTATTTTAAAAATGTCAATTTTAACTTTTTTTTACCAACATTTTTTTATTATTCGAAATCGATTAAAAAATCGGAGATCAATGGCAATTTTAGAAAAGATATTCACGTATCAAGTTTTCCTCTCATATCGGGGTAGGTAAGTTTGTTTGAAAGGTTCGAAATGTCCAGGAGGCTATTCGAGTAAGAATGGTTGAATTTGATTAGGAGTCTATTTTCATGTACATCGTGTTTCGTGTATTATAACGTTTAGGACTAATCAAATTATTGCCGCGAGACTGCAAGAATACCTATCCACCTGTAAACATTTTAAATTCATGCCATTATTCCAAAATTGTGACGCACTATGCAATATTCGTTGTATAGTAGTGTGACGTAGTTATATATATGTGCAGCATTACTATTAGGTTTCTATAGTACGATATGCTTTTTTTTATCTTCTCGGTAAACGAGTATTCGGTCCGAATAATGCAGATTTTTAACTTTCACCTTAAGCACTTATTATTTGCAAAAAATATAAATTTTAAATTCTGAGTTCAGAGAGGAATTTATTGGTTTTATTTGAATGTATTTTTAGATTCAGAACGGTGCGAGGCAAAAACGTGACTAATACGTTTAGAATTGTTTTTTCGTTTGCAATAATTTATCATTGCATTCAGTGTATAAATTAAATTATCCCCCAAACTACCCACCTACGATAGTGTTTTATCCGTGAGCATTATTACCTTTTTTTATTTTCAATTTTTATACAACATCTACGCTCTTAAATTTCAGACAATTTCGAAAAATTATAGTCTATCGTCGTTGTAATGTTATTATCTGTGGTATTTTATATAATCTAAATTACTCAAATTTTTCACAATTATACACACACCATATTTATATACTCTACTAATCTTACCAGACCCCTTTTTTACGATCATATTACACGCGAAGTCGGAAGTTTCCAATATTATTAGGTATTCAAATTGAAAAACATCAATTCTTCGAGTTAAATAAACGTAGATTAATAGGTATAAATATGTGTTAGCTTCTTCTTGTCCGTTGTGTATTACAAAAAAATAAAAATTATGCCACTGTTTAATACTAGCTCACAACGATAAAATATAAATATGTGTATTTAATTCGTTCTGAAGTAAATTTATCGCGTGCGTCTTCTCTTCATCGTGTGTAATAGGTACCTAGATGGTTATAATATTATTACCGGTGGCAATTTCATACCATTGAGCCCCCGCGGGTGTGATTTCAGTAGATAAACGAGCGATCAAAAAAAGGTTCGGTCTTGCCCCATTATAATAATACTCTTATTAAGATGATACTTTTTTTTTCTCGGATGAAGATAATATTATTATTATTATTATTTAGAACACCCGCTAAGTAAATAATAATAATAATACTATTCACAAGTGGTTACGTATTATAGGTATACACGTGATATTATTATCTATTTTTAATTAATCAACGGTAGATTAATTTAAAAATAAAAAAACTCATGTACCTTCACGGGTTCAATCCGTTATGATTATTATCATACGAGCTTACGGGCACACGTCATCAGCAGTATAAAAGTTTTTTTTTTCTATCAATACAGGTGCATAATCTAAATTCATAAAAATATTAATAAAGAAACCTAATATAGTTATCCTATTATCCTAACGAGACAAGTTTATTATTTCGGATAATGCGCTTACGTTTTATATAGGTACCTAATATATTATCTTTAGCCCCAGGGAAGAAGGGCTTAAGTCAATTTTGTTCATTTTTCAATAGGTATACAAATTCAATTTTGGTAATACATACACTACATGCACTAGATTTTAGATTCTAAGTGTTAACGAAGAAACTATACCTATTAATATTACTGAGATTTGTTTTTCCCCCTCTCGGAAAATATTTGCTTTGCTTAGTAAAATATTCCGAATTGTTCACATTGTTCCTTAAAAACGCGGATTTTCTGCTTGTGATGATACTTTATGATACTATTTTAGACAACTTGTCTAGATTCCCGAAATTTGTTATAACAATTTTTAAAAATTAATGATCGATAAATATCTGTTCTATTATTATTATTTTGGGTTACCTTGGACAAGGGGTGGAAAAAATCATTGTTATGCTATAACCTTGCCAGTTTATCGATCTCTGCTTATAATCGGTTTTTGATTGCAATTATTTATCATTGTTTTCAGTATATTAAAAACTAAATTATCCTATATCCTAAATCTACCTAGTTTTTGTACACCTATGATAACAGCGGTCTACCCACGATGTGGATTTATTACACTTACTATAATGCTGTGAGTATATGTATATTATGCAATAATTTCTTTCAAAATTCGAATTTTCCATTATAATAATATAGTGTTAGAATAATCGATAGAAAACCATTGTTATAAAAACGTACTTTTTTTTGTACATATATGTATATCTAATTTACTTATATGTATTATAAGAAAAAAAATATGAATTATACCTATTGTCGGGATATTTGGTATTGAACACGTATTATTTGACATTTTATTGTTCGAATAGGTACTAGGTTAATACGGTAATTGTATTGAAATGAAAACATATTAATAATAATTTTTTTTTTTACAATAGTTTAGTATACGTATAATATTTTTGCGTCTAATTGTTCAAATAAAGAATATTACGCATTTCGTTTATCAAATAATATTATTATTTTAATTGAGAGGTGTTTATGTGTACTTCGTATTATTTACACTATTGTCTATAACAATATCTGTGACTGTAAGCCAAAGATAGACAGATAACAGTGTAGTTGTAATACGTGACATTAACGGTTCTGCAGTTGGTACCTATTACCTATACGATTTCGATGAACTATTTTATGGTATTGAAATTTGTTAAAAAAAAAAAAAAAAATACAAATCACACATTCGTTATGTGACGTGTAAAAGCTTTCACTTCGAGGTTTATGGACTTTTACGTAAGTCGGTTACTTGGAGTAATTAACCGCGCATAGACGCGTATCATACACACCGGATAATAATAAACCCATAAAACTCGCACTTGCTATTATCTCGATTTATATACAGTGATTAAAATAATTATTATTAGGTATTATTATCGTATTCTAACGGCCTTTCTAAAAAAAAAAATTATTCAAGCAATAATATCTTATTCGAGATTTAATAATATTATTATTATTATTGTTATCGTGTGGTGAGCGTGTAGTTGGTAAACTTAGGTGGTGCAGTGTGTCGAGGCGGACTAGCTAAAAGTTCCATAAATCTCTTCGTGGCGCTAAAACCGAGTTTTTTTTTACGCATACCATTTTCATTATTATTACAGCCATTCCGAACGGACGTTAAATAAATAGCCTAGGTGTCTAATAATAACCCGAAATAACATATTTACGATATTATTATGTTAACTATCATGCCCATATAAGCATCTAGTTGTTAATCGTCTCGTCGTCGGGCGCCACGGTTTTGAATGATTTATGTTTTAAGTATAATTTTGGCGTATTTATTAATTAATTTTCCTATTCCCTTATACGGGTTTTTGTGTTTTGTTTTATAACCGCTTGTATTGCAAATCAATAAAAAAAGACCGTAAGTAGTGAGAAAAAGATATACTGCTGAGTATAGTCGCGTTTCTAGGTAACTCAATATTTCGGTGGGATGGTCATGGATTTAAATTCTATTTTCGGAAGGGTGATATCGAAGTATACATTGAAAAATATAATTTTTCTTATCGATTTTTCTAAAAAATGTAAAATGCTACATTACTTTAAAAGTAAAGAAATGTAAATACTGTATTACGAGAACATTTTTTAGTTATAAAATTATACATAATTAAAATCTAACTCATTTTAGACGGCTGTAACTCAAATAATTTTTTAGATGAAAAAAAAATTGCATTAATCAAGCACCTTTGCTTGAAAATATAGGACTATTCTAATCTAGTATCAAAAAAATGTATACTTCTATTCAATAGAAGTAATAATGTGCATTGCGCATGCGCATACCAAAAGGATTAATAAATTGAAATTTATCCAAAGTTTATATAAAGTGTGTAAAAGTAAAGTCCTTAAAATACCCCTTATCACTTCTATTGAAAATGCCAAACTAAAATCCAAGGTCATCCTGCCAAAACGTTTAATGTTACATGAAAATATTGAACACACTGTAGGTATAATATAAGTTATAACAGGTACAATACACTGTGCAATCTTCTCTATTTTCGAGAAAACTTCGACATTGAAAGTTATTCACTGTGAGTTTCATATTATTATATTTTAGTATGAAAAAAAATAAATGTGGCGACTAGTGTACAGAAAGTATAGTCGCAGACTTATAGATGTACAGACAGTGTAATTAATTAAAACTGAATAACGTATATTATACATTTAGGTATTAATAGTGTTATTACTATTACTATACGATGTATTTTAAGAGACAATTTATATTTATACATTTAAAAGTGATTTTTTTCTTTCTGAAATTTATTTATAGGATTTTATTTTAAAAATAATGTATATTCGTGATAAAATAATATATAACCATGGGTACAAAACGAAGGGTTTTTGAGGTCACCGAGATTAATTTTCCAATTTGTATTTGTAAATGTATTATATTTTTCATACGTCTTAATGTCGTATAAAAAAAAATATATATATATATTACTTTATATATAAACCGATTTTTTATATTTTTATTATACGTACGGAAAAAACACCATTTCCTGCGGGTATTTTTTTTTTATAAAATAGATATTTTTTATTTTCTAATATTATACTGGTATATATTATGATTAATATTTGTCCCTGAAATCCTACCAAAAATACCGAATTGTAGAACAATTTTGGAAATTAATGAAGGTCCTTCTTTTAAATTTACCGAGAACTTTGTGTGAAAAACTGAGAAACAATATATAAGTATAGATCTCAAATATGGGCTGTTATATCCTTCTCTTGAAAACAGAATAGCAGTAATCCGTTGACGAAGTGAAAACATTTTTCCCCTCTAACATACTCGTGTAATTTTGCATAAAACAAAATCGAAGGTAATTTTCTTAGGCCTCAGATGAAATATTATTGAAAAATTTGAGGTCATATTATGGTTTATGATTTTTTTTAAATTTTATATAGAACGGAAGATGATACACATATCTTCTAAAATGTCTAAAATTTCATGGCGAATTCAATTCATGATGTTTAGTAAATTTATGTATATATTTATTCAATAGCTTAGTACCTAGGAATAATATCTTTATTATTATTATTATTATTATTATGCTTCGCCAATGTCATATTATATGAAAACATATAAAGATAAATTTCTCTTGAAACGCTTAGATATGAAATGATTAATAGTCAGGATTTAGCTATTATTATTTTTATATTTTTCTTGACACCACATCGCTTCAAGAGTTTTTACCGTCACTGTCACACTGCCTTATTCCTGCACTCATCGCGATCGCGCCACTCTTTCCTTTTCAATCCCGTATTGCCGACTTCTCCAGGTAGGCTGTTTTATCATTCCGCCTATCCGTCGCCTCTTTGGACTCTTTATATTTTTAAAGTTAGACTAGGTTATCACCGGGAAATTTATTTATATGTCGCGATAAAAATGAGTTAGGCAAATCTGGTAAAGTCAGGGGTAAAGTAAGACTAACTGAATTACCAGATTAAGTGACATAATCGAGTGGTTCTTGGTAGTTTAGTTAGTTTCCATTCGACCAACCACTGTTTTTCGTGTATTCGCCGAGTCCGCGGTCTCCGCATCATATTCCCGAACCATTTGATTCTGTCTGTGCTTTCACAAAGTCTATTATCTTCGGCACTACATCGCTTTCGTCTCTCGCGGATCTCTTTGTTTTTTTATTTTATGACAAACGTTGTCATTGATACTGGCGATGGACCGCATATTATAATTTTCAGTGTTCAGCGTTTTATTATTCTCGAATGTCATAAGTTTTTTTGCTCCATTCAGCTTGTTAAAGTCTATAATATTATATTCCTCGTATTCGAATTATGTTAGTGTTTTTATAATTATTAAAAATCTGAAATGTATCTACAAATCGGGAAAGTAAAAGTGTGGAATCCAGGTTGTCAAAATTTGAACCGTATAAATCTGAAAAGTAAATTATTTAAATTATAGTGTCCAACACTATTGATAATTATATAATTTCATTGAAACTTGAAAATTTTACTTTCCAGATTTTTACATTACAGACTTGTAAATTACAAGCCTAATACCTACCCATATTGCGGTGTATTTTGGTTATTCTAAGAAATAGTTTCGATTATACGCGATTCCAAATAAATTCGTAACTGGAAACAAATATCTGGGGGAGGGTTCAAAATTTTTTTTATATAGATACTGTACACTCATCATTTTTACGTTAAAAATATAAAACTTCTTTATAATCGTTTTTAAAAACATAAATCGTCATTTTAATATTTAATTTACATAATAGTTAATTATTCATATACATATGGAACTATTATCATTAAAAAAATACGAACAAAAAATAAACAAAATATAAAATACAAATTGTTCTAATATTAATTTTACAAAACAATTATAGTCAATAAACTAAAATTTGTCTACTTTTAAAAATGTCGAGGGGGTCCGGTCCCTTGGACCCCCCAGTTACGGCCTCGACTCCAAATAATATTATTAATTATAATATTTATAATTATTCCATAAAATATTCCTTAATTCATCTGTGAAAGCATCGTTAGCAACGGTGTTTCTTTTTGAATCCGAAAATCTCTGATGACATCATGTATACATATATTTATGTACATGATGTTCATAATAACACCGATAATAATAAAACCAATGTCCCTCAATATTGGCGCCATCGTTGATATCACCGCTAATTGCCATCATGTAGGCGAATGTTAAGGAACGTAATATTTTGGATTAACAGGTACCCGATAACAGGAGTTATGTACGTTTTGTTTACATCAAAACTTACCGCAATCTCTCAGATGTGTTCTCCGAGAACGTTATTGTATCTATTGTCCAACAATTCGAATTATCATCTTGTCGGTTGATAAATAACGAAACAGACGTGTTCATTTCGTAAACGCGCTTTAAATTTTACCCCGGATTTTAAAACGAAATTCCGATAAATCATAATAACGTAGGTATAGGTAATAATATTATTACAGCGTGTGACGCTTTCTCGAGAACTCGAACTGTATTTATATTGTTTTTCAACGGAACGTCCGTCGTCGTCGGTTCAAATGATTTATGCATTTCGTGTACAATATTACTATGTAATATATTTAATGGAATAGTGCATAATACTTTACGCATAATAATAATAATAATAACAATAACAATTAATAATCCGTCTGCGAGTTCGTTCTCGTGCTTCGCTGTACTGCGCGCGGCGGCGATATTTTCCCGGCCCGTTAAAAAACACTCGTTGAATGTTCGTCGAGTATTATTGATGTGTGTGACGGGCAAGCCAGGTGGTCTATAACTTTTAATTTCAAGTGCACACGCGTCGGCGTGTGACTTTAATCGAATAATATATTTACCATCTTATCGCCGAACCGCGGCGAAGGTCAGTGTACAATATCCGAGATATTGTATAAACATTTTTATTTTTTTTCCCCCCCTTGAATTATTAATGTGCGAACATAGTATTATTTGTCTACGGTACTCTTGAACAATATTACCGTTGCAGATTAAGTCCCCGTTTTTGAGTTATAGTTCACAATTGTTGCACGTTGTATTGGTAATTTACGTGCCAGATTGGAATGACGAGACGGCGGCGGCGCGAGAATGCAACCAAAATCCAGTCGTTAACTCGGTTTTTATTTTTTCTTAATTGCACGGGCCCACTGGTGCGGGACATACTCTTCATAAAGTCCATCACTTGGTTCGCGCGTATGGTTTCCGCAGAAATACAATAATATGGACGAGCCGAATTGATTGTATCCGATCAATTAAACGATTATAACGGCGCGCGTTCCGCGGACCCCCGCAATAACGCCCAGTCCTCGTCGTCGACACCTCGTGGCGGGGAGATAACGAAAGACGGCGGCGCGTAATATATTCTGATGTTTACGCGTAGGTAAGTAATAATAATAATATTATTATCGTTATTATACTAACGCGTGTATCTAGCCGGTAAATCTCCGATTATAATATCATAGGCAGACACGCCGCGATGGACAATATTATAATATATAGGTATATTATACGCCGCCGCAATGATCTCGTCCTATAAGAGAAACGGGGGGGGGGAGAGTTGATAAACCGTATACCGTGTATCGCGATTGGACGCGAAATCATCTACCGCGTGACGGTTACCGATATAATATTTTGAATAACAAAGTTATTAGTAACTAATTTTTTTTTTTTTTTATATATTATCGCCGTTTATTCACGATTAATTTTTTTCCCTTACTGCACTTTATTGTAACATCACAATTAACCGCACCGTTGCCAATCTCTTATCGTCGTCGTCGCCGCCGCCGCGATGGTCATGCATAATATTATAGCTCGCGCTCACAACGTTATTATGACGATGATTATATTGTAGGAGACCTGCTGCGGGGATCGAGACTTTTTTTTGTTCTAGAGATACACATCGTATTATATTATTATCATAGAGGCCGCATAGTAAATATTCCGCGGCGGAACGCCGGGCTCGCGCGGCTATTACTCAATCCCCTTTGACCGCATAACTCCGAGCCGGTAGGATTTCCCGTGGGCACGCCAGGAATCTCGGACGGCTGTATTATTATTATATTATTACCTCTTATTATTATACGTGTAGTGTTGTGCGTTTCGCGTGCGCTGGGCACGTTCCCAAAATGTGTGAAATCGCCGGTCGCAGTCGCCGTCGACGCCGCCGCCGCCGCCCCATTTCCACGGCGGCGGCGTAGACAAATTTATCGCTTCTCCCGCCCGCTAGGCGAGCCGTTGCGGTCAACGGCCACGGCGGGAAACGCGACGACTACGGCGCACCGTGTACGGATCAATTATAATTGTTTATAATTTCGTATTTTAATGCACGTATACAATGCAATTTACAATATTATTTGTACCGCTTCGTTCGTTGTTGTTTTCGATCGCGCGCGTATACATAAATAATGTCAAATATGAATAATTGTTAACACGAAAAATTCCGCCGCAATGTATTTCGATATCGGAATCCGCCGGATATTATATTTACGCAGCGGTTACGGTTATTATTTTTATTATATTTTGATTATATAGGGCCTTTTGTAAGGTTTCGCGAGAGCTTTTATCGAGTTTCGTCCGAAAATCATAGGTGTATAACCTTTTATAATATTTCATTATTACACGTTTATAACAGTGAACACTTATTAATATTATTTTTTCATCTTTATATTAAAAAAAAATAATAATAATAATAATAATAAATAACATTTCACTTGTTAATATACGGAATAATCACGTCGGGTTACCCGATTCTTCAAATGGGTTGGCTACTATTTATAAAGAAGGTGGAAAGGTATTAAGGTTGTAAGTGTACGGCAGAGTAATTTGTGTTTGTATTATTACACCAAAAGCAACGATAGATCAGTGAAATCGAAAAACGATTCTGAACGGAGCTCGGTAAATACCGCTAAACTACATAATGTGTCATATACATAGTATTATTCGTGTTTTTTCCATGTAGCTAAAAGGTTAAATCTTGAGCAAAACCTAAGCATATTTACCTACCGATAAATGGTTTTTCTGTTAGTTTTACAAAGACGTATGTTTTGTTTCCCCCCACCATCCTCCTTTTCTTTTTGGTGATTAAAATGTTCCGTTTTTTTCACTTAATACCTAAATAAATAATGTAAAATTTCCAGCCGATCGCAGTCTGTTTAAAACATATATTGACATTTTATCTCTTTATACTACTTACACTAGGTTCTTTTTTGTTGGTTTGTTTTGATTGTAGGATTGTACCTCAGAATCATTTTTTTATGCAACGATTTAAAGTATAATTTAAATTAAATTGCCTTACACATAATATCCTATATAACTTGCCAACTACCTACCTACACTTGTGGCCTACCCATCATGGCGTGAATTACGTCCGAATTGTATTAAATTATACCTGTAAATGTTTTTTTATTATTATTATTATTATTATTATTACCTATTTGTTTTCTTTATGACAATCCTATTAAATTTATCGAGAACTGATTGTGTGTTATTGTGTATGTATTACGCAGTAAGAAACATGATACCCACGCTAAGAAGAAAAAAATCGTTTTACGTAGGCACCCAAAAAGGTAAAAACAAAAATAATTAGATATTCGTGTAGGTATATTAATTAAATATTCTTCTACGCCACGGGATGTTTTTTTATACAAGATGTTAACAATACAAATAATATTATCAATCGAAATCGTATTAAAAGCAAATGCTAATATTTTTCATTGTAATTATTCTTCTCTTTTTTTTTTACTGACGTACCTAATACTCACTAAAAGTATTTTTCGCCATGACTATACCACTTTGCCACGTGTCTCTATCTCGTATTTCAAGATAGAGACAGGTCCAGTAACTTCTCAATTCTTCTTCTTCCCCCACGTCATTTCATATTTTCCTGTAGATCTTTCTCGAGACCCAGTTTTTCCATTCCGTTGTTGCCCTATAACCGGGAAAGTCCCACGAGCCCAAATCTTCCTCTTAAATTATGGACTTTCCCCAGTTTCTCTTGCTCTTAGATGTGAGAATATTTCCATAAATATCTTATTTTGTTACAAAAATTTTACTATTTCAATAATTTACTAATATTCATTTTTAGCTTACTGCTTGCTTAGCTTTAACTTAAGTATAATTAAGTATTCCTCTTACTGGATATCCAATAAACTTACCGTGTGCTTTTGGACTCAGAAGTATTCCTTAAAGAATGATTTGGCTCTTATTGTTTCATTTTATTTCTTTGAATTATGTTCAAAGGTATGTTCCCGTATCAGTTGCCCGGATTTTGACCAAAATCGTAAAAATTATGGCATTTCAAAACATATTAATTTATTTTTTAACTTCGTAAAAAGTTTCAAATTAAAAAAAAAATATATCAAAGTATGGTTATTGTGAAGCCATAAAATATAATATGGAAAATCATTCACATTCAATAAATTTCTTAGCGTTTGTATACATTTGAAAAATATACCGAATTGTATATATATTTTTCATATTTGATATTGCCGTCGATGTTGGAAATCATTATTTAAATAATGTTGTGTTAATTATTATTTCAGTCTGTTTCAAAAATTAAAAATTATATTACAGTTAATTGCGGATACCTTCTTTTGGAGCTTATTATTATGTTATACTAGTGGAAAATTTGTACTTCAGTACGATTATAAAATATTAATACGTTAGTGAATATTTTCGGCGTTTTTTACCACTCCGACAAAAAAAATCGAATTATATGGGTAAAATTGATTTGGTCGATCAGAAATGCTTGGAAATTTAACACGGGGTTTGTCATAAGTTGTTTGTGATAGTATAAAAATAATTTAATGTAAAATAGAGCATTTTTTTCAAAATCATCTTAAGTTCAAATTTTGAAAATCACGGTGTTTTAAAACGTGTTATTTAATTATATTTCCCTCAGAATTGTATTTCATCAGCAATTATTTATCATTGCGTACAGATATAAATTGCCGAATATAATATATTAGAATGTGTATATTTTTATTACACCGCGTGTCTTATCTATAAAATGGAATATTATTTATTATAGTATATAATATATATTTACCTACAGTTTCTCAAACGTCGACGTCGTAGAATTTATAGTAGTGCATAGTAATTATAATAATTATAATAACTAGCCGGGGCTGATATACCATAAAAGTGTGGCCGCGCGACAAAGTGCGAAATCATAACGGAATCCCGTGTACCCACACTTATATATTAATATAATACCTACCTCTATGTAGAATTTCAACAAAAAGGTTGTCGACGGCACAATGTTTTATATATAATATCAAGTTTATTGCGACCAACAACAAATAATACAAACGTAATCATTTTTTTTTTATAAAAAATAAATTTATTATATTTTATATACATATACTTTTTTTAAATTTTCCCGGAAATAATATATATTTTTGGACACTTTTAGCAGCTCCCTCTGGACCAAATGATCTCAAAATCAGGAATTAGAGTTGTTTTGAAGACGTATTGATGTTGTTGTAGGAGAAGAGCGTTTCTTCAGCTTTGTACACTTAAACCTTCAGTTCACCAAATGAAACTAGGGACATACATTTTGTTAATACATATTTATTGTCAAAATGGTATGCGTTTTTGGTGTTTAAACTTTCAATTCCCTTCTCTATCATGTTATGCTCCAATTTTGTGTTTTCATAGAAAATACCGGGATTTAAATACCCCTTCGACAGACGCGTACTGCAGAGTTCAATTTGTATTATACTATGAAATGATTAAGGAAAATACAAATATTTTTCAGTTACTAAAAAATCTCAAACTTAAATTAGGTAATTTGAGGGAATAAGAGTAGAAAAAAACGAAAATGTATATAAATTAAGGGCCTATATGAGAAGGGGCCATCGGAAAATTCCTGGTATGCTGTGGTCAGGACACACCCGCACTTCGAAATAAAATAGTAAAATATATAACAACTCGGATAATTATAACTATAAATCAATTATAAATTATTAAAAAAATAAAAATAAAAATTAAGTATGATAACAATTACAAATGTCCTGGGGGAAAATTTGACTAGCGCCGGAGCTCTTTTTCTCACGGATGTTTTTTTTTTTTTGCTTAATAATAATCATAAATGGCTTTATTTTTAGTATATACGTCGTGTTATACTCTATTATATTTATAATATTATTGTATTATATGGCCAGCTCGACCCCTGCGAGTACGTTAACCAATAATAACAAATAATACTATTATTATATTATATTATCGCTTTAAAATTATTACGAAATAATCTATAATTATTGTTATTATTGTTTGATTAAAATGTTAATCCTAGGTGGCCGTGGACATTAGGATTATCATGACGTGATGACGTATATAGACGGTTTATTGACCGGCTTTGACAATTCGTTTTATTTTAGCTCGTAATAAAAAAAAAATCATCCGCGAACACGTAAAAATAATATAAATAATATAATTATATTATTGACTTAGGTTTTAGATTCTGAGCGCATCGAGAAATGTTTGGGTTTTACTATGATTTTGTGTCAGGCGCGCCATTTGAGAGGTGGCAGAATACGCAGTGGTATCGCCTCTACAGTCCTCGGTTATCCGTTGGTGACACGTAACGTGTTCATTTGGCTTCGGTCGACGACGATCAGATAAGCATATTAATATTATAATAATATTATGTTTACCTATCTCATCGTGACTGCCCTTTACGGGTGGGTAGAGGGGGGTATATATCATTTACCGTGCGTATATCGATATACTCCCTATTAAAAAAAAAAATTGTTCTCTACTGTGTACATACGTCATATAGGGGAAAGAACGAAAGAGAAATAAAAATCGAATGTTTTCTCTCCTCATTGCTGCAGCAGTTCTAAAGTAAGCTCGTGACGCGAAAATTCGTGTCCTTCAGGTCGTCGCGGCTATTGCACTTCCCCGCTGCTGCGGTGGTCACACGTGTGCTACCGCGGTACGCGTTACGTTACCGTTCACTACAATATGTCTCAATCAAAACCTGGTGTTATTATTTTTCGTCATTTTCCACGCGCAATATTTTATTTAGTTCGATTTGTCGCTATAATATACGGACAACATAAAAATAACATTCAAATCTGCAATCAACATATTGGAACTTGTATAGGAAATTTCAAAATAGTTTTCCTGGTATGAATTGCTCCATATTGTAGTGCATATAAGATTTTTTTTTTGAGGGGGGAGGAGGTCAGAATGATTGGTTCATTACTTTATATTTTTGGTAAAAATTAGGATGGTTATATGTATATTATATATGTATGCAAATTTGGTTATAACTTACCATATATTGGAACTTAAAATGCTTAAAAAATAAATAACACAATTTGTATTCAATTAACCCCCCAAAAAACTAGGCAATTTCAAATAACTTTACACCACTTATAAAATGTCGGAATATTTTAAAAATCATTCTACTTCATCATCTTCTTAAGGTGCTTTTTTTTCTTTATTACTTCCTCTTGGTCTTTCTCTTTCTTTATTGTTATCCCTCAAATATATTTGTCCCCTACTTAGCTTAATATAAATATACAAAAAAAAAAAAGAAAAAGTACACTCTATTTTAGAGTGAAACTCTAAGAATCTAAAATTGTAATATTAATATACATTATAATATATTGTGAGTGTTTGCTTTTATTCTTCGGTAAAAATCGAAAAAAGTTCATCTTGGGGAACCGTTACCCACCCTAGCTCGTAAACCGATAAAGTCGTTTTATGCGGTTCTCCTGCGTCAAAAATGTAATTAGTGTCCTTATATAATAATAATATGCGGATCCGAAAACAATAGTAATGTTTTAAAGAATATAAAAAGCGCACATCGTCATCGTTAAGGCGGTAAATCGAATAACCGTTTATATAAAAGTACGCCGCCTAAGTCCGCTATATAATATAGTAATATATTACAATCAAACGTGCAATTTTTTTTTTTTTTATTAGTTGTTATTATTGTTATTATTATTACTGTTATAATAACGCACGCAGTTTATTGTCGTATATACCCGTGGGCGGGGAAAAAACCACATTATTCACCTGACGACGGTCTGTTATGATAATAAGATGAGATGGGTATAATATGATTATCTCGCATAACGTATCTTGGTGGCTTGTATAATGATAATAATAATAACATATAATAATTTAATAATATTACGCGTACATATATTATTATATATTATATATTATTATGTAATTTATATCACGAAAACGGATAACGGATGTACTAAAACATTTTGTTTCATGTTGTTTCAAACGACTAAAATGATTAAATCACGTTTCAAACAAAACGTATTTATAACAATCTTGATTTAAACTACAGAGTATATATAAAAAAAAAAAAACAACTCGAATTTTCTCAAACCAATTTTGTATACTAGATATATTCTTTGCAAATTAATAAATAACCGAATTTCCAACACCATATATATATATATATATACAATTTCACTCCCCCCCTGGCTTCATTCGGGGAGTCTGTAGAGGTATACAAAACTAAAACATTACCCTTCATCTGCAACATGTTTTATGAACAAAATTTATATTGAAATTCAACCGAACTTGAATTTATCTACAAAACAATTCAACAATTTCCGAATTTGAGCTCATTTAATCTAGAAAAAGCCACTAGAAATGTCCATAAGCAACAGGGGAAATATATGTATGTAAATTGTATATAATATAAAAATACAGTGAAATATTCTCTATTTTCGGAAAAATTTGTATAAAGAACACTATATTTAAATAAAAAAAATTTTACTTGATTGTTATATTTCATGAAAATATAGATTAACCTATACAATAGTTAATTTTATAATAATAACACATACGTTTAATTTAAACTTATAACTTTTTATTATCGAATTTAGTACACCTCATAACTCATGCTTAAAATTCTTTATTTTCAATGGTATTAGTATAGGTAAATATGGATGATGTTTAAACTTTAAAAATATTGTTAGGGTACCTTATTAATTTTTCCTACATAATATGATATAATTAAGAGTCTCGAGAAAAATGCAATATTAATTCATTAAGTTGATAAAAATATAAAAAGTATTCCTTTTTTAGATTCTGAGTGTAATGTGGAAAATATATTAGTTTTAGTTTCACTATGGTGTGTGTGGTTTTTTTTTTCTGTCTGGAAACAAATTTTTTATAGAAACTTTGTTCTAATCAAAAAATGACAAAAGATCTATTTTATTGCATTTTAAACCTTGTTGGTACTTCGACGAGGCAATTTTTTGATTTTCCGAGTGGATTTTATAATAATTTGGAAAACTCGAAAAAAAATGGACAAATACGGTGTTAACGATTTTATTATTGTAAATCATAAAAATCATTACTTTTTAAAACACGTACACCTTTAACTGAACTTTGCTCTAAATCTTTTAACGTTGCACACAAATATAAATTAAATAACTTTTTGTATCCTTGCTATCTTCCCGACTTCTGATCACAGTGGTACACCCTTCCTCCAACATTAGCTCTTTTTATGTGGTAATTTTTAATCACAAGCGATCGAGTTTCATAAAGAAAATATTATACTATAACTTTGGAATCCAGTTTATAAATTATTTTGTAATAATACGATTTGTTATTTTATTTTATTTGTGTATAGGAAGTGGAAATGAATTATAATACAATTTATTATGATTTAATACGTATTTATCAGATTGTTAAGACGTTGAGTTGGTTAAAATGAGAAATACGAATTTTCGGTAATAACAATTTATTATATTAAAATTAATTATCATTAAAATAATTATTACATATATTTAAAAGTACCACGTAAAATAGCAAAGTCCAATTATTACTATTTAAATCAAGGTCAACTAATTATATATAGTGATGAAAAAGGAAAGTTTCGCAACAAGTTTCCATTCCTGGCCGTAGATCTGCAGAGTAATTCCTCCAAATATAACAATAATAATCTCGCATAACACACACACACACACACACACACACACAGTATTAAATATAACTTTGAATAGTATACCTATGAACACGTATGATTAATGTATATAAGTATAATTACACGGTCATTTGACTAAAATATGTATTTCCATATTATTCTTAGTCGTTCAACTTTAGCGTAGGACGTAGGTATATTATAGATACATTTAATTTATTTCAATTCTTTTTTGATTTTGAGTGTACCAAGTATATATTATGTTAGTAAATTATAATAATAAAATTATTATTATTTTTTTTATAAATTTAATTTATATGACAATCTTAAAAATCCCAACTGAACTTCGCTCAGAATCGTTTTTCGTCAACAATGGTTTATCGCGTTGTGTACAGATATAAATTGAATCGTTCTATATAATATAATATCATATGCCTATTTTTCCAAATATGCATTTATTGAAAATGATTTTTTAACGTACTGTGATTTATTCTAATATTAATTAGAAATTATATACAATTTCTTCTTAATTATATGTTATAGTTTTGAGAGATAACGTTGTATGTATTAACATCATGTAACATAAAATTAAGAGAACCCTGCAGTATCGTATAAATTTCTGTTCAAACTGTATTTTGATATACCTATTTAAAGGTTACGTTTTCTTATAGACATGAATATTTTTCGAATACTATATATTTAATTGATAATTGAATAAATAATAATACCTAAATACAAATAAAACCGTATTCACAAACGTTTACCGAATAAGTTAATGAGAGAATAAGTCGACTTGTCTTAATTCAACCTAACCTACTTATCCTATAGAACTCTGAATTATGATAAAGATTAAATTCTCTTTGTACATTTTGATCCGAGGAGATATTACGTCTACCTGCTATAATTATTTGTACTTTTATACTAAATATTGCAATAGCATGCAGGTGTATTACGAGTTAATCCGGGGAAAGTATGAATTTAGTAGTGCAATGTGAGGTGTATAAAATAAATAGAGAATAATTATATTTTTTAAATAACCATCGCGTTCGTATGATTTTATTTAAAATTCGTGACTTTAACATGTGCAGTTGACATACATAGGTACCAAAAGGGATAATAGTAGGTTAAATTATCCTATTTCGAATATTAAAATTCGTATAATTGTTTTTTTTCCTTATCCCATTTGTCACCAGGCGCGACAGTGAACCTGTACAGATTTTCGAATTTTATGCAATAACAATATAAGTACATATTATTAATTTTAGATCCTATTTGAAAATTTGAATTTTGATAGATATATTGCTCTATTTTATTTTTATACTTATGCACAATATCATGTTCGTACGTTTATGTTTATACTGTTTTAAACAAAATAAATAAATAATAGTTAACTGCATTTATCACGCCGTGCCGTTTGCATAATGCACTTTTAATTAATCCTTTTTTTTTTCTGTTTTGTTACGTGTTGCTGTTGCTGCAGACCTGTTGTACAGACACGACGTGACGTTCGATAGCGTTCTTACAGAAGTGGAAATACTCGACACATGCAAATGTTCGGTAAGTACTGCAAGCATAATATAATATATATATATATATATGTAATATGTATATAGTTTTAAGTTCTATGTGTATGTGTAATAGTCGTGTGCGCGTTTAAAAGATATAGGAAAAAAAAAACAGATACGTGATCTGGACAACAATGCGTAACTTATTTTGCGTGCGCCGCGGCCCCGCGAGACCGGAATCATCTCTCGAGTCATCTTCTTGCGCAACATAATAATGTGTCCGTTTACTACCATTACTACAACCATATTATACTATTATTCCCGGTGTAGTATTATTACAATAACCGATTATATTAACGTACACCGTCACGTTTCGTTATTATTATTATTTTTTTTTTTTTTGATAACAATTATTATTTCGAAAACGGTGTTGTATTATGAATTATTATAATATGACGTTGACTCAAAAACTGCAGTAGTTTAATATTTTTATTGTCACGATGTCCACTGCTTAAATCGCATGTAATCAAAATATAAACGTTTTTATTATAATATATATATAATAAGAAGACGCGTTTATAGTGTTTATACCTACCGGGGTATTTTAAAGAGGTATGTTGTGTCCAAATGATGGCCATACGTTAAAATACATCGGACATAGAAAATAAATGAAAAATTATTAAACAAGTGTAGATTTTGTAAAAAAATATTTTATTTTGTATACTGCAGGAAATACTCTCACTGATGATGGTGAGGAGTAACTGGGGTATGTCTAAAAGTTAATGGGAATAATGAATAGTCTACCTGCTCTTATGAAGTTTTTTTTTTGAGAAAGAAGAGAGTGAATATTCACTAAAAAATGCCCTAATATATACGAAATGTTGTCATTAGAAAAAAAGCGGATTTTCCATTCGTCGTAGCAGCCGGTGTTATTTTATTTGAAATATTTTTTTATTGATTCCCAACGGTTTTTCTGAAAAAAGTAACAAAACTTACGCGGACAGAATTTTAAATTGCATTCATTTTTTTCAATAGTCGAAGGTAGGAGTTATATTTGAGGGATCTATTTTCAAAGTGTATAATCTCCATGTACACTACATTTTCAGAAAACCAAAAAATGAATAACTTAATCAAAAATTGTTTTTTCCTATACTAATTTTATTAACCTTTTCATATAGTTATGAAAAGATAATTTATCAGGTTTTTACTTAAAAGGATAAGATTTTGGCTTTGTTTTGACAAAATTTTGTTTAGAAATTATACAGTATGACGTTAAAAATAGTGCGCTATGTGATATTATATCTATTTATAGATATAATACTATGAATTATATTCGATGAGAGTAATAATTATTGTTTACAATTATCGATGATATTCAAGAATAATATCACAATAATAAAACACATGAAATATACTTGTCAAAGAAGATTGTACGTTTTGAAACTAAATATAATTTCCAAGCTTAAAATTACACTGGATTTTGACCATTTTCCTAGTCAATAGTTAGTTATTTGAATTTAGCGCTGAAAAATTGCATATGAAACGATATCTATCTCATTTTTCACGGCAATTTGAAATTATACACTTTGAAATTAAACCTCTTGTATGCACTTTTAATTTTTTTGTTATTAAACATTGATTTTTTTACCATTAAGAACATGACTTTTGGGGGTTTCAACTTTCAACCCCTGCGACTATATGCATGATCAAATTTCACTTTTTTTTTTCTTTGGAAATCTAGTTTACTAATTACCTAAGTATATAGTATGCAATACTATATTATATAATATAGTAATATAGTATTCGGTTATTAATTGTTTCGCAAAGAATAATATCTATACGTATTTTATAAAATATATGGGAGAAATTAGATCCTAGTGATGCAGCTCTGTGGCTCGCAGCAGGTTATAAGTCCTTTTAAAACTTAAAAAAACGCATCCGTTTGACCTGTAGGCATAATAATTCTAGGCTTATAGTTTATGTTCGGGGAACAATATAATAACTATTAACCATAGTTGCAATTATACACCAGAGTGTAATAATAATATTATATTTTAACGGCGATATCTGTGATACCTATATAAGTGTTAAAAAATATATAAATGTATATATATATTTTTAACGATCTGACCGTACGTAAATAATTTTACGAGCGACAATCGATTATATATTACAGAGATCGACGCTAACTGTAATATTGATGTGGTTGATGTAATATTATTATAATGTCTGGTGTACCTACGGTGGTGTTAGGAACCAATGACGCGGCGGCTTAACTGTCGAAAAAACAGAAATGAGAAAATACAATGATAATAAAATTAAAAAAAATATATGTAACACGTATTACAAACGCCCAGAGAAGACGCAATGTAATAATATTTTCGCAACGGATTTCGTGGCTTCGGGCGAAGTTATTGACACTACTCATGTATAGGCACCTGGCACCTGGTACAAATAGTGAAAACAAAACTGATCGACATATTTTATCATTATATACGTCTCGAGAATATTATGTAGAGGTGTTTTTCTAAACGGTTTTTAGTTTTTTACTATAGGTATGTATGTATATATAATATAATATATGACCGCGTAAGTAATTAATAGTAGAACGGTTAAAGTAGATAGGATATATAAGAAGTTTTTTTTTTTAGTGGATACTACTAGCACATTATATTATATGTGAAATTTTTTTTGCAAATTAATTAGCATCGATAATAGTTTGGCGGTTACCTACATATATATTTTTATTTTAATGATATCGACGCACAATTTTTTTGCGATACGCGTTTAAACTAGTTTCTCGATCGTTTATATTATGTTACGTAAAACATTTTTCGACTTTTCGGTGGCATTATAAAAGTCGACAGCAGTGAGATCATATCATTATATTATTGATTTGCGAGAATCAAAAACCAATAATTAGCTACTTACTCTTAATATACGCGGCATATTATATTTAAAAAAAAGTAATAATATATTTATATATATTATGCTAATGAATGAGATTGAAACATAAAATAATATGCGAATAATAAATTTGTAATAAAATATAATAATATTAATATAAACTTTCGTTTGCGCACATTTATAATACACATCCTACCTACACTATAAAAATTGACGAGAATATTGCGCAATAACATCAGCTATATATTAATTGCCCTATAGGTAATTATATTTTTTATAATTACTTCTAAACTTTAACACTATTTGCTTTAGTATATATATATATAAATATATATTTTTTTTATATTGCGGTAAAAGAGCTGAATAAGCGTTTTAGATTTATTATTATAAAATATTCATGAAAGATTTCTCCAAATGTTCAGGACTGCAGACTTATAATATTTTGTAGAATACATTTTTCATCTAGTATATAATATACGAGTAGTATACGTACACGTCGTTGTCGTGATACAAGATTTATTACAATCATATTATCTCGATTTTTCTGTTTATTCAGCGTTGTTGTTTTCATTTACTTTCTCGAAACATTTACTATATAAGTAATATATAATATTATAACAATATAATGAGTACATATTAAAATGAAGTGTCGAATTTTTAAAATCACAATATTTGCAAATTATTCTATTAAAACGTGTTTCAAGTAACTAATTTTTAGCAATAAATATTTTATTGCTCAGAGAAACAATCCATACTTGTATACTAGGTTTTTTTTTTTTTTTTTTGTGTCTATAAACAACTTTTCTAGCAGGAATCTTGTTTCCATCAAAATGTGTATGGGAACTTACTTATTGTCGTGTATTTAATCTAATTGGGTGCGTTGCGGAGGTAATAATAATCTGTTTAAGATTATTTTCGTCGTTTTTATCGTTGCGAATAGATATAAATATTTATAGATATAAATATTTATAGATATAAATTAAGTTACTTTATATAGCCTCCCTTCCAACATGCCTCTTAAAATTATGGCACACTCATCAGCAGTATAAATCTTTGTTTTTAAACTCCGGGTATAGCGAAAAAGTTATAATATTTTATACAATATTACTAAGATGTGTTTTTTTCTCGGAGTAGACGTTTTGTTCACTAAAAATGCTCAGATTTTTTTCACGCAATACCTCAAAAAAGACGAAGAATTTTTGCTCGATGGTATTTTTTTAAAAGGTATTTTGAAATTTATTCGACAGGTTTTTTAAAAAATAAAAACTGTTAACGAACTGACCGTGCATATATCATTGGTTTTATTTCCGTTGATTTCTGGGTGGTAACCTAATTGGCTGTAAGTAAAAAAAACTCGATTATTTTAAGCTCATAATCATTTTTTGTTGATAATGATTTATCGTCGCTTTTAGTTTAATATTGAAACTGAATCACCTAAACAATATACATTCCCAACTTCCGACCTACAGCAATTGCGAAGTATTTTATTTATTTGTCTTTATAATATTTCACATTTGCGGAAATCAACTCCAGAAATAATATTATTATTCTTACCATGTATTGAAACGTTATTTATATTATCTTAAATATTATGGTACACATATAATATTTTGATATTCTTATACTTCCATATTTTTCATTAACATTTCGGTAATCAATCAATTTTAATAATACCTATAGCTTATACTAAATAATTGCACAAATCACTACTGTATAATGCGATATTATTATAATACACTGAGTGATAATTTAGTAGTTAAGACATGGTTTACGAAGGGAGAAGAAGGAGACAAAATGGGGTATTTAACCTTTACTCGTACTCTCCTCTCCTCATTTTTGCATCGCCATCAGAGGAATCAATGATTTAAAAAAAAAAAAAAACATTTAGTTTCCATATACACCTAGGTACTAAAATAATAATTATCATTAGCGATAATATACGTAGGTACCCACAGTATATGATCGTATTTTATTTCTTAATCATAATAATAATTATACGTTATAAATTATTATATATCTTCAGATAATATTATTTTTATGTGGCAGTTTATCGTCGGGCTATAATGTTAAATGCAGACATCAGACGGTTATCATTTTTTTAAAATTTTTTTTACCTATTAGGGCATAATATATTTTATATAGTTATATATTATGGTTACATAAATAAAATAGGTATATTCTCACGCGCGCCATAATAAATTTCGATTTGTCTCTTGTAAGTACCTATATATATATATATATTTACTCGAGTGTTTTTCAATAAACATTTCTTAAAAACAAATCGTTATTTATTATTTTGTATAGATATTATAGTGTTTCATTGAAACTACAACGCAGTAGTGTTTTGATCACTGAATTTTCTATAATATGCAATGTTATTGTTTTGTATTTCGAATCTTCGAGAAATTAAAATTCGTACGACAATTTTTCAATTCTTTTTCTGTTTTGTCTATAATATACTAAATTGGCAGTTTAGAAATTATCATTGCTGCTTCCTACGCTTTTGCGCTGCTCTCTGTCAAACACCGACATCAGCCATATCCAATAATACGTATACTAATAATGATCCTCATCACGGTTCCCCATCTTTTTCCTGAATCAAAATTCCGAGCAGCATTTTTCTCAAATAGCATGTTTGAATATTTTATGAATATTAATTTAAAATTTCAAAATTAATTAAAATTATACAAATTATTATTTATAAGATGATATTAGGTCGAGTCCATTTATGTTGTCCAAGCCATTAAAGATTGAATAATTTATGGTGATACTTTACGTGCTTTTTAAAATCCAACCACTTTTTTAGCTGATTGCAATTCTGGAAATGTACCATTCGGACAAAAGTCTTTGGAAAAAAATAATTTTAGACATTATATTCGAAAAAAATACCGGAAATCGCTCAACACGTTTTTATCAGAATATCACGATATCATAACGTCATTGATGATTACCTCTTGGTCTTTACCCAAATATTTTACGTTCCTCGAGCGAACTGTTTTATTGCCAGACTCGTTCGTGATTAATTTAAAAAAACAAAAACAAACTCGTTCACTCAAAAACACGTTGCAATTTGTAAAAATAATCTACTTGTTTTGAATTTATTTCGTTTAGCGGTTTTCATATTATAGGTACCTTTAGTTAATTTCGCTGACAAGAATCGATAATATTTTGATGTATATTAAAAAATCCTTTTGATTTTAAAACTGGAAAAGTTTTAAAACTTTAGCATAAATAAACATGCTGATAATTACTTTTTGTGTATCGGAAATAACTTTTGAAATAACTTTTATTCCTGAAATAAACATTTTTTTATTAATATTTAGCTATACATATAATGAACTATTCGGTTTACCGTCTTTAATTATTATATACTGTTTTAGTGTTGCACACTAAGGAATTCTGGGATAGCTACTGAATTTTAGTTGGGTGATGGTGGCTTATAAATATCTATACATTATAATTTAGAAATCATAAGAAATCTTTTGTTTTTCTATTTATAATATTATGTTTGCATGTATACAATTATTTTTCGCAATGCGTTTCAAATGTTGATGAATGTAAATGTGAAATGCATTTATTATGAATAAAAAATTACGAACAGGAATTTTTTAAACACTGCTAATTTGGTGGTGGGATGGTATACTAAAGCGGATAGCACATAACTAAATATTTAGCCATGCTATAGCCTATGCTATTCAGCATGCTACCCCCTGCAATTTAATTTTAAGTGTACACTACCGTACCGTTTAATAATAACGAGTGTATATATATATATATGAATATATAGAGTTGAACTGGTTTAAACTATACCATATTATTATATTATATATCGCGGAAAATAATGAGAATAATTCTTTTTATTTACTTTATCTACCTCAGGGTTAGATTAATAATAATAGTCGTAGTAATGCATTTATGAAGCCCAGTATCGTATGTACATTTAGAGAGAGTAAAATGAAACTGTTGTATATAAATGAATATTATTGTCGTCGGACGTTAATCGCAGTTAAAAAATAAAAACCATTGTTACTCAATTATCTGCGGGGACCTATAATACACGTAGATATAATTACCTATATATCAGCGATAGGTTTTGTGTACAACCAGCAAGTTCGCTCATCCGTAAAACCATTAGAGAACACATAATGTAATATACGTATTATTATTAGTTCAGGTATCGATTTTCAAGAGTCGTATTATAATCATTATTATATTATACGATTGTATATAGTATCGCTAATATAACTCATTATAATAGCTTCGTGTCGGTCTCGTTCATCTTTTTTTTTTTTAATTGACTACGACAATGATTCCATGCTCTTGGTCAATTATTACAGATACGTGTTACTAAAACGTATATATTTATAATGGAAAAAAAAAAAAATAATAAAAATCGAAATAAATCGATGCCTCCAAATATTGTAAGCGAGTGTTATTATATATATATATATATATATAATGCGACGACGGAGAGGTCTGTAAAAAAGAAAAAGAAAACGGTTTAGCTGTGACACATATACGAGTATTTTTTTTATCCGAACACAATATATAATACAGTGTGACTACGTCAATTCATAAAAAAATATATATAATACGCATCTGTATAGCGCCGGATAATAATATAATAATTGCATCACGGTCCACATAACGTGTTATTATCATTATTATTATTACATATGTATCGATGATAATAATATTAATATTATTATTATTATTGTGATGGTTTGACACTGCACCGGTTCAGTGTAAAGACGGCTGTCTCGGTCAGCCACCCCTCAACACTATCGTGTAGACAGTAATGCTTTTGACAAAATCGTATTTTATTTGGAATGTTACCTGGATAATATTTTTTTTCTTTAACAATTCCATTAAACGATGAACACGTTTTTACGTGATGGCCTGCACAGTAGAAATTTTTAAATTTTGACGTTGAAATTTGTGGACCAATTATTCGTTTTTCGTTATACTTACAGCGAATATGTGAAATTCCAGAAATTTACATTTTTTTGAATCCGTTATTTCTATAGGTGATACACGATTTAAAATTGGACGGAATACATTTGTGTTTCGGACTTGCCAGAACTAACATTTAAAAACCGATTTTATTTGTTTGTTTTGCAATAATTTTGAAATTAAAATTCACGTATATGAACAAATTATTATTTTCGTTATATTTTATTATCACCCAATACGACTAAACAAGACATTTGTCGCCAGTTTCTTATTCAAAATATTTTTCGAGTATAATATTATTTGATTCTGAATAGATATACCGAAGAAACTATATGCCTATTAGTTTTAAAAATGATATATCCTTTCTCGGAAAACGCTTGCGGTAAGTAATACTATTGTTACATCCATAGAATGATAACCGCCCAAACCCTTTTTTGTTGAAGTCTCATATCTACTAACTATATATAGTTTGAATTTAAAAAGCAAAATGTATTGTACGTGATCTATGTGATTAGTGAATAGTGATAAAATGCAATTAAAATTATAAGAAAAGACAGTCGAATACCATTCATTATTTTTTTCAAAACAGATGTTAAGGTTTTCCTATAACTGATATAAAAAAGATTCCTATACAAACGGCTAATATTAAATTAAAACAAATAATATATTCAAAGCTAAAAATGTGTATTATTTGTAAATGTTGTATAGTTTTTTACCATTCCCTCCACTCCGGTGATAGAGAAGAAATAATGTGATTTTAAAAATAAATCCTCCAGCATTCCTAATGACATATCCTTGCTAAATCCTTATCTTAGATTCATCTATACAACAGTGGGCTAACTCTGAGCAGTATACACATTTGATTATATTTATTCTCTTCTTCGATTAATATCAATTAATTGTTCACGGTCTAAAATATTATTTGTTTATACTTATTAAATAAATAAAAAAAATAAAATGTGTATACACTTGTTTTGCCTGAGATTATGATTACATATCTACTATAATATTATAGTGTGGTCGCTAAAATGTTTTATTGAAAACCTTAATAACGATTGAATAAATATTTGATTAAAACAAATTTCAGAATTATTATTATGGTTTATAATATATACGCGCGGGGGAGTAGGCCGTAATAGGTTTCCTCCCACGATAATTTTCCCCGTCGTAATATCAGTTTACATATATTATTAAATTATATACACGAGCAGCAACCTAATATAAATAATTATAGTATCTCTATACTAAAATCACAAGATTCATACTAACCGGAATGTCCATTCAAATATTAAAATATTGTAATGTACCTGCAGCTGCATCAATGGATATTTTCTATTATTGAAAATCAATTTTTTTTTTTTCCAATTTTCACGTCGAGATCGTTTTCTATTATATGGAATTACAGGAAGCTTTTATAATAATAATAACGTACATACCATTATATTCTAATATTTTTTTTTTTTTTTTTTTTTGTATAATATTATACTCTTTTTCGGGCTGGGGGTAAATCGAATATAATCTTATATAATAATATAGGAACCTAGTTAAAAGTGTTTTAAAATCGATATAATAACCATACGTCGTCTTCGGTGGAATATTCGTTTTAGTTATTCCTGCGGTCGTGTCTTTATATATATATATATATATATATATATTTATAATATCTTTGTGGGACTGCTTTTATATAGTATACCTAGGTATATTATAACAAGGTGCGCGCATCACGTCGTATCCAATTAGTTCTACTGGCGCTGGAGAATAATAATAGCGGATCTACACACTACACTCAGATTTGTACACTGTAGCACTCCGAAGACCTGTATTAATCTATACGTACGTACGTACGTGCGTGTATGCGTGTGTGTGAGTGTATGCATATATACCCCTGGTCGTCGACTATAGGGCCGTTTTTACAATATATAATATAGGTAGGTATTTTTATAATATATGTATAAACGATTTTTTTTTCTTCTTCTCGGTCCTTCTTGGATACTCGAACGACTTGAAAAGAATAAGTATACCTATGTACATAGATACATTCGAAGTCATGCGTTGCCGAAGAAAATGGCGAATGTAATAATAATATAAATAACAAACAAAGAAAACTCATTATCGTCGTTTATTTAAATCAACTGAAAAAAATATATATATATATATATATATATAAAAAGAATTATTGCATACTAATAATGATTTTGACTGAAGAATTATAAATGGTTATAACACGGTGGTGTTTCATTTCGTGTCTTAACGTAAATTCGAACTTTTAAAACGCCGCCTATTATCGATCAAAATAAATTACAACATTTTACATATGAAAACAACTCGATAATTTAAAATTATCATATACAGCAATAATTCAAAAAACGTCGGAATATTTCGAAAATTACACAATGTCTGGAAAGACGTGCTGATATAATATATAAGTATTTCGGTGAAAGTTTCAGGTCTCTACGATAATTTTTCATAAATTAACAAAAAAAAGATCTGATTCTGCTTATGGGTGTGCCACTGTTATAGGTAGAAAGTTGGAAAGGTAGGATACACAAAGTTATTTGATTTATATCTGTACGCAACAATAAATCATTGCCGATGAAATACGATTCTGAGCCAAGTTATATTACGTAATGCCGGTATTTTTTGGGTTTTTGTCAAAATATGAACTTAAAATGCTTGCTTATAAAAAAAAAAAAATACTGAATCACATTCGACTTTTTTTATTAATTTCAGACACAATTGATGACGATTCTCGTATTAAATTTTCAAACATTTTGGTACGGTTGAAGAATTCTATTTACATTAGTCAAAAAATATAGTATGCAAAATGTCGTCATTTTTATATATTACATTGAAGTTTGAATTTGAAATGCGTATAAAAAAAAATATGCTGTACGTTCTTTTTTTGGACAACTCAGTTGTTAAAAGTAGATATAAGTCAAGTGATTTCACCACGTTTGTATTCGTTTATTTTCCTCCTTTGTGTGTAATAACCGAACATGCAAAAGTATTAAATAATTACTTCGGCCCTACGACAAATTTGTTGATATTTTACACTTTCGGTTTTTTTTTCCAACAGCCATCACAATGCGGTGATTTACGCACTACAGTTCGATGTGTATGTTGTATTGTGTGTGCTATATACACGGTGATCGTTAAAATTTATTACACACGATGTTTTATTCTGTTTTTTTTTTTTTAGAAATAAGTTATAAATAACATCAAACTTAAATTTTTAATTGTATACAAAATTGTAAGTGTAGGTATTTAAATTTACATAACATAATAATATTATCATCTGTTTAACGTACGTTAAATTAATAAATTCGTTATGAAAAAAAATTTAAATGTTAGCAACTTGGGTAATAATACCTACATGTTAAATTTTAAATTTAATATCAAAACTTGAGTACACGTTATATATCAGTATATTTCAAAAATCCATATAAATACATTTTGTAAATAATCCGTATTATATATTGTTTAATAATAATAATTATATCAATAGTAAATTAGTGAGTGGAAAATAAGGTTTATATGAGTTAAAAACACTATTCTAAAAACCGAATATAGCTGGTCACGATACGGAGTAAAATGATACAGTGGACTGGGCATGCGACGCATAATTAAAATCCCCACACATACGCTTACTGTTTAAAGAAAATCTTACTAGAAAAAATACTGAAATTAGAAGACCAGTACGTATGAAATGGAAGGATGTAGTAATGAAAGATATAGCCTTAGGAAGAGAGGGTTGGACTGAAAGACACAAACAGTGAATAAGGAAAACTGAAGGTAAGGTTTTATGGTGGGTCGATTGTCCTATCACTCGATTACCTAAGCAGAAGAAATAGTTTGCCTCTTAGTAGGTTTATAGTAGAACTGCTGCAAATAACGAAAACAAGGAGCCTCGTAGTTATATTTTGTGTAGAATCCAATTTGTGTAATCAAAACAACAAACAAAGAAGACAGTTTTTAATTCCTTTAATAATTGTATTAAAATGTTACCGTTCAAAACGCGATGTATCTTATTAGTTATATATTATTACATTTCGATAAAGCCAGTGACTTATCTGTTGTTACGGGGTCGATGGACCCCCCATCCCCACTAATTGGCCGTAATTTAAAATATTTGTGTATAGTTTCGTGTTTGTAGTGTACAATGATTTAATTTTTCATTATTAACTGTAATAAGTACAGAATCTTTTTAAATGTAATTAAGAACATTTAACTTTAACAGACAGACATGTATTTTCGGGTTTGTCTTCTTCCCCCATTGAGAAATCATGGCTATGCCACTGGATACAATTTGTTGCATAACTTATCAAGAGTACAGATCTTGAACACCGTGCACCTAGTCTTTACAATATATGTATACGAGCATCGTGTAATTATTACGAAATCATTGATCATAATTACAAATTAAAACACCCGTTAAGATAATACAGCGAGTTATATTAATGTTAATTATATTATTTATTATTTGTTTGAATCGATCGGTGGTATAAAAAACCAATAAACAAAAAATTCTCCGTTACTGTATATAGTGTAATATATTTTTTATAGGTGGTACTTCTAAATGACCGTGTAAACATAATTTATTTCCGATCGTTTTTTCTTTCATGTGTGTGTACGTGTGGCACGCGCGGGGGCAATAGGGTAATAATAATAATAATATGTAATATATTATAAAATAATATGTAATAATATTATTATTGATCGGGAAAGAAATATAAATTATAAATGACGAATGTTTTATATATATATATGTATATATGAAACGACAGTGCAACATCGTTTAGAGATATTATAGTCGTGTGACGTATGCGGTGGTGGTGTTCTCGTGGAAAAAAAAAACGTGAAATCGAAAAAGGTTTGCCATTTTTTATGTATATATTTAAAAAATAGACTCGTCCGGAATAAAATATCGCCCGCGCGCGGGGTCCGTCGGCCGCACGATTTCTTTGACACGACACGCCGCCGCCGCACGAACGGCCACCGCCAAAAGGCAATAGGGTTGGTGGTCGCGTGTTTGAAATTGTCTGTCGGATATCGGTCGGGTTATAGGTAATAGGTAAGGTTAGGTTAGGTAAGGTTTTGTGGGTTTTCCTACTGGAACGCGCAGGATGATGGAAATCCTATATAGCAGCAGAGATTGATACGAATTCTGGGGTAGGTACATTTTTATTATTATGACCGGAAATCTCTCTCCCGTCATTAGCTTGAGGGGTGATTTTAGATATAAAATTTTTGTCTAGTTGGTGTATTTTAATGGCTATTTTTTTTCATATATTTCGATTGAACATAACATTTCATTTTATAAATAAAAAAATATTATTATTGCCTTGAGCAAATAAGTGATACTTTTCACGATTTCAATCATTGCATGGGACGGTAATTATTTTTTTTTATACATTTTCCAATTCGTACACTGGTTGCTGTTTCCAACTATTGTTGGCGTTTGTCGGCGCCCAACGACGGTATCGAATGTCTTGTGAATTTCGATGACTCGACGGCACTCGATTTTCTGACCTTTCTCGGTATACAATCACTCGTGCGGGTACGATAATATATTATTATTATTATTTTACTGACGATGACTAAGCGATACGATGAATATTATTATAAAAAAATTACGGTTCGCGTGCGTGTAAAAATGAAGTAGGTAATCTAAAAATTAAAAGAAAAAAAATCATGTGCTCTACGCGATGTCGTCGACCCGTCGGCACCGTCGACACCCGCGGTCACCATTAAGTCGCCGGCGTTTAACCCCATGCGACGGTGGCGTTCACCGCTAAAACTACAGGATTACCGACGGCGGAACAATATAATCACAATACCAACCGTGTTTTTGACAACCCGAGTATAAATTTTCTACCGCTGCTCTTTCATATCATGCTAATAATAACAATAATTACATTATTATCAGCATGTCAATGTTTCTTACCACATTTTAGGTAATGCGGTGATTTTTCAATATTAAAATACCACGCTTGATATTTGATCTATACCTATATATATATATATATATTATACATGCACTATACGATAGTATTACAATCAACGGGCGCGAACCGGCGATGTGAATCAGCTCCCCCGGTAACGAGGTCAAAGGACTCGGTTTATTGCACAGTGGCTCAACGACTGCCGTTTTGACATTACGGTTGGGCCAATCATCTCAAAATCGAGACGTGCGTACAGTCCACATATTTCAAAATAATAATTATATTATCGTTAAGCGATAAAATTCGCCCTAAAAGCACCCGTAGTTGCGAGGATTGTTTGAAAAGTAACGATCATGTGCAGTTGAGAGTGTAAAGAGAATCGAAAAAAAAAAATACTAAAATCGTATTAACCAAGTAGTATATTATAATCAAAGAAAAAGAGATCAGTAAATGGGTGAATAAAGAAAAACAAAGCTGTATAGAGGGACTCTTTTAGAAACATAACGTATTATTGAATACAATTGATAATTATTAAAGTAGGCTGGACATGATTAACAAAGTCAAAATTTACTTTTATGCATCGTGGTAATATAAGAAAACTCGGAAAGGGATAGATCCCGTTCGAGATGGAGAGATGTGCATGAGTTAATGAAGTTATTGAAGAAATATGTGGAATTTTTTCAAATGTAAGACTAGTTTAAAGAAATTAAGAGTAAACTAACAGTGAGAATATTAGAGGATTGGGCGTGTAACGCCATGGTTCAAATGCTGACCGATAATTCCGAGAAGAAGAAGGAAGAACAAAAAATGTAGTATGGTATAGTATAAAATACCATTCATTTTTTACTATTTAATTCGATAAATTATCAACGATAACTTTAAATTATACTGGAACATAATAAATTTGTTGTTCTGTATCATTTTTTTGTTTTCTTAATTTTTACGACAGTGAGAGTGAAACCACAATGTTGTTATAGGTTAGGTATTATATTATTATAATGATGACCGGTCAAGTTAACGAGTAACAATTAGTGTTTAAAAAAAAAACTTACATCATTATTTTTAAATAATTAATATTCAGCGGGTAATAAATATTTTTAATATTATATTATTATGCTCTACCGTCGCGTGTTTGTATAGTTTCTCTAGAAAAATATCGTGCACAATTTTCTAAACGTTAGTTCAACGGTACGACTGACTGTATCTATACTGCACTATTAATACTTATATTGACTATTACTCTTCAGTGACAACATAATTATTTATATTTTATTATAAACGAGCGCGTGTATAGCATTATTTATTTGTGGCGTTATTTGTTCTGTACTTCGGTTAGGTATTTAAGAATATATATGTATATTTTCTGAAAAAAAAAATCAATTACACGACCTATCTCTACGCTGATTTGTTTAGGCATACGCCTATGGAAATAGCTACATGGAAATTCAAAATTTGATTGACAATAAGTCAATAATTCAATTATTTTTGTAGAATACTATACATATAGTTGTATAAATAAGGTATTAAAGAAAGAAAAAAATTGATTATTTTACGATAATCTATGCAGATTGCAGATGTTGTAGAAAAAACCTTATTTTCTATAAACGCAATAAAGAAACGTATATGGAGAAACTATAAGTGCTTACAGAAAATAAAAAAAGACATACTACAATTAAATGTTGAATTCATATTGATATCAATATTTCATTATATTCTATAATGTTAAAGCGTTCACTTGATATTATTTTTAATTATTTCCGTATTTTGCAGTTTAATTTGTTTGTAAAAAATTGTTCATTTAATATTTCCGTTGATGTGACAACAACAAGAAAAATAAAATTACGGAAATGTACGATATTAGGTATACAACTGTAATATGTATTATGTAGCTATCATACAATATAAAAACCAGAAAAAATTAAAACAGTAATTTTAACAAATACCTAATCATATCATTTGTATAGTTAGCAAATTTTCTTTTCTTCTTGGACAAAAAAATACGAAAACTTTGTATCAGGTGTTATCACTTACAACGATGATGATTATAATATTATCTACAAAATTACTTTCGCTTCCCGATATAATCCTGCTATCGATTCGAGCAAATTTCTTTTGTTTTTTAAAATTTGCCATCTATATTGACCTTGGATATTGTGTATATTTGTCGGTAAGTATATTATTAAATGCAATAACTTCTCGGTTGCGTACACAATCGAATGAAAAAAGGCTTAACCATTTGATATACTTTACGTAACTCGCATATTATCAAACAAATAAATAAAAACACGAGTATAATAGATGTATAAAATAAAATGATTTAAAATTTTATAGCGTAAAATCGTGAGTATTATTATTTGATAATTTAATATAGATTTGATATCAATAATAATGTTATTTTCTATAATCTACCTATGTAGATTGTATATGTATATTTTATACATATTACCTATGGTTAGATTTTCTATAATACTCTTGAGGTTTTACAGAATTAACCTAATTATAGTACATAGTATTTATATTTGTTTATTTGTTATGAAAAGTATTAAATTTGTATTTAAACAAAAGTTTACACAAGTGTTCGGTCGAGAAGATTATCGTACCAATAATTTCGCAAAAATTATAAGTGTTTATTATCAATATTCGTCTAATATTAATACATCGTCTAGTATTTTTTTTTTAAATTTAATTAAAAATTGTTGAACATGCTTTTATACCATATGAATAATATTGCTCTGTGCAATTCACTTTAGTTTAATTTTTTTTATTGATTCGCAGTTTTAGTACTCACCTAGCTTTTTCAGAACATGTATTATTTTAGGTAGTACACTAGGTAGGTAAAGAAATAATTGAACAAAACATGTTGCATAATTAATAATTGTTTAATATATTTGACGTAATATAGTTACGTAAGTTCAGTATAAGGGCTCTTACCCCTTACAAAGATGAAAAGAGAAGAAGTTCAGGAGATATATATGTATACAATTCTACTTGAATGCGAAATATCATTATGTTATTAATTAAATAGTCGGAATAGTGAATTCAAAATAGGTACCACCCGTTTATAGTTATTTAATTTAACCTGAAGTTTAATATAAAATAATACATAACTAAAAGGTATTCGATATAATATCATTGAAGTTACCGAGTATATTATTTTGTCGTTTAATTACAATGCATGATTGCATAATGTGGTGAACAAATATAGACATACAGTTATATATTCGAGTGAATTTTGGAAAACGTTGTTACTTAAAATTTAGATATTTTAGACTTGAAGTGTAATAAAGAAGTTATGTGTTTTACTAAGACGTGTTGCAAATTTCGCAAGTTACAAGTATTATACTTTATTTAAAACGTTTTCAATATAGATTTCCAAACAGATCCAAAAACCTGATAATACAAAATTATGATACGTGCGGTATTATTTCGGTCGATTTCTGATTTATCTTGTTAGCTGCTACATGTAAAGAAAAAACTTCACCTGTAGTATGCCGAGTTATACTCAAAATCGTTTTTGATTGCAATGTTTTATATCGTTGCTATTTGCTGTAAGTATATATATGAAATTACACGCAATAGCTCCCAAACTTTCCACCTTTTTTAACATTTAATGGTCTACCCATAGTGCGATGAAGGTATGTCCGGCTTTATTTTGTATTTTTTATTTCATCGAACAATCGAATTTAAAATCGGATCTTCGACGGTCAATATTATTATATTCGGTCTATCTGTATATCTATATAATAATAAGTGGGCGTGTTATCGTATAATTTATGTCAAAATAATATTATAGTTTCGGTTTCCTATACAGTGCTTTCACTTTTTTTCTTTTTTAATTAAACATCACGATATTATTATACGTATAAGTGAGTGCACGCGGGAAAAGTCAATGGAACAATATAATATTATATCGATGCTAATAATGATATTATTACACACGATGTACGTATAACATCATGTCATAATATAACGAGTTACTACGGAGAACAACGAGGTGGATATAAAAATCGTGCCAACGCGAAAAAAAAAACGACCGGAAGGAAACGACAATAATGGGAAGGAAGGCGTACCTATCTGACATTATATATTCATAGAGAATATTGTGTTATACCTTTAGACAAATTATCATAAGATTACTGTAAAAGTTTTGAGAGAAAAAAGATGTTATCACGTACTTACTATCGTATTGGTTTACCTAGGTCTGTTAGTTTGGAAATATTTCAATATTACTAGTTTAATATTATAAATATTATCATATAATCATTTGCAGACTGGGCTTGGTAAAATTATAGGTGGTCAAAAAAATAATTTTGAAAATACAAAGCATTATAATAATAATAATTTTTAAGTGGTTAAAAACAAAAAATTGAATATCAAATAAATATAATATGATCTAATCAAAGTGTTTCATTTAACCAATGAAAAGTTACATATTTGCATATAAATAACCTATAGAAACAATATCATATCTTATTAGAACCACCCAGCTAAGCTTTCCATCAGTACGTTGTATAATGAAGTATAATGATCCATGATTGGTGCCAAAGAGGACAAATTCATATTTTTCTCACTCCATTTATCTATCTAATAATCTATTTTTTCGAATTTTATTCATTACATTTCGTTATTATTCACTGCATTTTACTATATTTTTGATTAAAAATCAAATAAAACGAAATAATAAGCTACTATTCATTTTACGTGTTTTTTCACAGAAAATACTTTTTGGTTAGTAAAAATACACCGAAAATATTTTTAAAATTCGCTCAGAATAATTTGTTGACTACAGTGATTTCTGGTTGATTTCAGTTTTTAAACTATAAACTACTCCGTATCTAACATTGTAGCACACCTATACTAAGGGGCGTAGGTGTACATTTATTTTTGAGAAGTCTGTCTATCAATCATTTATGATATAAGTGAATTGGGAGTTGAACAAATAACTAAACTCTTGTAATAATTTTGAAACAGGGAATTCACCCCTCCCCCCCCACTGAAAGGTACACCCTTGAGGCAATACTATCCCATCTATACCAAATGGTCTATTCATTGGATGAAGTATATCCGGTACAATATCAAAACACAATATTGGTTTAATATATATATACTGCGCTACACTCGTCTGTCATAACTCTGAGGTCAATGTGATTTTTGTTTCACACATCATGTTTACACGTAGGTATTGTAGTATTATGATGTGTTCGTAATATTAATTAAACAAGATCTATTTAGCCGTGTGCACCGCTACTGTCAAAACGTTTGATTGATACGGTGTCAACAAATAAAACAACATCAATGTCACGGACGCCCTCGGGTGCAAGTAGGTTGTATAGTCATTATTATCATTATTATTATCATATGAGAGCACGATGATGTATATTATTATACTATAATATGGGTGCAATTTCGCGGTGTCTATTTTATATATATATATATATATATATATAACACCGGTGCGCACGAGTACGAACACAACGAACCCGAGGCGAACAATTTCCGTGACAAAAGATTTTTTTTTTTTTTTTACTAGATTCTTATTATAATATTGTCGAATACCTACCTAATACGTAGTCGAAAGAAAAACATACAAATGCACTATATACATAATAATTTTTTTTTTCTATTTACTTGCATTGTATTAATCTACGCGCACTACAGTGAAACATTCCACGCACACGTAAAAAATAACGCAGGTGTACCCCTAGATAATATAATAATGACACGAATATCTAATCTGTGTAATATTTTAGGTATATTAATTTCCAGAGAGATCGTAATCATAATATTGTGTACAAACCAATATTTTAATATTACTATGTAGCTATAAGAAAGAAGGTCAGTACATTATTCGTTCATTCCTCTCCCGTTCGTAATCTCTATAGAATTATTGTTACGTGTGACCAATTTTTATAAAAATCTTTTATACTGCTGATGGATGTGCTACTGTTTTAGGAGGAAATTGTGGAGAAATTATATATTATGTATCGTAACTTAAAAGTAGTACGTAGTACCCAACGATAAATAATTTTTAATAAAAAACAATTCTGTAGAGTATTATTACTTATTGGTCGTCTTTGTTTCCTTTATTACCAACGTAACCTAGAAATGAACAAAAATTGTGTGAAAAATTGTCAATTTTTTCCAATTATTAAGACACTAAAAGAAAACCGACCACCTTAGTGCACCAACTAGATCCAAAATGCTACAAGAAAATGTCTGTACAATTTTTGATTGGAGCAAGATTTCTCGTAAAAAAATTGTTAACAAATACAAAAAAAAAAAAAAAATAAATCATAGTAAAATCAATACTTTCCTCTTTTCTCTCAGAATCTAAAAATAAATAAATTAAAACGCCAATATTACAATATTATTTTTATTATTTTGATTATTTTTTTCCTTACAATTGCAATTCCACTGGTTTTATTATTATGAATATTCCATTAATACATTTTTTATTTGAAAATACTATACACAATCAATTCGATATTGCAGCAATCAACTGCACGTGCAGCGGTGTTTGGACTTTTGTGATGACATCGACCTTTTACAAAATATGATACTCGTTTTTTTTTTTTTATCTAAATTTAATACTCTGCGGTATTATTATGATCACCCAATTTACATTATAGTTTAACTGAATTGTATACTTCGTGAAATCTCTAAGGGGCAAAGTTAACTGCACCGGAGTTTTCGATCAACATTTTCGATTCAAAGCTAAATAAGTTAATAATCGTAAGCGATAATAATACGAATGCAATAATAATATTATACCACGTGTATTAACATCGTTGCAACTTTTATGGCAGTCATCTTAAAAATAAGAACATTTTTTTTTCTATCGTCAACTAAAAAAAAATCGATGATATTATATTATGCCCAGCAATTATAAAAGATAATGTAATATCGAGAAAATGCAGGTCTACATACGGTGCGCTTTTTTCTTTTTTTTACTAATCAGCTCTATATACATTAGAAAACCTGTTTATACTTTTTTTTTTTCTAAAGCAATATATAGTAAAGTTACTATTTACACATACTAATAAAACATCTTCATACCTATATAAAAATAAAAAACGTCATTTTACTAAGAATATTAGGTTAGGTGTACGTGATATATTTATTATTATTATTTATAATTTCTTGTACAGTACTCATAATACGTGCGTATATAATGTATAGGCAATGATTCTATAATTTTGTATTATTATGCAATTGTACATGTTTAAATAGACTGTAAATGTCAGTATTATTCGCATGTTTACGTATGTATAATGATACGAGGTGTGGCTATTAAACATCGAGACTGCTCGCCTAGAGGGCGCCCTAGATGGGTAGTGAAAAAAACGAGTAATGCGTTGGGTATCTAGATATCTTATCTATGCACGTACCAATACACGTTTTCGTCACTATTATAGTATTTGTGCAGTAGTGGTTTGAAACGAACCTGTTTTTTTCTCGTGCCGAAAACCATGTGTGACGAAAAACATGAGCAACGGATAAACGTAAAATTTTCTCGTTAAACTAAAAAAAACTCCAACTGAGTGCTATAAGTTGTTAAAAGAGGCCTATAGTGAGGATTTCCTATCTCGGGTGCGTGTTTTTGAGTGGCATAAATTATTTTCTGAAGGTTTCTTAAAAGGAATCCGGTTTGAGTCGATGGAAGAGGTGAAACAAAAATCGGTGGAACTCCAGAATGGTCTTACGAAAACAGACTTCCAGCACTGCCTCGAGCAATGGAAGAAACGAATGAAACGGTGTGTGGCGAGGGGAGGGGAGTATATTGAAGGGGAGAATTTGAATGTAGAATAACTTTTATAATAAAACACTTTTTCGTAACCAGTCTAGTTATTTAATAGCCACACCTCGTATACTAGAGAGCAGTGGTTAAAGGGGGCCGACGGTGTCCTCCTTATTCAAAGTAAAAATATCATTTCACTTAGGTTCCCCTTTAAAGTCCGAGGGTTTGGTTAGATTTATTTAGTTCTCGGGAACGCCCCTCAATTTCCGGTAAATATAGTCTCCTATCGAAGTTTCCCCACTTTAACCACTGCTAATAAGATAATGCGTGAATTTGTATTATTTCTATACTTTACTTTACTCGATTTTTTCTTTTCGACGTGTTTTTTCGAGTTAATAACAAAATAGTCGTTGAGTTTTCACCGAAAATAGAGAATATTGCATTGTATATTGTGCATGTTATTGCCTATAAATAAGTAGAGGTTATAGTAAATTATATATAGTTTTTATTATAAACAAACTAAATTTTTAAAACTGCCTTTTGTCTAACTTAAATGGCCGCTCTAAATGGCTTAAGTCATATAACGTTTACCTTTTTTGTCAAATATAAAGTTCATCTTAGTGAATTACGTTATTTTAATTTTCAGTATAATATATGTTACAACATACATACAATTATATAATTTAGACTAATACAATTAAGGATACAAAATTACATAAGTTAAAATGTATATTAAAAAAAAAGCTAAAAATTGACCGAAGCCTTTCTTCCATGGGACTAGAAGATATTTATGATACATATTTACCTTTTTATCTTACTAATTTTAGATACTTCTATAGCGACTGTCTCTGGAGTAAAAGAGTTCAAAATCAAGAATTGAAGTGATAAAAAGTTGTATTGAATTTCAATATGATCTGTGGAAAGAGGATGTTTTTGTTAGCTTTGGACATCCTTTACAGATCCTCACCCTCATATGAAGTTAATGAAACGAAATTTTGTGTCTGTGTATATATAACGATATAGTATATAGTATTACCTATATGATGTTTAAATAAAATATGTTTTGTGAAAATCAACATTCCCCGTAGTGGTATATTATGGATTAATCTAATACAATAATTCTTTTTTGTTCATGCGCTTTTAAACAGGAGAAAAAACGACGTATTATTTCAATGGTGTGGTGACGATGATTGCAGTCCATCAGCCTGTATAACTTATTATTTATCTAGTAAATATTATACTTACTATAATTACATATGTAACCCTCGTCTGAGGCCTATAATAAAAATGTGGTTGGTCGTTTTCGAATATATTTAACGTTAGAATATGTTAGTTTTTTCATTAATCGAACACCACTCAGGTTTTTATTTTGTTTTTTTTTTTTTACGGATAATATGTAATTTATTGTACGAGAGGCGTATTTTACCAAACGCTTTTCGGTTGATTTTTTTTCTCCGACACTAATGGCTCGTAAGAAATATTATACGAGTATTATTATGGGTATGTATTCTTTTGTTGACCTTTTATGCCGCGGCGGCGAAGACCCCAAAACGGTCGTAACACATTTTGTTTTTTTTTCAAATAATAAAAATAATAATGAACTCTATATCTATAATATAATGACCGAGAACAAACTCGTATCGTCGTCGTCGTCGTCATCGTCGTTGTCATGGCCCCTATAATACAAAACTAATCACAAGGTGCCTTGTTAACCGCAATCGACGCCGCCGACACCTATTATCATAATATATTTAATACCTATGTACAGATACCTACATTACCTATATTTTCATAATAACATATTATATCGAAAACGAGTATGGTACGTCCATATCCGACACCGATAGGTATAGACGGTTTAAACGCCGTAGCCGATAACCATAACCATGGTTAAGTCGCGCAATTAACGTTTTATTATTATTGTTATTATTATTATAAACCCGATTTTAGTCGACGAAGACGCGCGTCAGAAAACTGGTCTTGCAATCGCATTATTCTTTATAGTCTTTACCGCGTGTTTTTTTTTGGGGGGGGGAAGGAAGAGCGTGATCTTATAGTTAATTCATACAAAAATAAACTTTTTGAACAAAATTTTTTTAATAATATATTTCTAATATTATATTTTAGACGTGCATGATGTAAAATAATGTACGGGAAATTATATTATATAGTAAAAATTTCCTCTGTGTACAGAAGGGTTGGCGATCTTTTGTGGCAACCAAAGAGCGTAGCCAGAAAAACATTTCAGTAGCAAGGAGGGTTAATTTTACAATCCTTTAATAGTCTTTAAAAAGAAATTCAGTTTTCCACAAATGAACACTTAAAATGCAATTGTCGGTGACATTAAAACCTCTTCTCCCGTAACTACGCCACTGATGGTAAAAGGAATTTGTTAACTTTTAATCTGATCTATTGATAAATACAAATCTCCTATATTCTTTTATTATGTACATATTAGTAGCGAAGTTTTTCGTCTACCTATATAGAGACATATATAGAGTATATGTAGAGAGTCTAAATAATCAGAGAGTGGATAGAGGACCTATGTAGTCGTTTATTATTCACTACTCGCATGTCATGGTTTTTTTTTGTAATTTTTTATGGAGTTATTTTTCTCGTTACAAAATGTGTTGTATCTTCATACACATAGTATTTGAAATATTTTAAGGTCAGAATTTATTATATCTTGTAATGTTTTATATTTTCGTGTTTATATCGATATTATGATCCAGATAAGGAATTACGTGTTGTATAAACTTGTAGCGCTCACACGTTCTAAACAAAGTAATCAGTCGTTTTACATCGACCGTTCCGTTATATTGTGATAATAACAATATTATTATTAATGATTTTTATTTTTTATTTTTTTAAGATTTTTAGTACAGCTTTTTTTGTAGCTATTTTCACGTATATACAGAGTTCTAAAACATTCGAATATTGAACATTGAATACTCTAACAAGGACAGTAAAATAATATCTCAGTTTGAAATTTTAATACACTCTAAATCTACTGCATAATCTTAATTCATATATTTGTTACTTCACGTGGGTCGCATGATAAAAACTTGGAAAATGGAAAATATACTTAAAAACTGTTTGTGTTATCAAGAGAATCTCAAGTCCTTTTCCTCTGGTAAAAGAAACTGGGCCCCTTATACTTGAAGCCGCAGACAATGGCGCGGCATACTCGATATACCCCGTACGCACGCCTGTCAAGAAGTTGTATGATTTCTATGTTAATTTTTAGACAAATTGAATTATAAATTGCTAACAAAAATAATATATGAATTAAAAGTTGATCTTTTTTTTTTTGTTCTAGCTTAGGTATACTATTTCCAAATTCAATAACTTCTTCCTTGAAAATATCCTAAATACACCCTGATATGGCAATACATCAATATATAGTTATACGTTGCATTCCGTTTCTTTTCCATATAATATAATAGATCGCGGCTAGAAACACTCGGTACACATATACTTATTATATTTGTATTATAATAATAAAAGATAGTGTGTACGAGTGAAAAGAAAATGTGATAGGAATAGATGGAAAAAAAGACGTTCCAATGAAATAGACGACGGCGGATAACAATGTACTCGGTTAAAAATGGCCTTCGGTCCAAAAAACCGATCCAAGTCCGTATATTTTTATATACACGCGCGCGCGCGCGCGCCGTCGTCGTCGTCTTACGAGATGCCCTTTTATTATACAGTTATATTTTATTAATTTCGCGGGATGTTGCACGTCGAAGATGCGGGGCCTCCAGGCGCCACATCACATAATATTATCACTACATGCCAGAAAACTATTATTATTATATTATTTTTTGTACGGGTACACATAATTAGGGTATCGTCGATTCGTTGAACTCCAAAATCCATCGTCGTCTGAGCAGCAGTCCGCATAGCTGTCTATTGATTAGGTTCAACACCCCCGCCTTATTGTTAATGTGTATACAGTGTACACGTATATATTATTGTACTGCTATAATAATGATAATTACTAATTATAACAAGTATATATTGTGTATCATACGTATATATAATATATGTGATAAAAATATCGCAAATTTCGGTGATGCGTCACGCATACTTGCGCACACTTGTTGATATTGCGCGGAAAACGCCCGCGAGGATCCGTTTATTATTTCTTCCCGGGGAAAACTTACAGAGTGCCTCTCTAATTTACCGCTACGGGCGCATGACCAACGCGAGCGCTCGATGCCCTTGGACTTGGTTTATTTTTTTTATTTATTTACTTTATTATTAATTATGTATTAACGAGGGATTTTTACGACCTTGTTATAATATTATAATACTGTCTGTTGTATACGTTTTTTTTTCATCATATTGTTCGGTCTTTTTAATTTTTTCCTTTTTTGTAATTATCTTCACGACACGCGTCGAAATTCCTCGACGTCACAATACGGTATAGGTAATAGTTAGACTTGAATATAATATGCGGTTAGATGAACGTACTTTTTTTCCGATTCTAAGTGCAATGAAGAAACTTATTGTTTTACAATGGTGTTTATTTATTATTTTTTTTCTCAGGACAACTTTTATATCAGAAATTTTATTTTGATTTGCAATTTAAAACACTTTTTCTAAAAGAAAATCGAACTAGGGAGGTACTTTAAGGTCGTCGTTTTTTTGATTTTCTCAATAAATGGGAAAAACCGAGAAAAACGGTAAAACAGGTACAATATAAAACAAATATTATTAAAGAAAATATACTATGAATATCGCATACTATGTAATTATTTTACCATAATATGTCATATATATTGTTGACAAGGCAACACTATTAATCTAACTCTGCTCAGAATTTTTCGTTAGCAATGACTTAAAATATATATTTAATTTCCCCTGTATTATCTTTCCAACTTCTCACCTGTATCAATGGCTGCTCTTATTATCCTGGAACAGCTTTTTCAGTACATTCATTAGATTTTTTATGGAAGGAAGAGGGGTCTCAAACACTTTTCGGTTATTAAAATTACTACAACTTTTTCACGATTCTTTGCTCCGGTAGTACTATATTTGAAAAATGTTTTTAGATTTCCGACTGTTTTTATTCTAAATACAAAAACAAAACTTACAACAAACAATGATGACAATGCATCGATTTCGATTTTGTTAATTCCCTGGTTATCTTTTGGCTGCATAGGGAAAAAACACGACTAATACTATACCTACATAATCTATAACCTTATAGTAGTTTATCGGGCTCTTTTCAGAATCATTTTTTGATTTCCATTTATTATCGTCACTTTCAGTATATTATATAAACTACTGAATTAATTTATGTATCTAATATCTATATCCTGTATTTTATAACCTTTCCAATTTCCCACCTACAATAGTGGTATACCGTTGATGCAAACTATGTCCGGATTTATTTTAAAATTTTAATTATTTATAAATTATTCATAAAATAATAATAATAATATTAATGGGTAGATAATACTTCAACTTTTTTTCGAAATCGTAAATACGGCTTGTATGGTATGTCCTAACTTATTTTTCTTTCCGGTGAGTCGCAATCGTGATAACGATGTGTTGTGTTTTTTTCTCGCGCTCGTGTGAAAAGTATGCAATCGAAAAAAAAAAAACTAAAAACAAAACAAAATAACAGCTGAACCGACGATTTCCAAAGTAGCCGGAAACGCAATCGTTTAGGAATTTCGATTATACGTGTATACGTTATAGGTTAGGTTAGCTTTATAGCCGATATAGGTAATTTTTTTTTTGTAACATACACCTAAGGGATGTTTCAAAATCGCACCACTGAAACTCGGTCAACTAATAAATAAATATACACATGCATACCTAAATATCGTAATAATTATTTATAAACACACGTATATAAAATAATAATGTATAATAATATCGTATACAATGATCTACAGGTATATTATTATAATGTAACAATTTTGTATAATTGTGTGTGTACACTTTATACTCGCATTATTACTAGATTTACACGTGCAAAATCGCGTGCGTTAGCATATTATCACTCTGCAGATTGTGAGTAACAATACTTTCTGTGCATACATGCAAACATGCAGTAGCGACAATAATATGGACGCAATAAGTACGGAATATTATTCGTATTATTATAATTTTAATGTTGCTTATTAATTGCGCGACATGTGATGTCGTGATATGAACGGCGTGTAGTTGTGTGTGATACAGGGTGATCGATACATAATACGTAAGACACTTAGCATTATCTTGGAAAGTGTTAACTTTTTTTGAAATTTGCTTTCAAGATAATTTAACAAAGAACCAACCCTAAAATTATTATATTACGTAATCGTTATTTTTGTGCCTCCTTTTTTGTTTGGGGGTGAAACCACTATTATACCCTGCACAATTAATTTTCAATTAACAACCAATATTAAACATTTCCGTAAATTTAGATGAGATTTTATTTAGATTAAATATATTTTGGTGTTAGCCATTTTAATTTCCCTCTTTGAGCCGTCGGCAATATTACATTTTCACTTCGAAGTGCCGCCACACAAATTATGTATTTTTGATTTGAAAATCAAAAATACGGGAAGTGTGGTGAAACCTTTCAACCCAACTAAAGAGGTTTCTAAAAAAACAAAATTCAAAAAAAAGATACTCTTTTCGAGATTTTTTTTTTAAATGCATAATTTTGGATAAAAATAAAAAATGAATATAATTATATTTATTCTATACAGAACGTCATACCGTATCTGTGTAAATACCTAATACCTGATGATAATAATTTATTGATAAACATTATGTTTTTCATTTTTCTCCATAAGAATATTAGCTTGTTTTTTTTTTTACTTATTATACGACTAATACTATTTTATAGAACAGAACTTAAAAAAAAACTTAAAAAACCCGTGGTTATAATAATATTATTGGAGTCGATTCTAAAGTACAACATCCTATATCCTGTAGATTTATTTGTATGATATATGATATATGATATTATTTTACTATGATATAGCGCACTGCATTTTTGAAAGCAAACCTGAACACTCACGAGCCCTCCCCTCTCCTCCCCATCCATAGATAGTAGTATTATTATTAGAGAAAGTACTGTGAAATAAAAAGAAATTAACGAAAAGTTTATCCCTTTTACGAATATCCACTGCACAATATAAATAAATATAAAAATATAGGTAATTTCGGTTATTATAGCTTATCAGACACTATTAGTTTTAGATTCGGAGCGTGGCGAGGGATCTATTGGTTTTACCATGTGTTTTTTTTTTTTTTGTCAATTTTTTTTTGTTGTTTGTTATATATGATTGTAATGGTAAAAATATAAAGATAAACTTTATTTGTTAGTTTTTTTATACACGTTTTAAGTTTAAATGTTGACGTTAATCATAAAAATTACTGCATTTCATAACATGTAAACCTTTCACCGAACTTCGCTCAAATTCATTTTTCGTTAGGCTCGATGACTTATCGTTGCGTAAAGATGTAAATTAAATTACCTTTTCAACTTCCCACCTTTACTTTTCATGTAGTTTATGTTATTTTATAAATTGTAATACTTCAAACGCAGTGGAAATATTTTCCATCCTATCGGATCGATTTCAAAAATAAATAAAATGTCAGCACCAGATTACCCCTCGTGGCTGTATTATATATTATGAAAGAATGTATGTGACATTAAAATATTTTTTTTTTTAAAATCGATAAAACTGACCAGAGCTTATAATGTACAAAATTATGAAACTGAAATATTTTATTATTTGTATTATTTCTGTAAATTTTAAGCATATTATATACCTATACTTTAATACTAATTTTACACACATCCGAAAGTTTTGTCTCGCATTTAGGTGAGACATATTACACTTATTAAACAAATTTAAGTCCAATAAAATGTGTACCTGTAATTTCTAATAATTTTATTTAAAAACGCTACAGATTTCAGTAAACCTAATATAAAACTTTAAAAATGATATATTGTATCGAATGTAACTTTTTGTGTATTTTACTTACGAAACAAAGATGTTTTAGTTTAATGCGAAACTTAAATGTTGAAACAAATTATTATTTCCGTTATTAAGTAATTTTGGAAGGGATTCTTAAATTGTAATTCACTTTTCAAGTCTTTAAATAATAGCAGCCAGAGATTACAATCTAACCTAATTTTAATGAAAGTTTTTGTTGATATCAAAAATCATAAGTTGATATTACGTGAAGTATTTCGATGATATAGATAAATTATATTTTTCAATTTTTCATACATAAAATAGTTAATACTACTACAACTAGTTTTTTTTTACAACCATAATTTTTGGGTTCAAATTTCTGCAATATAATGTTACGGTTCGATGAGATAATCAGCTATAGATGGTATGTAAATATGGTAGTATACACATAGCAGTATTATTATTATATAGAGGTACCTAATAATATTGACGAATTTTCGAAATGTGTCATTTTCTTTAGTTTTTTTTTTTTTTATACCTAAGTAAATGTATTTACTTATTATTAATATATTTGTCATTAAATCTCACGAAGTTTGTTCAAGAAAAAGTGTAATACATTTACATTTATCGTAAGATTTTTTTTTTTTTAGAATTTTAAGATCGAATATCTCAAACGATGTCTTCTACAAAATAATATAATAGACAAGTAGCGAAGACGATATAGTAGTCGTAGTGTTTTTATGACAGTCGCGTGTCATCTTATTCTAAAATGCACTTCTACAATAATAATAATATTATACCTGACGGCGCTAAAAAAAAAAGATTATAAAACGCGCGAAAAAAGTTATAGAAAAAAAAATTTGAAAAAGCAAAAGTGAAAATAATATAATACGACAATATTATATTATTTTATTATTACCGGTTTGACGGCAGTAGGTAAAGTAATATTTACGGCGTGAGGTTAAAAAAATAAAATCACGTTTTTCAATAATCCCGACAAGGTCGATAATATTATTATTATATTACAATTTTCTTATATAGTCGCGTGAGTAATACGGTTGTACTTACAAGTTTTAAATAATATAATATCGAGTTTAAATTGAGTAAAATAATTATGTAATTATTCACTCTGTTCGAAATGATAACAACGGATCAGAAACAAAATATCGAACAAGTTTATTCAATGGTTAAAGAAGGAAAAACTTCGAAGGAGGACTATATTTACCAAAAATTGATGAGTGGTCCCGAGAACTAACTAAACCTAACCAAACTTTCAGTTAACTTTTAGTCATCATGACTTCCAAAATGTTTTCATTCACGCACATTTGTTCATAAAAATATTATATTAATATAATTTAAAAATTACTTGTATCCCTTCAAATATTATCTTATTCGTATGCCTGCTCAGTAAAAATAAAATTAAACATGATAATGTACAATTGAATTTAATGGATATTAAAAATGAATTAAAATTTTTAAAATTGCATTATAAATATCTCAATCTGCCCGCTGAACTTTTTTGAATTGTTAATTGAATTTATCTCAGCCATAACTGTTTGTGATACCACTAGTTATTATGAAAAATTTTCCCAGTTATTTTTGAACCGGTTTCTACTATAGGCAACTGACAGAGATAATAATAATGATTGTACTTAGTAATTTCGTCTGAGGTTCAGAGGGTTTTCCAATAATTGATAAGAAAAAAAAATAATTAACACCAAAACACCGGAAAAATTTATCTAATTAAATTTATTGAATTTTAATTTTTATTTGTATGACGTACAGACATCTTTTTTGAACATGAAATAACTATTTCTTTAAGAATTTCTTAGAAATCTCGTTAGTTGGGTAAAAATAAAATATTTTTTTTTTTTATATTTAAGATAATTTAACGGAGACATTTTTATGTGGAACCTTTTGTATTATAGAATATAGGAAATTAAAAAAAAATAAATATTTGTACTATATTATGCACTATGATGATTTGTTTTTAATGTTGTAACATTAATGTAACACAAATATGATTTGAAGAGAGGGATTCTAAATTCTAAAAGATGAAGAATATCTGAATATTGTGTATATTAATATTAATTTATTTTTATTTTGCCTCCTACCCATTGTCAAGATCTGGAGACTCCCTTGCCATCATTTTCTATACAATAAAGTCTTTATAAAATTATAGTCTTTACATGTGCGTTTGAGAATCCGGTTCCAGATTGTCCCTCCCCTGAAAATGACCTTATAGGCAGTGCCAGAACTAGAAAAGGACAGAAGGGACATAAGTCCAGGGCCCCATGATCGTTTTGGTTTTAATGAGCCCTACGGTACATTATTATATAGATAAACAATCACTAGGTATACTAAACAACTAAAGCATTGTCCAGGGCATAGGTGGATCTACGTGGTATGCCGGGTGTGCCGTGGCACACCATAATGTAAAAATAAAAATAAAGAATAACAAATAATAATAAACATTATGTTTTTCGTTTTTTTTTGCAGTTTTTTTTCCGTCTTTCGCATTTTTTGTGAATAAACCGAAGAAAATCGAAAAATTTGATCTTTAAAGTACCTCCTCTAAAAATTTCTTTTTAGAAAAACTATCATTTTAAATTAGAGCAAAAATACTGGTAGAAAAGTTGTCTACAAAAAAACAAAAAAAAACATCTTAGTAAAACCATAAGCTTCTTCGCTCCACTCAGAATCTAAAATAACTACCTACATAGAAGGCTGGGTATACTTAAATGTAAAACTCTAGGTCCGCCTATAGTCCAGGGGCCCACAAAACTTAACGCCACCACTGCTTATAGGCATTTATGATTGCAAAGTACTATCAATACAGATAGTATAATAATAATAATAATAATAATTTGACGTATTTCAAAAAAATAATTACTTTAATTACATTTTATGATTATGATATATTTTATTAAATTTGTCTGAATTTTACTATATTACAGTCTTTTACGTGAATTGGCGTAGTGAGGCTATAAAGCTGTAATCCCTCCCTCAACATTTTGTGCCTATGGTTATAATATTATTATTAGGTACCTATTTAGATGGATTTTGATTTTTCAATTTGTTCCGCGCGGTCTGTCACACAACAATCGCTCATGTGTGCATTGATGTGTCACTATTGTTGTGGTGACAATAGGCTATACTGATTAAAATAAACAAACAAAACCAACAGAATCTAATACGAGTTAAAAAAAACATTACACGTGCATCTTGTTTCATTTTCATTAACTTAATCCAACACTGCCGTCGTCGGAGATATACTGCATACGGCATTTTTCACTCAAGTTTTTTCTATGTCTGTGGTATTTTAGATACTAAGAAGAGCAAAGAAGCTTATGGTTTTACAAAGATGTTTATTTTTTTTTCTTAAGAGTTTTCTCATAAAATGCGAAAAACCGAAAAAAAACTGAGAAAAAACGGGAAAATGTATGTATGTATTTAATATGACGATTTTATTTTTCTGTGGACAACTTTTAATGATAGCAATTTTTCTAAAAGGAAATTTCATTGTGGAGGTACTTTAGAGTACCTCCATAATTTTCTCTGGAGTTTTCTCAGTAAATGTGAAAACTGGGAAAAAACCTAGAAAAGCTGAGAAAAACGTAGGAAAACCGGGGAAATCGGAACAACATTAAACAAATATTATTAAAGAAAATATGTATAGCCTATTTAATTATTTTACTATAATATGGCATATTATGTTAACAAAGCATCACAATCATCTGAATTTCGATCAGAATCGTTTTTTCATAAGCAATGGTTCATCGTTGCTTACAGATATACATTAAATTCCCGTCTGTATCCTACCTTACCAACTTCCCACCTACACCAGTGACTGCACCCGTCTCCAGTATCTTACCTTTCTTTTTATTACCATTATTATTGTGTTTATATATCAATTTGCCTATATATACTCTTTTATTATCATAGTTACTTCTCACATTTATATTATTATTATTGCTATAATTAAGAAGATGTGATAACCCGCATGTACTGTCTCGATCTTACAAACGTACTACATAGCAACTTTGAGTTCAGCAGGGATAACCTTGAGCTGTTAGCATTAATATTAGAGTGATTTTACCTGTTGACCTATAATTACACTTTATAGATAATAATTGTCTGCAATATCTGTGCACCATTGACGCTATTTTTCTGATATTTTAATTTTCAAACGATATATATGCATTATTAAATTACGATATTTTACATACTTTTTCTTTTAAAGCTCAAAATTATCCCTTCTGAATGCAAATTTGCTACGTTGCTATGATGTATACGTTTACGACTTAGCAGAGACGATGCACTCGGGTACCACGCCCTTTTAACTCTATTTATATTGTTACGTCTCGGGCAGATTTGGACACGTTAAGAGGACGTGCTATCTACTATATTTAAGGAGTTGTGTATATAGGTTATAATGAAAAATGAAATTTTATCAATGCAAAAAAATTTAAACACTCTTACAGAAGGTACCGTGTAATAAGTATTTATTGTGTTATCACAAAATTATTACGATAAAAGCCGTTTCGTGCGGGCAATAACTATTCGGCCTATAGGTACTTAGTCAAAAAACTTAGTTAAGAAAGATCACCATAAACATAAAATAATATTGCACTGTTCAACGTTGATTTTAGTTTTTTGATATTAACTATTAAGAAATAAACTATTATTAGAGTTTGAAAACTTAAAATTATCAGATTTTTAAACAATAATAACTTTATTTACATTTGTAACATCGAAAAATAAAACAATCGTTTCACGATGCAAGTTTTCTTTTTTCTATGGTGAAAATTAAATTGTTTAGATAAAGTCTATAGCCCGAGTTTTTTTTTCCCGTGAAAACATTTTTTACAATAGAATTACGGGTGGTAGCACACCCTCATAAGATATAGTAGGATGCTGACGATAAGTTTATGCAGTATTATTATTTTATATAATATATTTTTGTGGGCGTCTTATACCTTCCGTGGTGTGTATTTAGGTTAGGTTGGGTTATGTTAGGTGACAATGAATTTACGGACGAAATCCCTTTGGACTTTATACGATAATATGATTTAAATATTATATTTACCGCAGGTTAAAGAAGATACTATACTTTTCGAATAAAATTACGTAGGTAACAATTGAATGGTTTTGTACAATAACTATTAGACAGATGAACTTTTTTGTGGCGAAATTCATGTTTTGATTATTTCTGACAGAAACAAATATTCTCGTATTTTCTATGCGACAATGAAACAAATCAGATTATCCAAAATATGTGGAGTTATAAGAACGCGATTAAACAAAATAATAAAACAGAATAGATTATTCTTATCAGAAAACAAAACAATTCATCGTATTTTTAATGAATTTCTGGTCAAAAACAAGACAAATCCAAACATTTTGGGTTAAAAAATAGTTTTAATCTTGAAGAAATAGTAATAAATGACTCCAGTTGAACTGAACCTTTTTTTCATCCTGGTAGCTAAAATAATTGTATTATAATTTCACTGAATGGGCTGAATTCATCAGATTTATTACCCAATTACCCTATCGAAAATTCTAACATCCTTTTGTTTATTGTATACGAGAGTAGTAGATTGTACAGTAGATAGTAAAATTGTCAAATAAAAAATATGTAAATAAGTAAATTATTATGAACACAATAATATTCACATAATATGTTTGATTTTTTTTGAAAAGGTTAGAAAAATAAAGCTGTTCTATCATTACTCAAAACCATTCAATTATTGTAAAATAATACATCAATTGAAAAACTTGAATGATTATGTTATAAATATATTTTACGATTTTAAGGTTATTTGAGGTGACGTTTTCATTGCGACGACGATTATATAATTAAAATAGTGTGACGCGCGGAATTATAAATCGTTTCCGGTAATTTCTTTTACTGCGATATTCAAACATCCGAGAATTCGAAAATATTGACAGAGTAATCAGAATTGTATACAACAGAAATTATATATATTATTAGCTTCATTACAAACTAGGAAAAAAGTTTGATGTATTGAATACAATTTGGCTTTTTTTCGGATTTTAAATTCTCAAAGTCGCATTAGGTAGGTATACACAGAAAAATATGCGATTTATTCATGAATCATGACTTATATTCCATTTTTGATAGCATCCATTTTCATTTAAAATTCCTTAGCACGCCACTGGTCGTATAGGTGTACCAGGTACCTAACGAAAACCATTCGAAATATCATCAAAGTGAATTATTATTATATTGTACAATTTTTGTATGCACATTTTCCAGGCATATATCGGGAATACGTTCTTTGAGAGTTTATAAAGGTGTATGTGAGTGCACGTTATTGAAATACAAAATCGTAAGAAAAAAAGGCACAGTTCGCATTACAATATTATGTATTATGACAAACGATGAAATACTATACCGCCATATTATAATACAATACGTAATAAACGATTACATTTATGTCCGCATATTATAATAATATACCTATACTGCGTAAAATATACAAGTTACTTGTATACTTACATTACGTTCATAAATAGTGTTCCTATAGCGCTTTCGTTTCACTGTTATTATTACAACGCCATGTCAATTCGCAAACCTCCTTCCCCCCACCCCAATGGTATTTTAAAAAGCATATAGTTGTATATAATGTATTTTAGAACTTGATGTCATATAATATTAATAAGTATACTGATTAATTTAACGACGTAGTTTTTAATTACAAATATAACTTTTTAGGCTATTTTAAACAATATTTTCAATCGTTTTTTTTTTTTTTGCTATTTCCAGACCACTTGTTTGTTCGATCACATACGATGGGGTGACGCGTTCGTGATAGTCTACAGCGTGGTCGACTGGTCGAGCTTCATCGAAGCCCAAGACCTGCTGGACAAGCTGAGCAAACTTAAGTTGCCGTCGTATTTCGCCACGCTGTTGTTGGGCAATAAGAGAGATTTGGACCATTCCAGGTAAAAACAACAAAAAACCGCCATAGCGTACACACTCGTGTATATAGTTACACGTGCAGTTGTATAATTATAGTATTATTGGTAGGTATATTATTTTAGTAACTCGCCCAACTGGCGGGACGTTGGGAAAAAAATACAAAAATAATTATGTATATATACCTGCAGTAAAATAGGGTTTAAGACGATACCTAAATATAATATTATATTATATAGACGTACGTGTGTATACGAAGAACTGTCTTCCGTGTGTCGTCGTAATTGCGTACAAAACACGACACGTGAGATACTGTATATAAATAATAAAAATTACTACATACACACGTAGGAAGAAAAACAAAATCGCCAGAATTCGGGTCGTGTACGGGGGAAGGATCTTTCCGAACACACACACATGCGATATAGACATTATACGCACTGTCGGACGATACGTTGTCTTCTAGTGTGTTTCATCATAATAATAATAATAGTATTCTTTTCATTTTTTTTTCACCAACCCTACTGCAACGAGTTATAACTACTGCGCTCTGTTGTTATTTTATTATTATTAGCCGAGTCCCCGACGTCACACTTCCTTCCTTCCGAACCCCCCCATTCCCTGCTCCTGCGAGACACGTGTTTCCGACTATAGGTATTTATATTATAATATCCGAAATTATACAAATCGCCGAGATTTACCATAGATAAAACAACTGGATAGCTGACTGCATATGATATTATAAAGTCACGTACGTTACACTGACTAACTCCTTTTTTGAATTCTTGGTTTCCAATACCGCCGGCATTTTGTTTGTCATTTGTTTGGACTGCCTATACGATCGTTATAACCAAATTAACGACTCGTCATCATTAATTTTAAGTCGTGCATTATAGGTATACTATTACAAGAATAAAAAAAACACCTTATAACCCAATTTATATTTAAATTTATTGAATTTGTGTATTTTTCGGTTGATAAACACGGTAGAAGCTCGTATTTAAAAAAAAAAAAAATCCCATAAATCTATTCAATAAAACGTTAGATAAAACTATAAAAGCCTCCATAGAAATCGCTTCACGTTTTAATAATAAAAATTAGTAAAGATAATTAGTTTATAACAGATTTTTTTTATAAATAAAATCCAATATTAATTTTTAATAATGGATAAATTATATATTAAGTTTAAAAAATAAATATTAATATTTTTATAATTAGGTATAATTACTGAACAGTGTTCGGTTCAGTATGAAATATTTAATTTCCAGTCTAAATTAAATATACACAATCACCGCAAAAAGTGAAATGTCTAACTATAGATAGATACTTTAAATATATATTTAAAATTACTTATCTTTTTGGCTTTCATCAGTACAAATTATAATTTGCACCGATTAATTATTCACTTTTTGAATTTCAGTATAGACCAAATATTTCAACATTTTTTTTTTAAATCTATACTTAAAATTGAAAAAATGCTGCAAGTTTCATATTACGTTTATGACCGAATGTTTTCAATTTGACAATAAACAGAATGACAGAATGTTAACCCATTCATGCACAGCATTTCGGCTATAACAATCGAATAAAACCTCTGAAAAAATCAAAAAATGTATCTAATAGTGATAAATAATAATAATTATAAGTGCATAGTTTTTTATCAGCTACTTTTCAAGTAATAACGCGGTGTTAATGCATTGTTCGTTTCGTCGTTACCGCTTCCTATATTATCATCTCGCTGTACCGATAGGTTTTTATTACACTGTCTTCGTATCGCTGTTTTTATAATAATATAAAGAATGATATCTATTTTTAAAAATGTCTCCTGGTAGAAAAAAAATCTAAACATAATTCGAAAATACAATTATTATCTATAATATTAATAAAATATTATTTCTTGTTATTTTTGTACGACTATAGGTATAATAACTAATATGGTGTTTCTTAATATTCTCCTCTATACTGTCGTGCATATGTATAATATTATATTAGAAACAATTTTAAACAAACATTGTGTTTAAAAACTCTCCCGTTTCTCGTGTACTCTAAACAGTAAACTCTTAAATTTCTAATATACCCGCGGAGTAGTCAGCAATATGACAAACACTCAGTGAAAAGCAAACATCACGGTTTTCGTGAATATTCTTTTCTTTTGTTGTTTACATTCGAGGTTCAAAATATGCCTATAAATACGTCAACATTTTCACTTAATAGTTACGTAGTCCATAGACGTGTTTAGACTTTCGTGGCTGGAGGGACGAGCACCAATATTTTCCAAGGATCCCCACTAGACAAGTGAAAACTCATGGCACATCTTATTAATTTAAAAATGGATTATTACCAAATTATTGTCCCCTTGAACCAATATCACTTCATATCTTAGACCTTAGTCTGACTTAATAATTGATATTTTAAATTAGATATTAACATTTTTAAAAATACTGAGCAGATAATTTTGCAGGATGGGACAACTACGTACCCTGCTTCTCGCGAACACACTTATGGTACCTATTTATAAAAACAATAAAAAATTAGAAACATGTAAAAGGCAGTTTGTAAGCATACTGAATCGCTGCACGTCTCTTCCGACGATTCATATCATATTTTACCCGTTTTTTTTTTTGTTAAATATGTTAAAATGATAATATTTTAATGGTTTAAACATAAATAGTTATAAAATTCGATGGTTAAATCATTAATTGCATTTAGACGCACATTCTATCACTTTTACTTGTCACGTGTTAAAAACTGCGGATTTTCTATAATATAGTTTGTCTTATAATTTTTCTATTCTTTTTACACGCTGCATTTTCAATACAAAATATGGAACGGCATATTCCAAAATTCCTGGGAAATCATCCCCGTCTAAAATGATACTGAAGTTACACTTATTAGTAATTACACTATTGTGTGCCTGAAGAGAATACTAGTTTCTAGAATGTTGATATGTGATTAAAGTTTTTGTAAATAATCTTTGATTGAATTATATTATCAACATATACTTGATTGTCCGTATTAATAGGTCATATTCCAGCGATATCGAGTGCATATACCTTTGGCTGTTTGGAAATATTCAGTAACCAGGACTGGGAATTTCCAGAGTTGGACTGAACTCATCTGTTCTCTCATTTGGATTTCAAAAATTAGTTTTATTTTTTTAGTGATATTAACGTATACCTGTTTATCCATAGGCGTAATCTTGGAGGGGCAAGAGGAGCAACTACAGCCTGACTCCCTCCTCGAGATTTTCCCCCAGATTATGTCTACACGACACACGATATCGCTTGAATACCGCCTTTATTATGCACATTTCTATGTGCTAAAACGATGACTACTTATAAGTTATAACTTATAACCATTGTGATAACATATATAATTGAATTCTCTTCGGGTACACTTGCATACAATATTAATATAGCGTGGTCCATCCAATCTTTTTATTCTGTATCTATATGTATGTGGTTTTAAACCGATTTGCTCTGTGCTCGCGGTAGTTTTCGATAGTTTAGTGCAACAGACGACGGTTTTTTTTTCAGAGTCGTTAACTGTAAAAAGTCGGCCGGATCAACAGGTAATTTAAATTAAGTGTTTGATTAAACAACGGAGGGGTGGTTAACCGAACGCCTACGGCTGTGACGGTTATTTGCAAACAGAAGTGGATTTCTATAATTTCATATACTTCGCCGCCCACATTGTGTTAATATGTGAGAATGAATATTTTATGATATTTTCGAACGCTGCGGGTATCGAAACTTAAACAGTATCCCGTTTAATTAATTACTCGTATAAAGTTTATATAATAATACGTACTAACCCAATTACCTCTAAATCCGACATTCCAACAGATATTATAATATTATACGTCACTCTCGCGGTGAGATTATTAAAAGGAATCGTTTTTTTTCCTACGATATAAGACACATTTAATATTTTACAACGCTTGGGAGGAACTCAAAGAAACTCGTTCTTTTGATTTCGTTTCCCTTTCACGAATTTATCGGAATCGAATCTGCAGTGAAGAATTGTATTATGGATTTTCGTCTATTTTTTGGAAGAACATAAGACTATTTTTTTTTCTTAGATAACCTACATAATTAAAATAACTTTTAATAGTATATTTTTGTACATTTATTTTATTTTTTAGAATTTTATTTCCAACTATTTTTTTAATTTGTCTATAGATATTTACAGATTTGTCGTCTATAGATATTTTATGTATCAGATTTATTAACTTGTATCTTAATCAATATTTTTTTTAAAATGTATTAATATAATATATAAGTTTGTCCCCTATGAGGGATGTCTGTATGTTAGGTGTTTATGGAATCAATAATTTATTGAAATTTAATAAAAACAATATGTATACCACTATATATAAGATGGTAAGGATTGTTATAACAATTTTCTCCTATAAAAATACAAAGTGGAGAAAAATTTATGTTGCCAAACAAAAGTTGTCCGATTTATATTCATCTAAAATAGTATATATATTTATTTTTATTGTCTTTTTTTTGGGAGTAAACTTTTAAAATTCAAATAGGAACATAGATTCAAAATTCCATAAATAAATGCAGTATTAATTTAAATACATTTTGGTGTTGACATTTTTCATTTCTGTCAATCCGTTGACGAGATATTCCATTTTTTAGTTTGGGCAGGGGAGAGTAGTAGCACTCTGTGTGCTTATATGATGGATGGCATGGCATGGCTGCGGCGCGTGACGTTCAAATAGTGCCCCCCACCCCACAAAAAAAAAAAAGATAGTAAACAAATAAAAATATTCAAATTATTTTAAATGTTTATAAATCGACAAACGTTTGTATTATACATTTTTCTCTATTTTGTATATTTAAATAAAAACAATTGGTGTAATATGAAATTTTGATCACTGTACATTAAGCATACAAATTAATGATTTTTATTTGAGGAACGACAAATGTTCCTTTATTAAAAACGAAGAAAGTAACTTAGTTCCTTTCTCAAATTCTGGAACGAGCCTAGATTTAGTTCCATTTTAACATGGCTAACTAATTCTTTTTAAAAGACATTTTCCAAACAGCGGAATTATTTCAACGGGAATTGCGTGAGAAAAATAAACCATAATACATAGACATTAATACCTATGTAGAATAGGTATATACGGAAGGACTCAAAAATAGAACGATCCTCGGCGTGCTGCTGCTGCACCCTTCACGACCGTCGACGTGTCTGACTGTCAAAGTCGATCGCGGCGGTCGCAGTCATCCGCACATAGAAAGATGAATCTAAAATTAATGTGCCGAAATTTGTTTAAGATTATGAAACATTATATCGTATATTAATTCGTAAATAACTATATACTATACGACCGTCCGACGTTTGCCCGCGATGTCAACGACCCGTGAAGATTTTTCCCGACTGTCCGAAGTATATTTTTATTGTGTACTAAAAATTATTATAGACGGTATTATTACAGTTTAAACTCGCCAACTCGCGTACGAGTAGGTACTTATAAACATGATTTTTTTTTTTAGCATTATTGCAATAATAGTAATATCGCGGTAAAAGTATAACACAATATTTCGAACGTAAGTTTATGGAGTTGGTAAAAACATATTACATAAAAACTTATAATATACATATCATTGTATATTATATAGATTCATCATATAATATAAATACAAGTTGATGTAGTATTGGTTAATAATCGGGATGAGGTGTGAAAATTGCATACTCCCGTTCGAAACAGGCTCAGTTTTGATTAAAGTTTTTCATTCGGGATTCGTTCAAATTAGTGTACCTGACGTTCGTATTTTTGTTTTAAAATCACTATCGGCCTCGAAAGATCGTTTTCGATCGCCTATGTGAAAAAGAAAACGAAAACAATATCTTTCAACAATCTCATCATACTGCAGCAGACGTCATAGTATTTGTTGTGCACATATTATCTTATTTTCTGTAAGGGTAGGTACAGACTATTAGAGACTGGAAATAACTCCGGAATATTAGTTTTCGTATAAAAAAAAAAAAAACCATTTCGCGTCTTTGGTTTCCGTATTAAGATTGATAAATCACGTTTTTTTATCCCGCCCGTGTCGTGGTGAAAATTTTAAGGGAGCATATTTCACGCCGATGACAAATTATTGTACCTTGGTATATTATGTATTGTGTATCAGTAACGTGCTCAGAGCGGATGATATATGAGATCACGTCCCTTCAGATAAGGGAAATTGATATTGTTTAGCCAATAAATTGTAATCGTTTTAAATGCGCTTTAAATAAACGTGTCTTCGGCGAGATTAAATATAATTATATAAGTTAATTATTGCATTATTTGATACTTAAAAAATAAAAAAAAAAATTAAATAGTGTTGATTAACGACCGATAATTTTTCGTTACCGATTTGGTGTCTGAGTTTCTTTGTAAGTATAGTATACGAGTATAATAGGTATTTTATCTTAAGAGGACACCACACCGACATCTACTGTCTCGGTCTTACCAACGCAAGGTAGAGACATGAGTATGTTAAATATTACAATTTAAAAATGATTATATCTTGGTTCAAAATTAAAATATCGAAAAATCATCAATGTTGGGGCTTCTAATCTTTAATTTTGGTAATACGTCAATTTGCTTTAATATTAAAATTAACGACTCAAGATGTGTCCTACTGAACGCAAATTTACTATGTCTCGCGTTTGTAAGACGGAGACAGTAGATGTCGGTGTGGCGTATTCTTAATAGGCGTGTTTTCACGATTAACCTGGCTATATTCATTATCATTCGTGTTTAAACAATATTGGTTATTGGTTAAAGACCCGCCAAAACGATTTGTTTGAGGTTATTACACAGTAATTAGAAATGGTAGAAAATATAATCTATTATAGACAAGATGAAATTTACGAACGTTCCACTTTCAGACAGCATTATAATTTAATACAACTTTACAAAATTTTCAAATATAATTGTCAACTATATAAAAATTGACTATAAAAAAAACTACGATTTGACTTCCATCCCACTACCACGTTATCACATTTCCTACATTAATAACCAAATAACATAACCGTTCATTTCGTTTGGTTATGATTTTTCAGTAACCTATATCTAAAATGTACAACCAAAATCGCCGAAACGACTTGTTTACAAAATCTAGTAACCGGATTACATTTGGTTATTCGCGAAAACACGCCTAATAAATAAACTCAAATTATCGAAACATTATATTTATTATCGTTCGACTATAGGTACCGAAATTAGACAATTTTCGACTCGGTGGTTTCATTATTACGCTCCGTTTGCCTCCGTTTTGGGTTAGGTATACATACATGACAATATTTCTATTTTTAAAACGGCTCTCTCGAACGCCACGGTGCATGCGCAGTGTCTACACTTATTGCTGTCGTATCGTATAGAATAAAATACGCCGGACGACGATAAACGACCGGCGAGCTGTTGCCGAACTTTTTGTTGTTGTTGTTGATGTGCTGCCGCGTAGTCGTATCTACCCTGGCACGCGATTATGCCCAGTCCGCGAATTTTCAATGAAAACCTATGTTGGTTAAACTAATGTTTAGCGACCGATTCGTATAACTAATATGAATTATTTATACAAATACCACAACATTTTGTAAGTTATCGATATGTTTTTATTGAAACCGAGGGTTCGAGGACTAAGGGGGGGGGGAGGGAGCGGGCGGGCTTGTGTTGTCCCACCCTATTTGCTTTGCTTACTCATGACGTGTTCAATATGTGTACCTGTGCTTACCGTTTTCTACCCATTACAACATCGAAACAAATAACTAAAATGATCGTATTTTTGTTGTACCGTGCGCAGGTGCGTGGCCGTGGACGCGGGACAAGAGCTGTCGCTTCGGTTCGGCTGCCAGTTCTACGAGGTGAGCGCCGCCGAGAACTTTGCCGGCGTGTCGCTGGCGTTCCACTCGCTGTTGCGCGAGACCCGGGCGGTGCAGCTGCTCCGCGGGCTGCCCATCAGGCGCAAGCTGGGCGTCAACAGCGTGTCCAAAGTGCTGGGCACGATATTCGGCAAGAACAGCAGCAAGCGCGACCGGAAGAAGCGGCCGTCGCTGAGCATATGACCCGCGTGGGCGTCCGCCGCAGCCGCCGTCGCCGCCACCGACGGTACCACGAACACGACGCTCACGCTGTGAAAATCACAAAAAATAATAATGAAACGCCGCGGTGACGGACGCGACTTACGGGTTTACGGGCGAAAAAAAATCGCGTAGTAATCCGCGCCCACGTTCTTCCCCGTCTCGTCGCCCTCCGGCGCCGCCATCATCGTTCATATAAAACCTATATATATATACATATAAATAAATATATTTATTTATTATAAACTGTATAATATTTATACGCGATAACAATATTGTCATTAATATTTCGTGGATAATTATTAATGTATAATATAATATAATTCAACTATTATAATAGTAATAATAACAGTAATATTAATAGTAATAATAATAATAATAATAATAATGTTATGTGTATGCGTGCGGCGGCGGTGTATTCGTTACCGGACGGAGAAAATATCCGCGCGAACGCGAAACGAGACGCCCGCGCGCGTCTTCCCGGGCGAACCTCCGTAGACACGTACAATTATCGTGTGTGGCTGTATGTGTGTGTGTGTGTGTGTGTGTGTGTGTCCAGAGGTACACCGGTGCAGGGGAAATAGTGCGTGTCGCGTTCGCGTTTACCGTAAGTCCGGTGCGGCCCGAAAACCCGTTTTCGGCGGAAAAACCAACGGCGTTTTTTTTTTTTCTTTTGCAAATTATTCTTGTGCCATCGGTAATTTCTCCCGAAAAACTCCCGTGCACTTACCCCCGATAGGAATCATTTTCGCATTTCCATCCAATAGTGAAGCCTTGTCGACATAAAAGACCCTTTTACCGTGTCACCATAATAACGTCGACGGTGTTTTGTTTTGTGCAAAGGCGTACACCACTAAACAATTTCTTTCAAATCGCGAAAAAACAGCAAAACAGTTTTAATTGATGTTTATCGTGGAAAAAAACAAAAATTACTCGCACACATTATACCTTTTGTACAAATTATACGCGCATTGAATGTGGTGTAGGCCCTTCTGGCGAATCGGTGTTGAATTCATTTATATTTTAAAAGGGGGCCCGAATATATTTTAGTCGACAATACCGCCTTAATTTTCTATATATAAATACGCCTTTTTACCGGAGGAATACTGTCTGAAGAGTTTAACGTTCACCTTTGATGGATTCGATATTTTAGCTATTATCTTGATAATATGTATACGGTTTTTTACTTAAACTGAAATTAACCATGGCCCAGGTGACCCCCTATATACGCCATGGTGTAGAACTATTTCGGAACGCGTCGTATCCCCTCCCGCCCCAGATACGTGTTTCAAAATTCAAACTGTTCTTGCAATAGATTGATTGTCGGGAAAACAGTTGAAAAGAGCAGACAAAAAAAAAAACCTTGAAGAAAAACGTCAATTTTCTCTCCCTCCTTCAATGGTCCCTATATAAGCGACGACTCTTCCCTGGAATGAATTTCACGAGACTATACACGTTATTACCCACGCCCCTTCCAGAACCGGATTTCAGGTACCCCGATTTAACGAAAAGAAACACGGTCGCTATTAAGTAAACATTCGTTTTATTTATATACTTTAAATATAATATAAATTTATTTAAACGTTGTGTAGGTTAGGTTATAAAAAGCTACACCGATTTTCTTACTCGGAGGTCTTAGGCATAAGCCTACTTGCCCCTTCCCCATAATCCGGGTCTTACCTCCACCCACCGACCTAATCCTTTGGACGATCTTTTGCGATCGTCATTGTGATGTAATTTTTTTGTTTATAATTTCTCGTACTTTTTGGTTACTAGAAAACTTTCTCCATCACTCTGATCTCATATCAATCGAAGCTTTTTTTTATCGATTATTTTTCATTGTATTATTATAGTAATAATTTTTAGTGTCAGTCTTAGTGTAATACATTATTGAATTGGCGGATTCGTAGGTAGTGCTTAAAGAATAAAGAGAGCAAATTTTAGATTGTCATTTTTTAAGTACCTATATATATATATATATATATATAAAAAAAAAAAAAACTACAACAGTGAAATCGACGAATAACTAATCACCGCGCTTTGTTGCTTATAAAATTTAAAACCCATGCAATTTCGATCGAGTTTACTTTATTATTTAATTGAAGATGTTTAGTGGCAAATAATTGTTGTAAAAAACACAACAAGGTCCGGAAATCCGCCTGTGTATTTTGTATATTATTTATTATCGTTTTAATTGTAAAATGTACAGGGAAAAAAAATAATTGTACAACGCCCTTGTCCCGCGACTATTACGTTTTATGAATAGTCTACGGAGACGTCGTTGATAGTTAGGACTAATTTTTTATTTTAGCCACGATTTTTGTAAATAAAAAAATCCCGCCTCGTACCAATTTAAATTTTTAACTAATAATACATAAAAACGACTTTAGGAAATATTTTTGTGTGTACAATTTTTTAAAAACCGATTTGTGTCTTGTCATAGCCATAGTGAGGTTCACAAAATATAATATTTATACAATATAAAGTGTTATATACAAAAATATTATTTTTTCTATTTTCATGTATTTTGTGTATGTGTGCATGTTACATATTGTAGTTTAATTTTTATCATCCGACTTTTTATTATAGATGTGTTAGGCGCATAAAANGAATGCTATATTATCTTGTAAATAGTTAAATTTTTTTTGTGTTAAACTTAATAAATGTCTCATGTTTTTTTACAATATTGTGTAATATTATAAGTGTATATATTTTTTTCTTGTATGGTTTTCTTGCCACTTTGACAGACAAATATTATTGAGTTTTCAGCAAATAGGGAAATCACAAATAAATAATGAATTCTTCGAAAATAGAAAAATATTGTTTAATAAATTAACTTAGAAGATACATCATAGATAATAATTAATATTGTTTGTACAAAAATAATAATATTAATGTGTCTTTGTGATGCTTTGTGAAAATTCAGCAATTGAGATAGGTGATGATGGACTACAGTTCGTCCAGTTAGATCAGTCTGTCAAAATATTCTTTTTTCTTAACAGGGTCAGGAATTATCTGGAAAAAATAATTAAAAATTACAAAAATTTATAATAATAGCTGATTGGAAATTAATAAATTAATAAAATAAATATTCTGTTTTCTTCAGTCCGACCATTAATTACTATAACAAATTATTGTTTAATATTTTTTATTTAATAAACATAAGTTAATGTTTGAGCTGTGTGCCACAAAGTTGTAAAAAGTGTATACTATTATCAAATGATTGTCTTTTTTTTTTTTGTAATTCATCATATTATGCAATAGAGTCTGACAAAATAAAACTGTCCTAGAACGATAAACATGTAAATAATTTGAAATATTAAACAGTACTTATACAATATTAATGTTATTATTATAAAGCCTGCAAAACAATCATAAGTTGAAAACTATATTTCAATTATTCTGTAAAAAGTTATAAACTTGTTTAAAATATTCCATTTAGTTAATTACTACTGTCAAAAATATGCGCAATCAATTATTTCAAAAAAAAAAAAAAAACATTAGCCAGAATATTGGTTTAACTGTCTAATAATAATTATTACTTCATCGATAGAATAAATAAAAGGTTATTCGTTCGTACACCATTCTATGTCAGAATAAAATATCTAGTACCGTTTGTTCACCGGGTTTCCAGTTGGCCGGACACACTTCTCCGTGCATGTCAGTATATTGAAACGCTTGTACCAACCTTAGGGTTTCATCTACACTACGGCCAACCGGCAAATCGTTCATGGTGATTTGTCTGAGCACACCTTTGTTGTCTATGATAAACAATCCCCTGAAAACAAAATAAATATCATGCGAATAAGTAGAATAAAACACCTAGTGCATAGTATTATAAAAGTATAATCTAAGTAAACAACAATACCTCAACGAGTGGCCGACGTCACTCAAATAAACTCCATAGTCTTTGGATATTCTGTGGGTCATGTCTGACAACAACGGGATGGACAATTTGCCAAGTCCGCCGTCTTTGCGGGGTGTATTCACCCAGGCCAAATGCGTGAAATGCGAATCAACGGACGCGGCCACGACATCAGCTCCGATTTTCCTGAACTCGTCGATGCGATCGTTGAAAGCCAATATTTCTGTCGGGCAAACAAACGTGCTGCAAACCGATTCGTTTACTGATTATGTACCACTCAGAGGCGCCAAATCCCGAAAGTGTCTACGTAATAGCTATGGGGTGTCTAATGCGGGTATACTTACAAGTCCAACGGATAGAAGAAAAACACTAAATATTTGCCCCGGAAATCTTTCAGCTTCAGCTCTTGTAGCGTGCCGTTGACGACGGCCGTGCCTTTCCATTCGGGCGCCGGTTTCGATACTGAACAGTATCGCGCCGAAAATTAAAATACGATTTTAATAGGCAGTTTACGTTATTCGTCGGAAAGCCTCTTTACTCACTCAACGCCTTGGTGTATTGCAGTTTGTGGTTGGTGGACTCCACCGTACTGGACGGATACACGGAACCGTCGGCGAACGTTTGGCATTTGAGCATGTCGTCCGCGAGACCGGAACAACTGGCGGCCAAAACCAAAACCGAAATACTCACTGCCACGACGTTCATCGTGGACGCCCGTGAAATAATTGTATTTTTTTCGTACCTGCCGATCAAAAACTGTCGTTCGGGGACATAATAACCGGTTAGGTATGTAACGAACAATATTTCAGTGCAGTGCAACGGCCGGGGTATAACAGTGGACAACAATAGTACGCCGCAATAACGTCCGTTGTAATAATTGATAATAATTTTGAAAAAACGAACAACAATCGATTTGAATAATTGCGGCGGCGTTTCGGAGAAATTTGTTGCGTTGTCGTTACGTACGTGAACCGTTGTTTTCGTAACGACGTTATTATCACGGACGTGATAACGCGGATAGCGGCAGCGGGTAAACAGCGGAACGGAAAGGGAAAAAAAAAAACTACTACCGGAAGCCGCTGCATACGCACTGATAGCTTCCCGGCGGGACCGTACAGTGTTACAACGGACGGAAATAAAAAAAAAAAAATAACGATATCTGATGCCCCCGTAGAAACGCGGAAACGATATTTCGTACTCGTCTGCCCGTACTAAAATACAAACATTTCGATATTAGTATTTCAACCGTTACGTGGGTGGCAGGCGGGGGAGGGGGTTGCCCGAGCAACACCGATAAACAATTTAGCGGTCAGGTAGCGATCCGCAGCCGGTATACACAGGCGTTCGTGAATCGTGCGCACCCCGCCTACCCGTAGGTAGGTAACCCGTTGTATTGTTTCGTAAATATCGGCCGGGACGTCGGTGTTTTTTCGGTTTTTTGTCTTTAATGCGTAGATATTTTCTGACTTTGGACAATTTCTTCGAAATTTGTCGTCGGCCATCGTCGCCGCGGTAGGCACAAGCGGGTAGGTACGATTTGTTTTCGTTCAATACAATAGCGTAACATCATTCACGTCCGACACGAATGAAATACATCCGTTTCAACCGGTGAGCGATTTTCGTTATATTTTATTAATTTATTGCCTATAATTTTTGTTTTTTTTTCTATTTCTGTGAATTAGTCGCGTGTTACGTTTTGACTACATACTATTTCCGTAGGTCGACTTGAACCCGTACCGGCGGTACCCATACGAGTATTATAATATTTTTTTAACGTTTATTATTGACTTTTAAGACGACTGCATCACAATACAATAGCATATAATACGCGTGTTGGTTAGGGCTGAAATAATTGCGTTTTGGGCGACGAGCACATCGTTTTCCACGAGAAAGCGATAATTTATAGTATATGTGTGTTTACGAAAAAAAAAAAATAATAATAAAAAAATACTACGTACGTGTGTAATTTTAATCTAACGCCTAAGCGACCAAAAAATGCAAGTCTATAGTTTCAAATTAATAATCTGACAACAGATTATTTTACGCGCGTAAAATGTATAGCTATTTTTTTTTTTTATTATTATTTATTTTTATTTATTTATGACCGGCCAAAATCCAGTAAGTATACAATATTTTGTATACAGTATCGAATTGAATTTTCAAAAGGGTCTCGGAAAATCATAGCCCGTTTATAATTCATTGCGTCTTCTCGCCCAAAAAAAAAACATGCTCTTTCCGACCTCGACGATTTTCCTTTTTTGAAAATACTCGGGTACGACATACACATGTATTATTACTATTATGTCAAATGGTCTATGGTCTACACCAATACGGGACCGTTTAAAAAAATATTATTTTAATTAGTGACGGTGAGTCTATTATGTGACATTTTCTTTTCCCCGACATTCGATAAAATCGTAAACCGCGAGTCGATATTGAAATCGGCCGATGATATATCGGTTAAAAGCCCGATTTTTGTTTAGCATTTCAGAAACATTTTATTACCGGCGTTTATCACCGAAACAATCGGGTTGAATATCATAGTTTTGAAAAAAAAAAGAAACAATCCACTACACGGTATATCACTACACGATATTATATCCTCATTGTAAGGTGTGGTAGACGACCAATCGTGTAGTAGGAGATATAAAATGTTCAGTTGAGAAATAAAATATTAATGTCCAATTTAATTTATCTGTGTTAGCAATATACACGTAAAAACCAAGTTAATGTTAAAAAAAAAAAAAGAAAGATTCTGTGGGTACCACAATACAATTAGATTATTTATAGAGAGTGCCCCACGAAGATAAACTCTTTGAGATATCTCAAAAAGCTATTGTTTTCTAATTAAAAAATAAAAAAACTTAATTCATTTTCATGCAGGTAAGAGGTACCCTAGAATATTTTTTTTTTTGTTAGTTTAAATTAATATATACATTGCGGAGCTCATAAAGGCCCAGCCTCTTTCCTCCCTCTCCGTAAAAAACTGTACAATAAATTACATTGGTACAATTGAATAAAATAAATCCTAACACATAGGCGTATCCAGGGGGGGATAAGGGAGCTCAGTGACGCATAAAGAAATTAATTGGAGGGGGGATTATAAAAAAAGCTTTTGGGTATTAGTTAATACATAAATTAAATAAATTCTCAAATAAGCACGTGTGCCGTACCAACCATAAATATTTAGGGGTCGTACCCCCAAAACCTTCTCCTATTTATGCCACTGAGGGGGCTATAGCCCTCCCCATTGACCATGTATACGTTAACCAACAGCCGTTAATATTTACTTAATACAAGTTGATTCACTAAACGTGTTCACCCCGTTTTTTTGGTTGAATTTTGCATGTATCCAAACCCTAATTTTTCGAATTTGCAAATGTAGTTAAAGTCGATATTTTCGAATACTTAAGATTTTTGAAAACATTTAAAGAGTATCCTGTGCTGCTACCAACTTTGGTTTTTCAAACGAGAATCTATATTAAAAGTTTAATAAATAGATTTTAAATAAATGTTGGTGTTATAATTTTTAATTTTTGTTAATCCATTTACGAGATATTTCACTTTTAAATTTAGGTGGGGGGAAAGTAGTGGAGTATCGTTTTTGTGGTGACAAGGCACGCAGTGTTTTATTAGTTAACACACTGTATATAATAATATTACATAACCAATTTAATGAATATTACAAAATGTCTAAGTGCAGAGAACGAGTTAATGGTGATTTTTTTTCGTGGAGTTTAACCCCCTCCCCCATACAAAATTCCTGATAACGCCACTAGCCTGGCATATTATAATTATATTATGATTATTATTATTATTTTTTTTTTTATGAAGGCAATGAGTCCCGCGGAGAAAAAAACAACGGAAACCGTTCGAAACGAAAACACCGATAACTTACCGTTCGATATTTATGACGAGCAGTACGCGAACGGAAGTCGAGAATTCCCCTGCGGCGGCGGCGTTAAAAACGGTGTCGGTCGTTCGGTTTTGAATAATGTGACGTCCAATTCGCCGGACACGATACTAAACCGCGAATACGACGAGGACGACGAAGAAGATTTCATAAGCGAGTATAATTTTATGATAATATAATTATTGTAGTTAAAAACCATTCGGTAACATATGGGCGTATAAACATTAAACGGAAAAAAACCGACATAATCCAATTGTTTAAACACAAATCGATATCCGATTTTTTTTTTTGTAATTTATGACCCACCCAGTGCGCGTGTGTCGCTATAAATAATTCAGTATATTTTTAATGTTACCTGTTACGCGTGTGTGTATAGATATAATAATCGTATTGCACAGTACGATAAAGGTATAGGTTAATTAATTTTGTGTTTAATCTATATAGATATAGCAACTTACCTGTATAGATGATTCATTTTTTATTAGTTGATATTTTTTTATTTATGTATAGAAAAAATAATAATAATGTAATAATTATTGTTAAATATCAGCCTTATCCCCTTTCCTTTGAAAAAATCATTGGACCACCGTTGATTCGTATACCTCACTCTTGTCAAATCAAACCTAAACTACCTACTTTTATCCACTATTTTATTATTTTATTACCTGCAAGAATGATTCGCTTTTCGTCGAAAACTCGAAAATATTCGGTACTATAAATTAATTAATATTTTATTTTATATTATAGAGATTTATTTCGCGTCAGGCACCGTATTACAACCGTCCGGTGAACCGTATAACTTGCGTTCTAAAATCGATCAGGCCAACCGCGATTTACAAACCGACGACGCTGAACCGGCGAAATTCTCCAACGTACCCGGCAAAGTGAAATTCGACAATACGGTTGTGGTTTTGGACAGTTTCGAAGACATCGGTATGGTTTTAATGTGTAATTTTTGATTCTGAAAGTATAGCGGGGAATTAGTTTTACTATATTTATTTACGATTATTAACTGTTTTAATAACATTGTTTTACTTTGTTAATTTATTATACAATACAGTAAAACTTCCATATAACGGTCACCGAAGATTGAGGTGTCTTATAAAGTCATAACACTTGTGCCTATTGTCTTTAGCATAAGCCCATCTGCGTTGATATGCGCTGTTATAACAGGTAAGAGGAGTTATCTCGGTGAATGGAGTTTTTCCGACGTATCTATGACAGGAGAAAATCTGGAATAAGTTAAAATAGGCTTGAGGAATAGAGATCAACACTAAAGATAAATAGAAATATAATTTTGAGTATGCGTTTGGAGGATAATAAGCAGTTAAAGGCGAAGTTTAGGGTTTTAAGTACCTATAGGATCTTTTGTACCTACAATAGAAAGATGAGCTTTTATAAATATATGAAACATAGTATCACTTGTAGCCATATAAAGTGGAGAGAAGTGTTAAGTGTTTTGTATTATTTGAGTTGGAGTATCTAGTCAATTGTAAACTTAGAACGAGGGAGGCCGACCCCAAATAGTTGGGATGGAAGCGAAGGAGTAGAAGAGATTTTTTTTGTAATCCGGTTAAAAATAATATTAGAAACATGAAATGCTCACAGAATATTACGCTTTTCTGAACGTCGTCATTATTTTAAATATTCTAGAGACTTGAGTTATTTATACTTTATAATAGGCATTTTACAATTTCGTTTTTTTTTTCAATTTTTATTCAGTTTTATGTTGATCAAACTGTTTTGGCCAAGTAAAAATTCTTGAAAATTTAATTCGAGATTCATATAGAGTTTTACTTGGCGGCTAAAAATAAGAAGTTTAGTATAATGAATTAGTTTTTTTTATATACGCTTTTATAAAGTTCACATTATATTGAGACTCGTAAAAATAACGTCATTTTAAATACAATTTTTCGATTTTTATTTTCATTTTAATTTGTTTAAAGTTTTATTTTGATTTAAGTTGAGTTTGAGTTTCATAATTTAATGTAAACTTAATTAAAATTTTTTTTTTAATGTTATCAAGCATATTAAGATGATACTACAACAGCATATACTGTCTTTGCTGGTTAGATACACATCTCTTATACCCAAAATTCATCATAAGTTTTACTTAATGGTAAAAACAAATTGAATGTAATTTAGTTATTTTGTATATATACTTTTTCAAGTTCTAATTTTAATAAAAATCTTAAAAATAACGGCATTTCAAAATTGTCTAACCAATTTTCTCTCAGAATCGTATTCCATTAGCAATGATTTATTGTTTCGTAATGATATAAATTAAATAACTCTACGTATCTTGGGAAGGTAGGAACCTTTCAAGTATGTTCACACCTAATTTTTTTTCGTTTTAAATGCCTTTTTTTTTTTAAAAAAATATTATGTGTTGTTGAACATGCGGTTGCGAGTAACTTTAAATAAATATTCGGCTATTGCATAAGGAACTGTCGTTCAATATGACAGCATTATATGTTTAACAGGTACGGTTCCTATCGGTACGGAAACACTTCACGGCTGTGGTAGCGCTGCCGATCTCGGACGAAAAGATCGCGGAAACAATGACGACGGCGGAGACGGAGACATTTTAGCCGCGGTAGACTTGTCGCGAAACGACGAGGACGATCAAAACGACGTGGTGTGTTCGACAGCAGAAAAGACGACGTCACAGGACGGCACCGCGGACTGCACGGTCACGGACGACAGGGTTTATTCAGCGAGTACGTGTACCGCGTCGTCTTTCAGCAGAAGTTTTTCGTCGGATTCTGCGGACGGCTGCAGCGGCGATCGTCCATTGTTCATAAACGTAATCGAATCCGGAGACGAGTTCAAGGCGATAATGGACCGGAACAACAGGGCGCGTCAACATCATCAGGGTTCGGCGATCGACGAACAGGTCACGTATTTTCCGGAACTCTTCACCCACACACAATACAAAATGTACGAGAATTCGGGTAAAACTGCGGTTGACGATGCATCCGGAGACGACGACGATTTGAATATATACGTACCCAAGAGACTGGACGCGGAAGAATTGCGAAACAAACTGAAGGAAATTTGTTGTAAACAACGTAAAAGAGTGGTGCAGCAGCGTCGACCGGCAAACGACATCAAGAACAATAAAGTGGACAAATCGGTGACGAAAAAATTCAATAACAATAATTTTATCGGCGGGTCGCTACAGAACGGCAATAATAACACGCGCGCAAAAAAAGACAATCAATCATTGACGAAAAAAACGTCGTCAGCGGTAAAAAAAATAGCTCAACCATGCAACAACGAACCAGGCCCTCGGACGACCTATTACTTTGAGCTCGATCCCAAGGGCAAGCTAAAACCTTTAAACGAAAACAACGTCATCGACGAGACTGGCAACAACGGCAAGTCGGCCAACAACAAATTTTTCCGTATAAATCTAAAAGCCGCGAAAAACAACAGCAAAACGTCCGCCCGTAATATGACGGTAACGAACTGCAGTAAGACGCCGAACACGGATTTATTTTTAGAATTTCAGACGGACAAATGCGGTCGGAAAGGAGCCAAACTAATAATCAAAAAGAAACCGCCGCAGACTGCAGAAGAGTGCGGTGTAACGAACAGTAGGTCGAACAACAATAACAAGAGAGTTGTGAATGATGTCGAACGTCCGCGGCTGCCGGGCTACAACGGGCTGAGATCGGAATACGGGTTGTCGGCTGAACAGCTGTTAGAGAGGCGCAGGATAAAAACGGAACGGGAAACGCGGCGCAGAGAGTTTCGGCAAAAGAAACACGAGGAAGAACAAAAAAAACGCGCGGAAAACGAGAAGAATTTCTACAAATGGTTGCAACAAAAAAAACAAATGAAAAAACTGCAGGTCAAGACCAGCGTTAGACACAGTTATCCGATCAACAGACTGACAGTGTCTTCCGCCAGGACTTCTGTGTAAGTCCGATTACAAATATTTGCAGTGGCGTGCTCAGGAATTTTCAATAGTGGGCGGTATAGGCTATATAATAAATAATAATCGTGATTTATGAATAAAACATTGAATCTTTTTCTGCTATACCTACAACCGAACGGTGAGAGTTTAAAAAACCGGATCCAAAATAACCAATTTTTATTCAATAAACCATGTTTTTGTATTCAGTAGTGGGCGAAATGCTCAAATTTGACGCAGCTGCGTCAATATTTTAAGAAGTGGTAGGTTGTGGAGGCATGGTGCTAGGTGGTCTTGGATAGTTAGGATGTTATTTTGATACATATTTGCCATTTGGTAAATATTCTAATATTCTAATATTAAGGTTATTATTATGTTATCACAATAGCATCAAACATGTAAGATTTTACAATATTCATATAAACTATAATATAATATACGAGAAGTGAATCTGATACAATCGTAGAAAAAAAAACTGGAATGGGATTAGACTGCGTAGACTAAAATATATCTTCGTATACATTTTTTCATCCGTGTTACAAACTTGGTAACCAATAAATCAACAAAAATAGTTCAATGTGTTTTAAAATACAAAAACTAATAACTACTGCAGTAATGTAAGAAATCTAATCTTTTTAGATAAAAGGTAGCCTACATTCTTCGTCAGAATGAAATCTATCTATAATAGACAAAATTTTATCAAAATCTGGTCTGTGGTGTTGCAAATTTCACATTTACCTAATTTAATATAAATATGAATTATATTTTTCTCATGAGCCATTTGGAAACTATATGCACAGGGGGGGGGAGGGGGTTGATAGCAAGATGGTGATGGTGGTAACACTGAAATATGAAATTGCATCGGTAAAAATTTAAGTTCAGTCCGCCATTGTTTGTACTTGTATTTCAACTAAAATATATAATTTCAAGAAAAAATTATTAAATAAGCAATCATAGCTGTTGTATTTTAAAGTCAACAAGGGAGAATAGTGTCACTTCAAACCTCCTCTTCTCTGTAAACGCCATTGGATATTTATAAACAAAAGCATTAAATAGCTCAGTTGGCTTTACAAGGTTTTTTTTTTCAGAAATCCTACAAACACCGGAAATCAACTACGGAAAGGATCATTCGCTTTGGAAGAGTTGTTGAAAATCAAGGACGACAATATCGCGGGATGGTTTAAATTTTAAAGTTTTATATCGATATAGGTATAATAATATAATATGCTAATCATCATATTTTAAAGGTGATTTGTAAGGCAATAAGTAAGTAGGTATAGTATAGTATTTAGATAAAGTTGTATTCCCTGCAGTGCTTGAATTGAAAGAAAATCAGAAGAGGAAAAGAAAGTGTAAAAACACGCACAAGATTTAAATATCTGTGTATTTTTGTTAATAATGTGCACTATGCAAAATTAGAATGTGTACTCTGATATATATATTTGTGAAAAGAAAAGTTACCCCATTCCGGCCTGTGCTCTGCCCTCTAATTCGAGCATAAGTTATTTTTCGTTATCAGGACTCGTTAGTTAATGAATATTAAAAACCGGTGATAAACACAATAAATAAAATTTCTATAAATATGATACAAACAAAATACTAATGATCAATTTATTTTTTTTATTTTTCAAACAAAAGTCAAACTCAATTTTCAATATTTCTCGTCCTAATATTTTGGATTTCGAATTAGTATTATTTGTGTTGTATATAAATAATAATAATAATACATTTTTTATCAATTTTTAACAAACTAAATGTTCTAATATTTAACGTTCAAATAAATATTTAATAGGTAATAAAAATGTAGATAATACTAAACGAGTAAGTTGAAAAATTAATTTTTTATTTCTAAGCCTAAATTGCAACATGTGAGTGAGATTTGATTAGCCTACTTGGTGATTTAATACGCACTACTTCAGACTTTGCAGAATTTATTATACGTACTCATGAACCCTGGTTATTATAATAATATTGTATTACAGAGTACCTATAGTTTTGGACGAATTTATTAAAAACGTAAAGAAATTTTCGAGGGTTATAGGTTTAAGGCGGATTGGACACCGAAAATTTTCATTATTTTATTATTCCACAATTTATTATAGTTAAACGCATATACTTTAAACGCTGCAGCATATCGATTAAGACCAATTTTTCCTTTAATTTTCCCTTCTAGTCTGAATCGTTCTAACGAAAAGCGATACGAATTCTGAAGATTCGAATTCAGCGAGAAATCTAGGTACGGGTGACTTCTTCGAATTTCATTTAAAAAATGTAACCGTTTATAAAAATGTATATAAAAAAAAAATTAAAACTACAATTAAACTGAATAAATAGCCTTTTTTATACATGTAAAAATTAAAAACGCTGAACGAGCTGAATTCAAATCTGTTTTCAGAATAATTCCTATCGCTTTTTTACCACTATACATGAATTGAACCGATTGAAAGAATTTCGGTTTAAGTTACTCACATGTTACGTACCTTTGTGTTATAGACTAAGAAATAAAATAACGGTATCCAAAAATCCAAAACATTTAGTTTCGAATATTATATTCAAATATACATATATTTCGATACACCTAGCCTACGAAAACTGTACCTATAGTAACTTAATTTTGTCAATTGTTCTAGAGCGAACCAAATTTCAAAATTGATTTATTTTAAGATTTTGTAGTTGTTATTTTTGATAAATACCATACACCTATAGCTTATATTATATACGGTACCTACACTAAAATACGTCCAATTTGTATGCAGACTTTTTACTTTTTCGGGGGAATCCAAAAGTTGTATCGGTTATGGAAAAAAACTATTAGGTAGTTTATCCAAACTATCGAAAACTATAAGGTTCACTAGATCTATCCCATCACTATAACAACCTTCGTCAAATATATATTTTACCTGTTACGTTTTCTTAACCGTTTTATCAATTCAAATGGCCCAATCATTTTATAGTTCATTATCAGAATGTGCGCTGAAAACAGCCAGTATCATAACTCAAAATAAACTTAAATTAATTTACTACCATTTACGTTAAGTACCTATGACGAATTATTGCTTACTTGAAAACGTTTATGACTACAATCATCATAGCCCACGAACATTAAAAGAAATTCTTCCAAACTGTAAATTGTTTTTACATAATATATTTGAACCATATTGACAATAATATGCAGTATACCTATATTTTCTAATGTTTTTATAATATAATTATTTAATTAATCCGCTACCTATATAAGAGGTAATAATATTTTGTCCCACTTTTTATCGAACGATGAAAAACGATTAAGAACAAGTTTTAATATTTATTATTATATAAGCTGCCATTAGGAATATTCAAATCTCAAGTTGTATAAATTGTTTGATTTTTTTCTTTTACATATTTTATACCTAGTTATTTTCAATACGATTTTTTAAATTTTATATTATATAATATATATTACCGTATTTAATACGTACGCGGTTTTGTTGTTATAAGTTTAATGTCTTTTTGTTGTATTCACGTTTGTTATTTTCGTATTATTTTAAATTAAATACAATTATTCATAAAAATCAAGCCCATGATACTCATAGAACTAGCCTAACGAGTTTAATTGTAGTCATCCAATTGATTTATCACCTAGTTTACTTTATTTGTTGTCATAAGTATAGTATTCATCATTAAAAAGAAAAAAAATAGATAAATATTTTTATTTTATTTACTGCCGTAGGTGTAGTATTCAACATTTTAAAAAATAAATATTATTATAGGTAAGTAGTTATTCTACAATACCTGTAGTTTTTGACGTTTTTATCTCTGTACATGGCGGCCCGCAGAAAATTTATAAGGGAGGGGCTGTGTTAGTAAAGTTTTTTTTTTTACGTATAAAAAAACATGCCTGGGCTCTTTGATGGCTAGGCCGGCATAGAGAGGTGCGTAATAAAATCAAACACCAAAAAATTATACAAATTTATATAAATTATCTAATTATAAACCTTATGTTTGAAATTTTGAAGTCTAAGGGGACAGATGTCATGTCTCGCCCCCCTTTGATTAGGTTCGGTTTAAATATTATTAAATAGACAAGTAGGTACTTATACCTATATCAAATGTTTGCGAAAATCAGACGATAAAAAATTACAGTTTTAATTGTAAATTGATTAATTTGAAAAATATAATTTATTCTTAAAAAATTAGTCTATAACACTAATATTCGTTACATAAGTCTGTCAAGTTGGCATATTATTTTGCTACAACATCGAAAATTACTACCGGCTGGTTTTCCCTACATACCGGAAACAAACATACACGGGTGCCAGGTTGACGTAGTACCGGCACATTATCCGAATACTAAATACTAAATACTCAGTAATCCAAATAGTTGTTACAAAAATAATTTTTTCATAAATGCTTACAATATAAAGTAATAATAAAAAAAAAAAAATTAAAATAATGAAACCATTATTTGTGTAAATTCTCCGTTCTTTTTACGTTTTTTTCCAGTTTATTGAATTATTAAGAAAACTATACGGAAAATCAAAAAACAACTTTCATATTCACTAACTATATTAAAAATAAAATAAAAAAGGTCTCTTGCTGTTTTTCTATTAGAGCAATATTTTTCGTAGAAAACACAAGCTGTAAAAATGTAAGTAATTTCGACAATAAAAAACAAAATTGAAAATTATAAAAGTATTTTTATAATTTTACTGTTTACAGTGAAAACTGTTTGAAAAATGAATAAATAACTCAACTTAAGAACTACCTCAGGAAAATTTTCCCTCAGAAATGGTGCTAAAATAAAATAATAAACATTGTAAAACCAATACATTCCTCGTTCCGTTCAGAATCAAAAAGACGGACGTACTTCACGCGTTGGAAGGGCCACTGTTATAGTTGAGAAGTGGAAAAGGTAAAATCTAGATGGGAACGATAAATGATTGATAACGAAAAAAAATTCTAAGCAGAGTTCAGTTGTACTTACTTGTTTTGATAGACCATAATATTTACGATTTTCGTCAAAGTGTCAAATAGCAAAAAAATTAAAAATATTCACGAAATTATACTAAACTTTTTTAACATTTATCAGGAAGAGAAATGTGTAAGAAGTGTTGTATTAATTTTTAAGATTTTCCAATAAGGCAAAAAAATTTAATTAGCAATTCACAAAAATACGAAAAAACAGGAAAATATGAAAATATGATATATTATCAAATATTTGTAATATACTTAATAAATAATAAAACATCCATCCTAAGTCTAAAGTCTAAACTGGGTATTATGACGGTCGGTAATAACATGGTCCTCTCCTGCACTCTAAAAATTTCACTGCCTAATTCCAAATATAACTTTTTCTTAATAATAATGCTATCGTTTGAGAACTGTGGTCAGTTGAGATATACAGCATTATTGACTAGGTTTAAGAGACTACTCACTCAAAACATCCAGTACACACCTTTTATTGTTGCCGCGGCTGACATTGAAATGCTGTCCGTGTTTTTTTGGAACCATACCATTTTTCACCGTGGTATGAAGTGTGGTGTTCTCCGTGGTTTTTGTTGTCGGTGCAGCAGTCCCCAATACTCGTCTGCTTCGGGTTCATCGGGAATAACATAATTATCATCCGAACAAGACGTTAACAGGCTGAAACAATTTTTAAACGACAGAAACGGCTCGGAAGGACGAGAAAAATATATGGCTAATATACTCATCACGGTTAAACTATGCGTCTTGTTATTATTATAAATTTACTGAGGAAAACAAATTTTATAACAGAAGAACAAAAATAATTCTCGTTATTCGTTAAAACGGCTACCATAACATTGAATCGAAATAACATTATTTAAACGGAGAAAAATTTAATACTTTATCAAATACATGTGTGGTACGTTGAAACAAACACTTTTTCTTTTTCAAATAATGTGGATCGACCGGAAACAAATTTTAATGAATACGGAAAGAATCAAAAAAAATAAAGTGAAACATTTAGTGAGTATCAAATATCTGGAAAGAGGAGTGTTAAACAGCTTTTAAATGGGAGTATAAAATGTCCAAATCGAGTAAATCCTTATTTATATCGAATATATTTTGTCTTCGAAATTAAGAAAAATTATCGTAAAAAAAAATATAATTTTTTTAAAATTTCAAAAATTTTGATAAAACAAGATCGAATTAAAAAAAAAAATGGCAAATTTGGATATGTTGCCGTCGAATACATATATTATGATGTATTTAATAGTTATATCTAATAAATAAAAGGTGATATTAATTTTGGCTTGCCAAAATCATTTTTCAGACCATGATACGATGTATGGATAAAAAAAAATATTTTACACGATTACGAAAAACTAAATAAATTGAGAGATGGTATTTTGCGCCGCTAATAAATTAGGTTTAAATGCGTATGTAATTTGCGCAATGATTAAAAATATAATATGTTAATCTGTTGAAAAAAATTAGTTCTTTTAAAGTGGCGCAAATTACAATTTGGATAGACACGAAATTACATATTTTCAGCAAAAAAAATGTCGCATTGATCGTACTGACGATCAGAACGAGATACAATACATATGCATATAAATAAAATTTCCGATTTTTAAATAGTCAACAAAATGAAATTGTTAAAAAAAGAAATACTAAAGAAACATTAAAAAATTGATAGAGGGGCATTAAACTCACGAAAGTCGAGTCGACCGAAGTCGCCCCAACAGGGAACTCGTGTTTGAGACTTTTCAACTATCGTTGTCCGGAGCAAAAAAAAAACAAAGTTAATCCGTCCACTAAGACAGTTTAAAGTCATCTTTTAAAACGGATTTTCGTTGGCTTCATTAATTGTCTTTTACAATGTTAAACATAAACCCATTAACAATGTCCGTGAATCCAGAACGGAATAACAAGTAGGGGACGTGCAAGTTTACAGTGTTACTAACGCGGGTGGTTTTGCTTAGTGCGATACAAAAATACCTATTGACACCAATGATCGGGGCAAGCGCACTTATCGATTGTATTATGTCCATTTTTAGACGTTACAAAATTATCACAATGTTGGTTCACCATACCATGTGTGTATGGCAATGGCACTACCAAATCAACGCTTGACTGTGGCGATAGCGTGACTTCAGTACGTCTTCCCGGGTCACTACTCTTCTTAGTACTAGTTCACCTATTTTTGACCAACGTTTCGTAGGGTTTGATATTTTTTGGTTACTGGAATCTTAACCAAGTCAAAATTGCTCGTGAATCTTGTGAATTCGTAAGGTTCCGTAACGTTTTTTTAAATAAAAGCCGCAAAAGTCTTTTTGATCGTTAAACGGTTAACAGTTACCGTTAATTATTCATATTTTGGAGTTTTGCGGCCTTTGCCTTCTCCATCATGAGAACCACATTTTTCGGTATTGCCCCTGGTCTCCAATTTCTATTGATCTAAAAACCGTCAAAATTATATTTTGTATTTTTTTTTTAGTGGAAATATAAAGAAGATTAAGATATACGATCTGATATAAAGACTTGATACTGCTGTTGGGTGTCACTATTGTAAATGGAAGTTAGGAAGGTAGGATACAATTTATATCTGTGCACAACGATAAACAAATGTCAGGGGTGGAGTGATGGGTCTGGAAATGAGAATTTTTTAGATGGTCTGGATCGTATTATGACATGGTGGTCTGATATTTTTATATAATATTTTAACTTACTCGTATTATTTTAAAACGTACCTAAAAAGTTATGCTAACTTATATACGAATTATTTTCTTATATCAGTACTTTTTATGTATACACTTTTGTTTAAAGTATTACATTAAAATGCACATTAACTTAAACACTTTTTTACATTTTTTGTTGGTCGAAACACCACCCTTATAGTTTCTCACATGTATCAAGAAAATTGTAATTGAAAAATGATAAGAGACATTTTTTGTTGAATTATTAATCTTATTTTTAATGATACAGGTCGTTTTTTGATTTTTGAAATAGTTTTCATAATATTAGGGAATAAACGTAGGAAAAACTAACAATTTCACGATATCATTATTTTACATTAATACAGAAAACATTTATAATTAGGAAAATCGTTTTTATCGAAAAATTGAGAAGAAACCTTTTTTGTTTTGTTGTATTTTTATTAATAAGCGTTTTGAAATCAAATTCAAACGAAAAACACAAAAAAAATTACGGCACTTCAAATTATGTATAGCCGAATTGCGCTCGGAATCGATTTTCGTCAAGCAATTGTTTATCTTTGGCTACAGATATAAATGAAATAACCTTATGTATCCTACTTTTTCTACTTCTAACCTACAACAGTGGCCACTCTCGTACCCAGCAGATGCTCTTTTTTTTTTTTTGATCGCAAAGTACGACTTATAATAAACCACCTATTCAATTTTAATATACACTATTGACGTTGTTATAAGTAGTAACGAGTTATTTGATTCTTGTTGATTCATTTCGATTTCAAATGTTTATAGTGGTTAACTACTATTAATAAATACGGCTATTTAATTATTGGTATTTTTTTTTTTGATCGCAAAGTACGACTTATCATAAACCACCTATTCAATTTTTAAGCATTTCTGTAAGGTCTAACAATTTTTTCCTCAGATTTTCTACCGAATAAAAATCATCTAAAAAAACTCGCAATGTTGCCGTTTTTCCTTAGTTTTTCCTAATGAAAACATTAACCATGTATCATAAAAAAAGTATATGTTTAACCATTACATTTCTGGCTATAAAACTAAAATCTGTAATATTACAATAATAAGTTATAATATATTATTATATTATACTATAGTCGTATATTATTTTCTTCTGAGTAAGATAATTTTGTTTTAAAAAAAGTGTTTTTTTGTAAAATTAAAAATTAAATAACTGTATAATTAATCGAAATCCTATAACTGAATAATAACGATCAGCCATTTACCTTTACACCTCCGGCGTCTTTCAAGGACCAGAGCCAACCCATATTCCCAGGAGTCACGACAGGTTGCGAAATGCAATTTTTGTGGCCGCAGTTGACTCCCGGATAAACTGACCCAGCAACATTATTAATCTTCTTGGACAAATTATTCACAGACTTTCCGGCGGGGCGCGTTGAATTTTTCTTTTTTGCCAGTTGTTTTTGAACCTTAATCTTATCGGCGATCGGTGTCTCATCGTTATTTATATTGAGAATATTCTTCAAATTTGAATCCATTATTCTGTGTTATATTACAAATTATAATTATATTATGTTTTTGTATTTTTAATATACACTATTGACGTNCCCGGATAAACTGACCCAGCAACATTATTAATCTTCTTGGACAAATTATTCACAGACTTTCCGGCGGGGCGCGTTGAATTTTTCTTTTTTGTCCGTTTTTTTTGAAACTTAATCTTATCGGCGATCGGAGTCTTATCGCTATTCATATTCAGAATATTCTTCAATTTCGAATCCATTATTCTGTGGTATATTACAAATTATAATTATATTATGTTTTTGTATTTTTAATATACACTATTGACGTTGTTATAAGTAGTAACGAGTTATTTGATTCTTGTTGATTCATTTCGATTTCAAATGTTTATAGTGGTTAACTACTATTAATAAATATGGCTATTTAATTATTGGTATTTTAGTAATTCATTTTATTCTGATTCGAGTAAAATGAATATATAAAATAATGGTGGACAAAATGTAAAGACTGCGGATAAATGGGGACAATTTATATGTGCTTGTACGTCGATACCAATTTTGAGAAATTCGGAGGTGCCACTGACACCATGGCATCGGGAGGGTGGAAGGCCAGCGACGGCGGATGCCCATACTCGTCGTCACTGGCAGGCCACAAATCCGGAACAGCAAGAGAAGTCCAGGATGGCGGGCAATGCCTGCCCGGGAAAAGGACTGGGGACACGGGCTTCGAGGGCGGCGGTCGTTGATGGCCCGAGAAGTGAACATAGCGTATTGTAATGTAGTGTATTGGTATTTAAAACAGCTGAAAAATAAACAATATCCGTTCGAGTCGTTCTTGTGTGTATTGACTATTGGTCATTGTGCGTTTAGATCCCGGTGTGTGCAGACGTCGACATACTTTCGAAACATTTATTCTAAGTATTCGAATTTTCGTACCTTCTAATTAATCGCAAATAGATTTAAATTAGACGAGACCGCGTACATTATGGAAACCCGTAATGAAAACACATTGAACACCGAGGATGCGGACTCGGGGAGCTCTCGGTCGCCCCGTGCAGAACGGCCCGACATCGGCGAACAATACCAACAACAGACGACGTCCGTGAACGTAAACAGACGCAAGATAAAACGACAAAACAGACCAAAGAGAGTCTCTCAATCGCAAATAAAACGTGCTCGGTCGGATAAAATAATGACGGCCCGGAATGTCGGGTTTAGTAACTCCGAAGCGTTGTACGCGATTACATCTCCTACTCCGTTCATGGACACCGAAACCATAGAACTATTGGTGACTGTAACTAAAAACAAACTAATGAATGTCATACGCAGAAAAGGCCCCNATATTTTTGTGATTTCAGGAAATGCAAACGGTAGCTTTAAAACAATATTAAATATTAATTTTAATTTTAATTGGGACATGTCTTCTAGTTCAAATGTTGCCTTAATTAAAGAAAATTCTGATGGCAGGCTTAAGAGGACGTTTTACCCACATCTACTGTCTCAGTCCAACTACCGGTTGATATGCAAATGCAATGCATATGCACAATAAGTAAAACTAGCTTAATTTCAATTTTAGAGTAAAAGTACTCATTATAAAAATTATAGAGAACAATATTATGGAGGAAATGTTGTAGGGTTTTTGTATTATTCAAAATGTACGGCTCGATATAAAAATTACAAAAAATTTTTTTTTTGGTTTTTAAATAACTGTAACTTTTTTAATAGTTTATAATTACAAAAAAAAACTTATGAAATTCTTTCTGAAATATTGTTCTCTATGAATTTCATAATAGGCTCTTTTCCCTCAAAATCAAAATTTAGCCGGTTTTACTTATTCTGCGTAAACATTGTTTTTGCATATTACCCAGCAGTTGAACTGAGACAATAGATGCGGGTATAATGTCCTCTTAAAGAATTAATTGGAGAACTTTTATATTGGTCTAAGAATTCATTAATAGCAGTACATTCTGCCTGAAAAAAGTAACCATTTGTATAACCAAATACATTAAATATGTCAAAAATTTGTTCACTTTTTGAAAAACGTCCGTCTAACCGTGCTACAATCCTAAAAAATAACACATACTTTTATGAATTAATTAAATGAAATTAGTAATTAGTTATGTAATAAATACCTATCAACCACTTGATACAACAGTTCAACTTTTATATTTGAAATATATTTTTCTTTATTCCTATCTTTTCCCAAAGTTGTACAAAATAATCATTGAAATATTTATTGAAAGTCTGATTTATTTTCTGATTTTTACTATGATATTGAATTTGTATTCCATTACATATTGCTATATAAGTTGCTTTTTGATGAAATTTCAATCACCAATTTTCACGGCGCAACTTTAAGATATTATTCGTTGATTCCAAATTTTGGATTTGCCTGATACCGTAAAATGTTACAATACCGATACGTTTTGTTAATCTTATTTTTTAGGGGGGTGAAACCATTACCCGGATTGGATTTTTAAATGACAACCTACATTAAAAATGTCTTAAATAGATGTCAAGTTGATTGAAATAATTGTTTGAGTGGAAATTTTAAACGAGTCAGAAAGATATATCTCCCTGGTCCGGTTGTCTCAAGGGTGTATCTGAGGAGAGGGAGTGTTTCAAGGTTCTAACACCAACCCCCCCCCCCTCCTGAAAAATATTTAGTAATACATTATATGTTGCGGAAAAATAATTATTTTAGACAATAAAATTAGAACACCACAAATGTTCGGTATACGATCCTCCTGCCGCCCGGAAACTATTTTCGGGTTACGGCTACGGGAGGGCTGCTTGAGTCGGTGGTAATGCGAAATGCGCGTGTATTATCGATCGATCTATGGTTATAATTTCATAATTTATAAGTGGCACAATATTAAAATAAGGAAAGCACGGTTCACTACGGTACGACACGGTTTGTTGTATCACCTTGGTATTTAAAACAGCTGAAAAATAAACAATATCCGTTCGAGTCGTTCTTGTGTGTATTGACTATTGGTCATTGTGCGTTTAGATCCCGGTGTGTGCAGACGTCGACATACTTTCGAAACATTTATTCTAAGTATTCGAATTTTCGTACCTTCTAATTAATCGCAAATAGATTTAAATTAGACGAGACCGCGTACATTATGGAAACCCGTAATGAAAACACATTGAACACCGAGGATGCGGACTCGGGGAGCTCTCGGTCGCCCCGTGCAGAACGGCCCGACATCGGCGAACAATACCAGGTACGTCGCCAAACTTAACCTAACCTGGTCACAAGATGCGTCATTCATTTATTTATTTATTTATTTATGTATTTATTTACGAGTATTAACCATTTAATAATTTTGTTTTTACTTTATTATTTTATTAGGTACTAAATGGTTGGTATGGTAAATTATCATTATTTATTATTGAAATAAACACATTTTTTTTTATAGAACCAAATAAATATCATAAATTATTTATCTAATAGGTCACAATAAAACTTCCTACATTATAATAATTTATTATAAGTAGGTAATAATTATTAACAGTTGTTAAATCAAACTAAATTTTCATAATGTTATTACAGTATTATTTAATATAAGAGTATAATACTATAAGATAAAGATTTAATATTATAGCCAAATTAATAAATTATACTGTAATATAAATAATTTATTTTCAGGTACTTCAGATCGTTGCAAACTATGTAAAACTAAATGTTTATCAACTAAAATAGGAGATGAAGTAAATATGTATTACACGTATTTTAATGCAAAATTATATATTTTTATTGTTACCTAATTGACTGAATTATTTGACATTTAATTTTTTAATACTACTTGATCATAATATTTTAGGAATTTAAAAAGAACAAGGACATTCAGGAATATTTCCAAAAACCAATAGAGACTGGTGAAAGATTGCTCAACGTGTTGAAATTCCAAAAATCGCATACTAGTAAACTAATTAAACATCACCAGCTCATAGTAATTATATTTTTTTGAATTTAATGTTATTTTATAAATATTTGTAAAAACCGATGAGTTAAATCTTTATTTATACTTGCTTATAATTTTTAGATAACAAAATACAATAGGACAAAATTATATATAAAGAAACTCGAAAGTGAATTAAAAAATGCTAAAAGGTATCTAAGTTAATATTATTATATTTATATATTTTGTATCAATTGTTTTAAGAGCACTGAAGAATACACCACAAAATCATAATTTTACGGAATCTTGTTCAAGTTCTGTGTTAGAATTTGATGCGACTCCTTTTAAGATGATACACGCTGGAGTAGAAGAACAGAATACACGACAGGTTGCGAAATGCAATTTTTGTGGCCGCAGTTGACTCCCGGATAAACTGACCCAGCAACATTATTAATCTTCTCGGACAAATTATTCACAGACTTTCCGGCGGGGCGCGTTGAATTTTTCTTTTTTGTCCGTTTTTTTTGAACCTTAATCTTATCGGCGATCGGAGTCTTATCACTATTCATATTCAGAATGTTCTTCAATTTCGAATCCATTTTTCTGTAGTATATTATTACAAATTATAATTATATTGACGTTGTTATAAGTAGTAACGAGTTATTTGATTCTTGTTGATTCATTTCGATTTCAAATGTTTATAGTGGTTAACTACTATTAATAAATATGGCTATTTAATTATTGGTATTTTAGTAATTCATTTTATTCTGATTCGAGTAAAATGAATATATAAAATAATGGTGGACAAAATGTAAAGACTGCGGATAAATGGGGACAATTTATATGTGCTTGTACGTCGATACCAATTTTGAGAAATTCGGAGGTGCCACTGACACCATGGCATCGGGAGGGTGGAAGGCCAGCGACGGCGGATGCCCATACTCGTCGTCACTGGCAGGCCACAAATCCGGAACAGCAAGAGAAGTCCAGGATGGCGGGCAATGCCTGCCCGGGAAAAGGACTGGGGACACGGGCTTCGAGGGCGGCGGTCGTTGATGGCCCGAGAAGTGAACATAGCGTATTGTAATGTAGTGTATTGGTATTTAAAACAGCTGAAAAATAAACAATATCCGTTCGAGTCGTTCTTGTGTGTATTGACTATTGGTCATTGTGCGTTTAGATCCCGGTGTGTGCAGACGTCGACATACTTTCGAAACATTTATTCTAAGTATTCGAATTTTCGTACCTTCTAATTAATCGCAAATAGATTTAAATTAGACGAGACCGCGTACATTATGGAAACCCGTAATGAAAACACATTGAACACCGAGGATGCGGACTCGGGGAGCTCTCGGTCGCCCCGTGCAGAACGGCCCGACATCGGCGAACAATACCAACAACAGACGACGTCCGTGAACGTAAACAGACGCAAGATAAAACGACAAAACAGACCAAAGAGAGTCTCTCAATCGCAAATAAAACGTGCTCGGTCGGATAAAATAATGACGGCCCGGAATGTCGGGTTTAGTAACTCCGAAGCGTTGTACGCGATTACATCTCCTACTCCGTTCATGGACACCGAAACCATAGAACTATTGGTGACTGTAACTAAAAACAAACTAATGAATGTCATACGCAGAAAAGGCCCCGTATCCAAAATCACGCTGCACTTCTCTAAGCGGATGATATCAAAATTAAAAAACCGTCGTAATCGCGTTCATTAAGATCTTCGGTTATATTTAATATTTGAATTTGTACAATTTTAATTTTTTTTTCTTATTGTTAGTAAATGACCCTAAGTCATTAAGTCAGGGTGTTCTGTTTAAGTCGGTGCATTCATTATCTCGGAAAGTATCAACTTTTTTCGGAATTTGTTTTGTAGAACATTTAAGGAACAAGCGGTTTTACAATTTTACTTTTATGTTATTTTTCGTCACCTTTATTCTTGAGGATAAAGCCACTATTTACTTTTAATTTTCAGATAGTGGCCTAAATAAAAATATTTGGATCAATAATATAGGTGCTATTTGAAAATCTATAGTAGGTAATGGTTTTATCCCCAAAAATAGAGGTGTCAAAACATAACATGGATTTCAAATTGGCGAGCTGTTTGTTTCTTAAGTGGTCTATCAAACGAATTCCGAAGATAGTCAATACTTTCCGAAATAGTGAGTGTGCCCGTTTAGATGGGACACTCTGTACTTATATTTTCTCTTGTTTTCCGGAAAACCAATTTTTCTTTATTGTTAACAATTGTATACTAAATTTTTTGTTTATACGTTCAAATAAAATGATATTATACATTTATATATGACTTCCTGAACGCGATGTATTTTAGTCTAACGATCGCATTATGTCATTTATGTCGATTATATGGACACGAGATTTGTACATAAATTTAGTAGTGAGCNTCAGTTACGTGACGCGTTTCTAGCAAGTGTTAGAAATTAAAAATTTTTGTTTAATAAATACAAATTTAATAATTATAATATTCTAATCGGTACATATTTAATGAATGTAATGATTATAATAGTATGCGTTTATGACCTACCTATATTAATTTTTCATTATTTTCTATCATAGATCATAATGTTTTAATGGTTCTATTCTTCCTAGTTGCTGTTCAAAAGTATCAGTTGACCTTTATCCATATATATTTGTAGCGCCTTTCTTTTTGCCAATGACTTTGAGACTTCCCTACAATCATTTTCATTTAGGATACAGTGTTATACAGTTCCTAGATATTGTCAAGTGTCAATTAATATAAATACATATATTTAAAAGTAATATAGTGGTGTCAAAATAGATAATATAAATAATTATTATTTTAGGCGAATCGGTTTTGAATAACAGACACCAAAAGTGAAAAGGACTCTCTGGTGATATCTAAGATGAAACGAAACAAGAATTCGATACGTAAATGATCAAACACTAGTGAGTATTGTATATTAATTATAATTTTATATATCAAAAAATTATAGCTATAACACTCATGCGACCAAATTATAATTGTCTCACATGGTTCTAATATTTTAGAAGATCCACGGCACAAAAGTATGCGAGACTCTCGTATTGGTACAATGGATTGGAAACCGAATAGTGGAAAGAAATTAGATTTCAACTTTTTATATTAAAATGTCTGGCTCATGTGGTAGGAATGTGTATTTTAATCATAAATGTCTCTTATCGAAATATTTAATACAAATTAAAAACTTTTAAAATACATAATTTGATTACTTTAATATAAAATATATAACTTGTTTAAATTTGAATAGCATGGTGGTTTGCCTATTCATAACATATTTCTGACATGTACTTTTATTATTAAATTATCTGGTTCGTCGTGATATAAATGTTTATTATGATCAGACATACATTTTAAAAAAAAATTTCACTATATTTGAGAGAAAATAATACCAATTGACACAGTTTTTGTTTGAACTTATATATTATATTAGTTTTTCTATTATAATCATCCTTTAGATTTCAATTTTTAATATTGAATTATGATGACTCGACCTTTGTGATAGTAAAGTGTATTCTAATCATCCATGTGTCATATTTAATTTCACAATATTTGATACAAATCAAAAATTTTGTAAGTACATAGTTTGTTGAAATTGAAAGGCATTTTGCTTTCATCATCCTTCTGACTTTGACTTTTAATATTAAACATACTTTTGCTACTTTATTTCATAATATTTGTTACAAATTAAATACTTTTAAACGCATTCAGTGTTTTGGTTTATTTTACAATGCTATTATGTTGCATTTAAAATCTCTATTGTAATGTGTCTAATGATCAGATACATGTTTTGGTATAAAATTTTATTAAATTTTATACAAGTTAAATGCATAAAGACACCTTTTTTTGTATTAAATTTTGGAGAATTTTAGTTTGCCTTTAAAAAACATCTTTTAGATTTCTAATTTTAATATTAAATTTTCTAGTTTGCTGTGATTGTTATGTGTATATTATTTAGAAGACATGTGTCAATTATTTAATTTCACCATATTAAAAAATTAAAAATATATAGTTTGTTTAAAATTTGAATAGTATAGTGGTTTGTTTATACTAAAAATCTGTCTGACTTGGACTATTATTAATAAATGTTCTAGTTATTGTGATAAGAATGTGTTTTATGATCAAACATATGTTTTTGTACCTAATTTCACCGGATTTAATACAAATAATACATATAGATACAGAATTTGTTTGAATTTACATAGAATATAAGTTTGCCTATAAATTTATTAGATTTCCCTTGTTTCAATAATACATTAACAAGTTCTTTGTGATTGTAATGTGTATTTTAATCATGTTTATCAGACACAGATTTTGATTGAATTTATATAGAATATTATTTCACTATAATAATCATCTTTTAGATTTCAACTTTTAATATTAAAATATCTTGCTCATGTGATAGGAATGTATTCAAAATTGTCTCTTATCAAAATATTTATTACAAATAAAAAAATTGAAAAATACTTAATTTTATTAAATTTTTAAAAAGCATGGCGGTTTGCCTTACTGTACTTCACTCTGATTTGGACTTTTAATAATGAATAATCTAACATTTTGTGATAGAAACGTGCATTATGATCAGACATATGTTCTAATATATAAATTCACTAGATTTGATACAAATTAAATACATATGGACACAGATTTTGTTTTAATTTATATAAAATATGATTTTGCCATAAATAGTCATATTTTAGATTTTAACTTTTAAATCTAAAATATCTTAATCTTTGTGATAGGAATTTGTGTGTTTTCCAAAAATGTGTCTATTGTACAATTGCATTATATTTGATACATATAAATAATTAAAAATACATTATTTGATTAAATTTTAACAGTAAAATGGTGTATTATGATCTGACATACCTTTACCATAGACACAGTTTTTGTTTGAATTTATATAGAATATTAGTTTGCCTAGAAAAATATCTTTTAGATTTCGACTTTTAATAATACATTAACTAATTAATTTTTGTGATAGGAATTTGTGTGTTTTCAAAAAATGTGTCTATTGTAAAATTGCATTATATTTGATACATATAAAAAATTGAAAAATACATTATTTGATTAAATTTGAACAGTAAAATGGTGTATTATGATCTGACATACCTTTACCATAGACACAGTTTTTTTTGAATTTATATAGAATTTTAGTTTGCCTAGAAAAATATCTTTTAGATTTCGACTTTTAATAATACATTAACTAATATAATAATACTATTATACAATTATACAATATTTGGTACAGATCAAAACACTTTTAAATAAATAGTGTGTTGACATTAGAATTGAAAGTCTTATTGTTTTAATTTAAAAAATTTCTGACTTCAACTTTAAAAAATGTATAATTTGTTTGTTGTCTTAGGAATGTATTTTATGATCATACATACTTTTGCTATTTAATTTAACAATAATAGATGTATATTAAACACTTATAAACGCATACTTTATTTTGATTCTTTTTTTTACCATGGACACAGATTTTGTTTGAATTTATATAGAATATTAGTTTGCCTAGAAAAATATCTTTTAGATTTCGACTTATAATAATACATTAACTAATATAATAATAATACTATACAATTTCACAATATTTGGTACAGATCAAAACACTTTTTAATAAATAGTTTGTTGACATTAGAATTGAAAGTCTTATTGTTTTAATATAAAAAAATTTCTGACTTCAACTTTACAAATGAATAATTTGTTTGTTGTCTAAGGAATGTATTTTATGATCATACATACTTTTGCTATTTAATTTAACAATAATAGATGTATATTAAATACTTATAAACGCACACTTTATTTTGATTCTTTTTACATAGCAGTTTGCATTAAATATACTTATGACATCACCTTTTAACAGTACATTATTTGGTTTATTATGATAGGAATGTGTATTATGATCATACACGCGTTTAGATATAAAATATTACAATTCCAAATGAAATAATAATAAATGTATAATTTGATTAAATGTTGAATAGCATACTAGTTTGCTTATACTAATAATCTTTCTGACTTCCACTTTTAATTATAAATTATATTAATCTTTGAGAAAATCATGTTTATTTTAATCAAACATACATTTTGATATTGTCTTTCACAATATTTGATACAAATGAAATATGTATAAATGCATTCATTGCTTTTATTTCTGTAACATAACTGTTTTTTTATATTCAAAATCACTCGGACTGAGATTATAACTGTTAAATTATAGAAGTTTTTGTGTTAGAATTGTGTGTCATAATCAGAACTACTATATGCTATATAATTTCACAATATTTTATTTCAAATTTAAATAATTGTAAATTCATAATTTGTTTAATTTGAAATTGCATAGCATTTTGTATACATTCAAAATCCTAATGATTTTATCTTTTTTAAAAATTTTCAATTTATTTATTATATGAATAGGTTTTATTATCATACACACGTTTTTCTACAGAAATTCACATTATTTATTACTTATTGTGTATACCTATAGACACATGTTTTGTTTGAATTAAAATTGCATAGCAGTTTGTATTTATTAAAAAATCTTCTGACTTTCATTTTTAATATTAAATTATCTAAAGTTTTGTGATAAGAATTAGTTTTTATCATTATACACGTGGTTGAATACAATTTACACAATATAAGATAATTTAAATATCCTTAGACACAGTTTTTATTTAATTTACTAAATATATAAATTTGACTATAACAAACATTATTCAGATTTTGACTTTTAAAATAAAATTACCTAATTATTTTTGATTGAAATGAGTNTTAACTTTTAAAACTAAAATATCTTAATCTTTGTGATTGGAATTTGTGTTTTTTCCAAATTAAAATTGCATAACAGTTTGTATATATTAAAAGACTTTCTGACTTTCACTTTTAATATTAAATATCTAAAATTTTGTGATAAGAATTATTTTTTATTATTGAATACAGTTTACACAATATAAGATAATTTAAATATCCTTAGACACAGTTTTTATTTAATTTATTAAGCATATAAATTTGACTATAACAAACATTATTCAGATTTTGACTTTTAAAATTAAATTACCTAATTATTTTTGATTGAAATGAGTCCTAGAATCTCTCACTCGTTTTGATATACATTTTTACAATATTTGATTAAAATTGTATACTTATAAATACAGTATTTGTTTAAATTGAAATTGCATAGCAGTTTGTTTATAATTCATTCCGATCTAAAGTTTTGTGATAGGAATATGTTTTATGAGCAGACACACTTTTGATTAATTGATTTACAATTGATTTTTTAAATTATTTTGGCCTCCGTAAGTTATAAAAAGCAATTCAGTATTAAATAAACTATATTTACTCTCTTTTGTTTAAAATTTTTCTACCNTCATCCTTTAGATTTCAATTTTTAATATTGAATTATGATGACTTGACCTTTGTGATAGTAAAGTGTATTCTAATCATATATGTGTCATATTTAATTTCACAATATTTGATACAAATCAAAAATTTTGTAAGCACATAGTTTGTTGAAATTGAAAGGCATTTTGCTTTCATCACCCTTCTGACTTTGACTTTTAATAATAAATACTTTTTTTGATGTGATTGAAATGATCAAACATGCTTTTATTACTTAATTTCACAATATTTGTTACAAATTAAATACTTTTAAACGCATTCAGTGTTTTGGTTTATTTTACATAGATATTATTTTGCATTTAAAATCTCTATTGTAATGTGTCTAATGATCAGATACATGTTTTGGTATATAATTTTATTAAATTTGATAC